TTTTGTTATTTATTTTTTAAATGCTCAGTTCTTAATTTCACTTCAGGCAATCAAATTGCACTTTTAAGTACACAAAAAACGAAATATACCAACAGCTTTTCTACACTAACTAGCAAACTTCATATGCATTGATTTCTTTTGTATCCATTACATGAACTGATTCCCCCTCAGGCTACATTACTTGGTTGGTAATGGTGGTAGTGATGGAAAATCAATAGGTTTGTATTTCTTTGATTATTTTTATTGAGTTTTAATGTAAGCTGCCTTGAGTCTTTCCACTTTGGAGGCTACGTAATCCTAATAAAGGAGGAGGAGTAATACAGGAAAAATCCTGCAATATTACAAGTTACGTTGATTTGTGCTTTCTTTACACACACACACATTAAATAACAATACAATGGAAGTCTTGCTATTAAGAAATTAGTTTAAGACTATTATACAATTAATACTTTGGTATGAACTGCAGTGTTTTTAAAAATCCTACAGTATACACTTTGGATGCTTAAAACACAGGTTCTACATGGCATTTAGCACAGATAGATTTTTTTTATTTTTAATATCTTAAGCTTTTAAAATACAACGCCAATCATTTAATTTTATAGTAGAAAGTTTACTGCACTGAAATCGTACAATGTCCTAATATGTACAGCACCACAATAAAAAAAAAAGGGGCGGGAGATCTTGTTTCCTTCAGGTGACAACCAGGAGCCTCCCAGGTTATTGCTTCCCAGCAGACGTCCCTTAAAACTCCGGCCATGTTTAAATTGGGAACCCACGTTTTGAGGTTTATTCCGGTGTGGAGGTTGGAAAACCCGTTGCTTACAACCACCAAGATCGGAAGGCGCTAACCACTCTCTATCAGGGGTCTCCAACCTTGGCAACTTTAAGACTTGTGGACTTCGACTCCCAGAATTCCTCAGCCAGCAAAGCTGGGAGTTGAAGTCCACAAGTCTTAAAAGTTGCCAAGGTTGGAGCCCATGTTCTATTAAAACCCTCCTTAGACCGCCCTCTTTGAAGCTGGTCTAAGCTAAAGGCTGACACCACATTGCCCCGTATCAAAGAACACAGGAAAAAAACTGCCGCGAACGACGTCATCCCGCACGGACTGCAATGCACGCTGCCCGGAAGGATAGAGGAGAGCCGTGAGGGAAAAAGCGTGTTCGGTCGACTGCGCGGGAAAGTCTCATTTCTTCCTCCCCCTCACCACGAGACCACGCCGGAACTCACGGAGGCGGAGCTACGCCGCCAAGGCTTCTGGGAAGGAAATTGAGCTAGACGAAGGCGAGCTCACGCGCCTTCCCCGCTGCTCCTTGCGCACGCGTTGGTAGCTCGCGATTCCGGCGGCGCTCGCGTAGCGTGCGGCCCTCGTGGTGAGTATAAAAAAGACCCGTCAGCGACTGAAAACTCTCGCCTTTTCTGTGTCCCCCGCCCCGCCCTTTCTCACTTTAAAAAAAAAACTTACCTCGGCCGGTTGTATGGAGAATCCGAACAGAATCTGTTCGTAACATCCCCCCAGGACCTCCATTTCTCGGCCTTCCTTAGCGACGCCTACTTAGTGCGGGGTCCTTTTCTTGCCTTTGAGTTGTAGCGCGGCCTCCTAGCCGCCTGTCCGTTTTTGTTTTTTGGGTTGTTGTTTTTTTTTGCCTCGGAGGGAGGGGTTGTCTATTCCACCGCCTGAAGCGAGGAGCCGCGAAGTGGTGGCCGCTCCCCGTTTCCAGACCGAATCTTTGAATTTCTTTTGTCGCGAGGGGGGGAGAGGTAGGAACGATTCGTTTAAAAAGAAAAAGAAAAGAAACGGAAACAGGCAGTCGCGAAGACAACCCTGGGCGGAAGTCCGTGAAGGGGAGGGAGGGAAAGACGGCAGAGGGGAGGCCGATCGACGACGGCGGCGGAAGCGAGCGTTGCGATTTCCAAACGGCTAGTGATGGCGGCTGTCCGGAAGGTGATGCTAGTATTTGGGCTTTGAGGGGGCAAAGGGACGGGGTCCTTCGCCTCATGGACAAGTAATATGAAGAGATCCCCGATTCCGAACCTTTCCCCCCCCCCCCGGCTTCTCCTTCCCCCGCTAAGCACCTCGTGAGCTCTGCCCCGCCCCCAATAGGGAGGCCTAGCACGCGTTGGTGCCCTTTTTCTCTCTTTTTTTCCGTTCAGCCCTATTTAAGCTGCCACTGGATAGACTTTGCAGAGCTGCTTTTAATGGTAACTGGGATATAAACGGGGTGGGAGCCGTATGAATGAATAGGTTCGCGTGTATGCGCTAGCCTGTTCATGCCTACCTCCGCGCGTGCGCCCAGCCCCCCCCCCCGCCTTTTGAATTCCCTTTAGAAAAAGAAAAGAAAAAACATCCATTGCAACTCAAATGAGTTTTCTCATTTAAATATTGTAATCTTCAACGTCGGTGTTTCAGAGTGAGCGTTATATCGAAAAGATTGAGATTTATTTTCCGACAATGAAGCTTAGTATTGCGACTGTTTAAAAATAGCCTTTTAATTTTAGCTGGTGTTTAAGTAGGCACAACTCCATGGGGGGGGGTGAAGGTTTTTCTTCCCCCTCACCTCATAAATCCATATTCAAAAGTAAATGTTGACAGATTAAAACTAACAGGGCTTGATCAGAGAAAGAGATGACACTTCTGTCTAAGAACCCTCTTTTTCTAGTTCTGGACAAAATATATATTGAAAAACTAAAAATATAAATTACAGAAATGAAAAGCAACCCTTTAGAAGTCAGGCCCATTTTTCTCAGAGTGTGAAACATTCATACTCCAATGATTTTCTAATTTAAAAAACAAAACAAAAAACCACTTATTTTGTGGCATCCAGATTTTTATTTAAATGTATTTGAAATTTGGCAAATTAAACAAAAAGTTTAACACACTTTTTCCCTGAAAAAAAGATTTGGGGTTGGCACCTTCCAGTGACAAGGTGGTACCATCAGCTGTACTTTGCAGATATTGGAAGCTGGGATATAGTCACAAAAAAGTCTGCCCCTTTACTAAATCAAAACCAAATCATTAATGTTGATGTTTGAACCAGACGTGCAAATATTATTTTTTTTTTTACCTATTAAGTTCAGTACAGGTTGTCTTATGAAACAGTTTTTCTAATTCTTACCCTGTTTGTTTTTATTGTAGTGAAATTGCAAGTTCTTGAACAACCTTAGAGGAAGAAAGTACTGCTTGTTATTTTGGTTTAGATGGTTAAAGTAACTGGAGGCAAGATCTCAACTTGTTCTGGTACTTGCCACCTTCTGCTGATAAATTCTTTTAATTTCTTAAGTTTGTGTATTTGACAGTCACTGGTAAGTAAAGTAGCTGAAATTGTATTTATAAATGTGAATACCTACTTGCAAAGCAAACATTTCTTAAAAAGATTGTGAATCTGTTGATAGTTTCCTTGTAATTAGAGATTTTGTATTACTACTGAAATCGGTATAGTTTTCAGGTCATTGATTTTTTTTCCCTTCAATTTTTTTCCACATTTTTTAATGTAGACCAAGATTATGCTTGGTAAAATATGTAACTTGCTTTGGTGAATTTTACAAATCTACGTTATTTGACTTTTCTGGATATGGGGAAGATTTTATTGTAAAGCAATAGCTGTGTAACTAGTATTGCTTGCTCGTGAAACTGATTTTTTTTTTAAATTGAAAATGGCTTTTACCATTTCTGTCTAATGAACCCATACCAAGCTGTCCTTATCTGGAGACAATAGATCTAACTCAGTTATAATTTAATATTTTATGAACTGCAGTTTTATTGTAAATGAGTTTTTGTATACTTTAATGTATTTAGGCTAGATATTAAATGCTTATTTGGGGATTGTGTATTAAATGAAAACAATGGATACAGAATTACAGTTTGGTACAGAGTTAAGTATAAAGCAGGGTACAAATAGTCTTCACTCTTAATGATCCTAATTGTGATTGGAATTTCTGTTGCTGTATGAAGCAGTTAAGTGAAACGTGACTGCACTGTTTAGAGACAACAATTCTAGTGATGCAGTTGTTAGTCCAGGGCTCATCCTTTTGCCCTGTGACTCTCGCCTCCACTTCCAACTTCCCTCAACTGCCGATCTCCCTGCACGTCATCTCTGTCTTTTGGTTGCCTTGCACTCTGGTACCTTCTTGAGGGGCTACTCCTGACATTCACTGCCTTCTCTAGCTGCTGAAGAAGAAGCTGCATGAAAGCCAGCAGCTACTTTGAGCATGTCTTCTCAGCAGTGGTAAGAAGAATATAGTTGAAGGTCAATGGAGGAGGCCAGAGAGCATAGGGAACTGCAGAGACCGTAGGACAGATGGGGAGAGTTCAAGTGCAGTTGCAAATGCACATGGGCTGCCAATGCCAAACCTAAATTTTGATCACATGACCGCAAGTTCATTAAATATTTTTTCCCTGTCTTTACTTCCTAGTGACAATAATTTGCAAAAATAGCTTCTATTTTAGGATGGCACATTTTAATTCGAACTGGAAAAATGAATTCCACAAACAGAAAAAATAAAACCTTTCTTTATTGAAGGCAACAAAATCAGAGAAAGCAGACATCTGGTATAGAGCATTGTGGTTGTTTCTGGTACAGTGATGTAATAAACATTAACCTTATCTTTTTTTTTATACAGCAGCTACTACAGGCTTCTTTTTCTTGCGAAGATAGCTTTCTACAATGGCTAGCCAGGTAAGATAATTGACAAATGCAGTTGTATTATTAGCTAATTTGGGGGAAGCGCAACCTTGTCCATAATTCTTGGCAAATGGCAAACTTGAACCCATTACTCCTGGGGAAGGGATGATGGGTTTTTAGCCATATATTTCCCTCAGATAAATTTCTGACAAATTGTTCTCCCCTGCTGTGAAATCCTTAATCACGCCAACTGAAGCAGCTTGGGGACAGAACACGAAACTTTGCTTTCTGCACTATTGCAGTGAGTTCTTGTGGTGGGACTTTCCTATAACACTCACTATTTAAGATGCCTTCATTGGAACTACTACCATTCATGTAAGTAAAACTTAATAAAAATGTTGAATCTGTATCCCTGAGGTGAGATTACTGTCTACCTTTGGTTATGGCCTCCTTTCCTTTTCCTTCCCATATAGTTGCCTCTGCTGGCTTTTATTTATTTATTTTTTTGAATGTGACACTTTTGTCACTTGCATGTTACTGTTGTGAAAACCAGGCATGAGTTCCTTCGGCTGTGCTGTAGACTTATTCCAGACAATTTCCTTGAGATACTGGCCAACACCCTACTACAGAAGAGCCCTAAGTCCATTTTCTGTGTTTAAATAAACAGAAAGGGTGACATGGCTCTACACCTTATTCTGCTGTAATTTTTCTGAATGAATAAGCAGGGTCCTTTTGTAAAAAAAAAAAAAATCTTAAAATGACATGCTCAGTCAGCCTCTAATGATTAACCTTTTTTTTAAATGAAGGAAGCCGAGGGAGTCAAAATGTTGGCGTGAAAAGCAGTAACTCCGATAGCCAGCTTGACTAAGTCAGGGGAATATGGCTTTTCATACAATCCTTTGGCTCTGTTATTTTTGCCAGGCATTTTCCCCAGAGGCTGCTTTCCCTCATGGGAGGCGGAGGGAGAGATGGGACCCCAGGCTTCTGTCAAGGGAAAGGTGAATATGGGGAAATCACCGAGGTGGTGATCGGGAGAGGGAGGGAGGCATTTAATTGAGATGAAATACTGTATAACTGTTTTTCATTCTAGCAGGATACAGTGGGAAAGGCCAATAAGGAAAGCCTGCTTCTGTGGTGGAGATCCCCCCACAAAAAACGGAAGAAAAAGAGTAAAGCAAGAGCAGGAAGACCAGATTTTACTAGTATTCCAAGCAGGTGAAGAAATCTTGAAACTGACAAGAAAAAAAACTGGCTCTTGTCTGTATATAATACCTAAATCAAGTAGTGAGAATTTAATCAGAACCAACACACTCAATAGTCCAGAGCTTTGTGAATTGAAGAGCTGCTCATCACATAGCTAAAAAAAACAAAACAAAAAATAAAAAGGCAGTTGTACAGAAGTGTAAAATTTAGTTAGTAACTTCCAAAGGTTCAGTGGATCCGAACTGAAAAAAATGTGAAATGAAGTAAGTCAAAAAAAGCATTAGGCAATTGTTCGACAAGCATCTGGAGAACTTCTCAGCGCGATGGCTGCATTTGGCCCTTTGGGGTTGATTACTACTTCCCAGAAGGTTTCTTAATTTTACCTTCTTGGTGTTACATAAAACGTGATTTTCTGTTGGATCTTTTTTCTTCGATGCTGAAGGTTTCGCTACATTCTGCACTATATAAACTTCACTTTGGAGGATGCATGCTGAAAATTCACAACAGCCTTACCAATGCTAGAAAGCCAAGAAGCCTATTAATAGCATCACAGTTGGGATCTGAATTAGAAATGAAGGTCATTGCAAGATATTGGCAAGCATCATTTGTTTCCATAAATTAAGCTGGAGAGTTTTATTTAATATAGAAAAAAAATATAGTTTCTAATTAGATTCAAACTATCACAAGTTAGTTACTGAATGTTCTATTTGCCAGGAGAATTAATGATAAAGCTATTTGAAGGTTACTTGTTATTCAGCCTTCAACTGAATGGAGTATGTAGATAGGAAGTATGTATTAAATTGGCATTATTTATCATGTTTGCTGACATTAAGCTAAAGTGTGCGTGTATGTGTGTGTGTTTACTATTCAGTTCAAAACAACACTAGTACTTAATACAGTGTTTTGGAGAATGGTTAATTTGAAATATAAAAGACATGGTTCTGTTGTATATGCTTCTATTACTTGATCACGTTGTCTTCTATTTAACAGAGTTAGAATTGGGAATGTGAAAATACATTTTTATGTTAGATACACAAGTGCTGAATAACTCATAAAAAGACATCAAAATATTTAACAAGCTGATAGGAGTAGAAAGTTCCAAACTGTTCCAATTGTATAAGCAAAACAAAAAATAGAATTAGTAGATAACTTAAAATGTAGATATTTTTTTTTCTTTTTCTTTTTAATTTTAAAGGGTTCAGATTGAAAGTTGAACCTGTTTAATATTTTAATGACATGGCCATCAGAAAATCCCAAGCTGTAGCTAAATGTGAAAATTCAAAAAAAAAAATTCCCAGAAGGTATATAAATTATTTTGGTATAATTTTAAGAAACTTCATGGATGAATCGTTTTACCAGGGCAAAAAACCCAATGAGCAAATAAAAAGAAAATGAAATTTTATTAAGTGCCTCAATAACCTTTAAATTTGTAGTGTTTGGTCATTCTGAAGTAATTGTTGAGAAGCAAGTTTTTAAAATGGTACCTTCTCTCATAAATATTGGTAGTAATATTTGGATTAAGTGCATTGAGGAAGGCTATTTTGAGTTACAGAAAGTGCAAGGCCAATTATATTATCTATGATCTGCTTATAACTGAAATTAGCACTAGCCAAGTTTAACTGCATAAGACTTAAGTGGATTTCTTCAGTCTGGTTGCTTTTAAAAAATAATAAAGAGGAATATTGTTCAGACATGACCAAGATACTTTTTTCTGTGTATGGTGCTAGTGATGCACCATGAATAAGGACAAACAAGTATTGGCTGGATCAATCCTAGGTAGGTATTCTGGGTTACGTTCACTGGAAGGTAATCTAGTGGAGACAGGGTTCTGAGGTTTACATTGCAAGATGATTAATCGTGTTTTTTCTTCTAATTTCTTCCAGGCCAGAATTTGTAAGGCAAGAATTTGTTAGGGCAGAAAGTTTTTCCAGGCCTGAATTTGCAATATTTGTAGGAGAGTTAACTCCTGAAGTGGATGACTTTTTGCTGTATGACTATTTTTTTAAAAAGTATCCATCATGTATAGACTGTAAAGTGGCCACAGACCTGCTGGGATATTCCAGGTATCCTATTATGAATTAAAATGTGCATGAGTATGTAGTACAGATTTCTCAATTACATCAAAACCTAAATGTTGTATTTTCTCAAATATTTTGAAGTCAATCAGAGATAGTTGAATCGGCATTATTCTGTATTCTTGTTTTTTAATGTTATGCGGTACACTGTGATATATGAATGAAAGGTACGGTTTTAGTGAAATACATATTTTGGGATGTCTTTACATCAGTTAATGCTTTAGAAAGAGGCTTTGTCTGACCTGCCCCAGTCTGATTCCTTAGGAAAGAAGACCCTTGACTCCATTTGGTTGAAGTCATGGGTTCCTTTATTAAAAGATGCTGGCTGTAGTAAAGTCAGGCTAGAACTAAATTTTCCACGCCCAAAACAATACAGAAAATTTCCCCACATCCCAGCCCTCCCCCATATTTTCAGCCAATAAGAGTCTGCCTAAGTGTTTTTAGAATACTGAGATGTTTAGGGTAGCTCTCCTTTTTTTCTTAGGATGCATAGCCTTCGGTGCTGGCACAAACTGATTCCGAGCTCTGCTCTTCATCAAGCAGTCTTTCCCCCCTCCTAATTTTCCTATCACAGTACACATGCAGTTTGATTGCCCATTTGTTGTGTTTCCCTCCTCTCCCCAGCCTTTGATGGCAGTATGCATGGCAGCCCAACAGGCTCTCTTTATAAAAATCAGATGAGATAATTTTATAACAATGCAAAATGTATAAGAGAATAGTTTCTCGTATTTGAAATGGTTTGAATATATTGTAGAAACAGGGACATGTTAATTGGGATCAGGTACAATTTTTGTTGTTTATAGAGGGTATGATATCATTTTCTTTAGTAGAATTAATGTCACTGATTGTTGAAAATGTGGGCACTCTTAGACCCAGGTTGTGTTAATATGCCCATGTGTGTTATTTAAATGATATTCTAAATAATCATTTGCAGTGCAGTGAAAATATAATTGAAGATAAAATATTGTATGTACTTTTTTGGCAATATTACTGAAGTTTGTCTTTTAAAACTCCACAGAGGTTATGGTTTTGTCAGATTTTCTGATGAAGGCGATATGATGAGAGCACTGCAAGATTGTCAGAATGCACCTGGTCTAGGCGGAAAACGAATCCGATTGACTTTAGGAATTTCTAAAAGGTAGTTGATGCGAAATTAACAAATCTTTTGGGTTTCAAATCTCTTATGAAATTGCCATTGTATCTGATTACGAAAAGATTTTGGCAATGTTTCCCAAAATGTTTTGTTCTCCTTTTTAAATAATACAGTTGTTATGAAACATTCAATATATAAGCAGGTCAGCTTCTGTTTTTTTAAAAAAGTACTGAATTAATGCACTTTAATTCTTTGCAAAATTACATTGTGTCAAAGCATGCATATAAGTAATCAGGGTCCATAACTTGTTCTACTAGGGGTTTGGATATTTTAAGTTGTTCTTCTGCCACTTGGATCCCCTTCTCTTCTTCCTTAATGATACTTGAATTTCTTTGCTTGCTTATTTTTATTCTAATTGGATGAAAATAAAATTGTAATATATTTTAATGTATATGAGTTCTCAAACTTTATTTCCTTTTAAAGTTCACAATAATTTTAGAGTTGATTCTATGATTATCTTTTACATTAAAGAAACAAACTGTATCTAAAGAAAATATAAAGCCCTTTTTGTCCCCAAAATTCAATGAATACTTTCAATTTAAAAAAAATACAGCATGTAACTGTAGTTATAAAACACTCTGCTGCTGCACTCCAGGGCACCACAGCAAATTCAAAGGGTATAGTGGGATATTTTAATGAAGTACTTAATAAACAGAATTGTTAGTTTGCTGTGGCATCCCAAGATGCTGCAATGCACAATTTGGAAACCTTTAGAGGTAGAAAGTTTGGGAACCTCTTTGTATAATGTTTTTTCCACAATGTATTCTCTTAAATATGTAATTTTATTTACATAAATAGATTTGCTTATATGTGTACCAAGCAAAGTTAACTTGTTTAAAGTAAATGGAAACAGAAGAAATAAGAAAAAGTAGAATTTTTGCTATTTGAAGTAACAGTAGTGTTGCCTGTGGCAGCTTTTTTTTTTTTGAAGGATTTTCACTATTCAGTTGTAAAGAGTGCTCTTAAATTCTAATTTAATCTATTCCCTTTGCGTTTTAGACTGAAAGCAGAATTTCAAAGGTACCAGCCCTATAGTTATAATGACTATTACCAAGACTATCAAAACTATTACCGCCAGTACAATTATGATAGAAATGAACGTTATGACCGATTTGATCGCTATGACCGTTTTGACCGTTTTGATCGAGGCAGCCGTTTTAGTGATCGTTTTTCTGAACGTTACTCTGAGCATTTTGGTGATCGTTTTTCTGAACGTTATGCTGAGCGATTTGGTTCTCGTTTTGGTGAACGCTATGAATATCCTGAGTATGGAGATTATCCTGAATATGCAGATTATAATGCCGAGTATGGTGATTATAATTACGCATCTTATGAAAGGATGCAGCCTACTGGAAATATGGGACAACAAGCAATGAATCCAGCTTTATTTCAGGTATTCACATAAATTAAAATCAATTTTTCTTAGGGGTACCTTCATGACCCTTTGCCTTTCAGAGCTTTGGAGTTTCATGATTCCTAGTTTACTAATTGAAAATTACAAGTTCTGAAGTTCAGTATTTCTGGAAATGCCAGGGTTCATAAAGTTTTTTTAATGTTTTAAATGTTGGCTGCTTTTCAGTGTCTTCAACTGCAATAAACTTTAAAATGGAGACATTGCAAAGGTTCTGGATAAATGGTTCTTAGGCCTATATTTCTGTAAGATGTTTGAATTTAAGATAGTGGTGTCCATTTCTTCTTTAAAAATGGTATTTTGCTTTTTTGTATAACCGTTTGAGTATGAAATAGCTAAAAAAATAGAAGATAAATTGACAAAAGTCAAAGATAAGCTCTTAATAAATAAACAGTGCTCAACTAGGCAAAATACTACCTATACTAGATATTCTCATTCCACCCAATACACAAGCCTTTCTAAAAGGTGTTGAATCTTCTACAAAAGAACACATACACTGTTGCTTCTTTATTCATTGAAACCTTTTCTAATCTTAATCCCCTCAAAAGTGGTGCTTCAGTTTTTGAACATGTCGGCTTCCCTGACTTCCTCTTTTAGTTAAAAAATTGTTTTGAAAAATCAGGAGAGATTAAGATAAGGAAACTTGGCAAAAGTCAAGGGGAATTTCTACAAGCACTCCGCTTAAAATTCTAGATTTAGTACATTTGTGAAAATTTCTCTCAGGATCACTGTTTTTATATTAAGATTAGAAAAAATGAACAATACAAAAATAAGCAAATATCAAACACTAGAGGCAATTAAACAAAAACTAATAGAAATGGAAAAAAGCATCAGAAACAATACAAAACTTCTAAAATATATATAAAACACTTTTAAAAAAAAAATCCCATTGTACTATGTTATCAATAGAAAGGCTACAAAGATTGTCTAAGATGCTACTATCTTGCAGTAAAATATAATACCACTATCAAAAAAGAACACATCCATTCATTCTCTTGTGTGAAAATTTTGCCTTTTCCAAAGAGTATAAATTACATATTTCTCTTACTATCACTTTTCCCATTTTTTGATGAACCAATTTTTAGTTTCAAATCCATCAATATCAACCATTTTAATGTGGCATTATTGGAGATTTCGTCCATGATTAACAAAGTCCAATAGTATCCACTTTAAAAATGTTAACTTTTGGACTGGTTTACCATTGTTGTAGTGTTTTCAATTTCAGCATGTTTTGATGGCCCCAAATATGGGCCAAATGCCTTGGCTATTTGAAAGATACTTGAAGTACTTTCTCATGTGATAGAATCTACAATGGAACTTAAATGTCTCTTGAATATCCCCCCCCCCCCAGATATGGTTATTTTGTTACCTTATTGCTTCGCTCTGTTGCTAAGCATGATTTGGAGTTTTTAAAGTAAGTTGGATCCATAGTCTTTGCCTCAAAAGCTTTTTAAGAAGTAAATAAGAATTTGTTTTGTCTACACCCTGGTTCTATAAAGCGACAAGCCAGGATCAGTGGAAAATAAAACTGAAAAGTGAAAATGCCTCTGAATACATAGGAGGCAAGCATAAAAGTCAAGAGATGCTCATATGTATGTATATTTGTCCCCTCCATTGAAAAAATATGTATGGGATTTGTTTTTTTTCTTCACTACAAAAATTTTTAAAAAATTAAGACATAATAAATTCTTTTTTTTTTTTTTCAGGATACCTGTGGTATGATTTTAAATGATGATCTAGTAACAGAAGGTAATGTTGATATTAGTATTTCCATATAGAATTAGATCATCACATAGTTTCTCAGATTAGATCTTTGAAAATGTAATCTGGAAGAATATCTTTGAAGTATTGTTTGATAGGGTAGCTGTTTACTGTGTTTGAAATTAACTGCATTATAATCTATCTGGCTGTAGCCTTATGTATTTGAATCTTGTTGATAACATAAAAATGAGCATGAGGGTTGAGCAGAGATTGTAGGTTGTCATGTGATGCCTGAGTTTACATGGCATTCTAACATAAAGTTTCATGATTTTACTTCACAGTTGTATGTGAATTCAGCTATTTTAGCATAAGCCATAGATGTTTATCTTGTATAAGCCTACTTATTTCAGTAAAATATAGATAGTTTACGGTTAATGCAGTATAAAAACAATTTTCTCCTGAAATAAGCCAACCTTAATTTTTCTGGGTAATTTGTGCTTACAGGTAGGTTTTGCTTAATATCTTCTTATGCAGCCACCATTTAACGATACAATGGAGCTGAAGGGGGGTGCGGGGGGGGCTTAGGTCATTGTAGTTACAACCTTCATAGTGTCCATGCTATCACATGATCATAGTTCAGATGCTTGGTAACTAGCTCGCAATTACAATGTTGCAGTGTTCCATGATCCTATCATCACCATTTGTGATCTTCATTGCCAGCTTCCAACAAGCAAAGTCAATGGAAAAGCCAGCAGAAAGTCACAAATGGTGAGCATGTGACTATGGAATGCTGCAACCATGTTGGATTCACTTTATGATGACAACTGGGGCTGGTAGAATTGTTATACGTTGGCACAATCACATGACATATCTTACAACCATGTCAGTTTGTAATGGATTTTCTGATCCCGGTTGCCATCCATAGGCAAAGACTATTTGTATTACTTACAAGACTTTATTTACTTAATAAACTATATTAGCAAGAGCACTTAGACTTATATACCGCTTTACAGTGCTTTAACGCCCTCTCTAAGCGGTTACAGAGTCAGCATATTGCCCCCAACAATCTCGGTCCTCATTTTACCTACCTTGGAAGGATGGAAGGCTGAGTCAATCTTGAGCCTGGTGAGATTCATTCTGCCAAATTGCAGGCAGCCGGCAGTCAGCAGAAGTAGCTGGCACTCTAACCAGTGCTGATTTTCTCCATGAACTCAAAATCAAAAATGTTTCTAAATATATTGCTTTCAGAGGACATAGCCAGATAAAACAACAAAAACAACAAAATTAACAATGCCTTTAAGGTATTGTTAAGTAATAATAAATTTGTGTTTCAGGTGCCCCAAGTGTCTTTGTTGAATATATTCAATATTTTTGGTACTTAAAATGGAACAAAAGATATTTGGTAATCTTCAATTGCTTTGGACTAAATTTTCATAACTGGCCACATTCACTAGATAGTTGATTGCTTATAACATCTTACGGGCATCAGAATGTTTATATTTAAAAGTTTTCTTTAATGCAGTTCTGCCAGTGATTTGCTTACTGACTCTTGTTTATTTGAACAGATCCACAACTCAACATAGATGTTCATAGAATGAACAGAGAATTTATGGTGAGAAGTGAAGAACTTTTTGACACACTTATGAGCTGTCATTGGCAACCTCTGGACACAGTTACTTCCGAGATCCCTACTGCTTACTAAAAGTGTCTTATGTTAACACCATAGCATGACTATTTTGACCAAGGTGCTAAATTGACATTTCTTCTACATTACTTTAGATCCTAAATTTTAAAGCACAGTGTTGGATTATTATTTTTTTGCAATGCTTTGATGGCCTTTGTAATTTTGTTCATCAGTATCTTGAAATCATGTAAATATTCTGGAAATGTAAAGAGTTAAATATGGACTTGCTTATGTAAATAATAAAACTTTGTTTCTGCAAACACTCTTGTAAAATTTTTTTTTACCATAAAGGATATGCCTACTTGGTACTTAGATCCTCAGTGGCACATTAACCTAGTTGATTTCTGGTGGAGGCGGAATTAAATTGGGTGGACTTTTGATTCGTCTAGCAAGTTGACATCATGCAAGACAATATATAAGAACAAAAAGTCCATTTATTTATTGGTATCTGATGTCTTGCTTATGATATTTTATTAAAATATTCATTTCAAGAAGTAAGTGTCCAGAAACGCATTTTTATTGGATTATACTTTCACACATTGCAGAAACAACCATGGTGGTATAAACAGCTTCAGCATGCAACATTACAAATTTTAGCAGTGAGTTAGTAATCCTTGAAATTAAACTTGATGTTTTTTTTTTCTAGTAATGTAAGTATGTTTCACTGAGAAATCTAAATTGTCCTGTAGATAACGTCAAGTACAAGATTGCTATTTTACCTGCATCTCCTTAAAATCCATTTTTTAATTTATAAATAATGCATAGTACAACCTGATGTTATATGAATTTATAATAATTGTAATTGTGTATTTATAGCTAAGTGACTAAGTTTGGGGTCTTCGAGGAATTGTAGAATAAATAGAGGGAATTCTATACTATGTTCAGCTGCTGAAAGAAAGACATACAAATCAAATAAACCCTAAGGGGCACAGGGCCAGGTTATCTACCGAATTGCCTTTTCCTAAGGATAATTTATCCTACTATGTCAGATAGGGTGAGCATGCTCCTACTTCCTTTCCCTAAATTATGCCGTGAGTTAGGAAGCATGCCCTTTCTGTGACAATGCTGGTTATCTGCTCTTTGCAACACAGATTTGTAAAACTAAATTATGCCATCAAAACCAAAATCTGCAGACGTCAGAAAAAGATTCTCTGATGCTGATGAAATCTACAAAGCTGGAAGTCTACAAATTGTAAAAAAGAACACTGAATTAGTATAGAAATTGGGAAACAAAACTAACTTCCCATGAGTGCTCAACTGACAAAATTGCTCCTCAAAAAAGAAATGCAACACTGGGAGGTGGCACCCGAGGGTAAAAGCAAAAGATTTCTAGATCATTCTTGTATTCTTCAGTGCCAAGAGTTCATGAGTGCACAAAAAACCTGAACGAGAGTAGTGTATCTGGGAGTATACTAAGCAGAAACCATTATTATAGAAAACAATGCTGCCCATGGTCTGACTGATCCAGCAGACTGTTGGAAACAAGCCCTGTGAATAAATGGGGCAAAAATGAAATTTGGCCTTAATGAGATGTGTTATGTTTGAAGAAAATGAAAAGTACAGAAATGTTGGAATATACAAATGGCAAATTTACAGGAAGATGTTATCCATCTATTTAACTGATGTGGACAGACTAAAGCAGGGGTCGCCAACCTTTTGGACCTCAGGAACCCCCAGACTCATAAATTTAAATCACGTGGACCAGAGACCCTGGGAAAATCCAAAAAAAAAATGTGCAGGAAAATTCCCCACCCTGTTTTCCTACTGATCAATCATTCTTTATTTGGGATCGCAGGATACCGTCTCCAGCTCCGTTCTCAGGGTGGGGGAGAGACTTCACTTTGTGCAAACTCCGCTAGAAATGAGTCTTTATGAGACTTATCGCGCCAGCACAGTCTCTTGGAGCAGGATGCCTTGCAGGGTCCCAAAGACTCATTTCTGGTGAAGTTTGGGTGAAAGAAAGACTTTTGCTGCTTTCCTTGCGTGTAGCCAAAAGCAGAAGAAGCAGAAAGCAGCAGCCTGGTGGCCAGGCCAGGCATGTGGGGCAAGTTCCCCCCCTGCCCCCACTACCTCGTGGTGTTTGCAATGCAAGCGAAGCAATCCTTGTGTTCCCACAGGCCATGTGGGCGGCGCAGCCATGGGTTCCTGCACAGCCTGGATTAATTGCTTTCGGGGGTGCTTTGGTTGGCCACCACTGGTCTAAGGGTATGTAGGTCATGAAGCACAAACCATGATTTTATATACACAAGTATGTATAGAATAGGTGAAGTAGAAAAAACGTTGCATGCTGGGAATGGCGCTGCTAAAGTCCTGATTTAACCTATGTGATATGAACTAAAGTGAGAAATTCATGCAAGGCAGTCCTAAAGTATCAATAAATTGAGGCAGCTATATAAATGGTAGTGGCCCAAGATATCTCCAAACTAACCACTGATCAAATTATGAAAACCTTTGACTGAAATTATCTCTTTAAAAAAATGTTGACTCAATGTTTCAATAAAGCAATGATACAGTGCATGTTGTTTGTCCAAAATTTTGGTATTAATTTATAGAACTTTGATGAACCTCAGATCATATAGATCACAGTACTATACAATTATGGCTAGATCTAAAAGTTACATAAAATCTCAAATAATTGTGGCTTTGTTATTAAATATGTAATATTATCTTCAGCATACATTTAGATATTAGATCATCCCTCCAAACTATGCAGTAGTATTTATACAAATTACCCTAGTAAATGTGCTCAGTGTAATCATAATATTGGAAGAAATCAATAGAAAACAGTGCTCTTTGATAAGGATATTTATCACTTTCTAAGGTATTCTTAAAGATATTTATCTTCCTTTGCACTTTAAACATATCACTTTCAAAGCAATTCTTCTCAATAGAAGATTGGAATATACACAAATGAAAAATGTTTCAATTTGAAATAAATTTCAGTCCAAAGCAGTCATTACAGGCACCCAGGTTTCGACTGAAACAAGATTTGAGAATCCCAAAGGTGCTTTTTCCAAAAAGTGATTTGATTTTGTTTTGGTTTTTAAAAACAAAACCAAACCAGAGTTTCACCTCTTATCCAAGAAGTTTCTTCCATTCTTGTCCATAGACAAGATTCCGGAGTGTATCTGCAGGGCAAATAGTTTAGTTTAGCTTACTTTATTGTCCTTGCACCTCGTACAATGAAATCAAACACCATCTTCAGTGCATATCATGAACATGACCATGAAAATAAACACAAGTACACATCCTTCACCCTCCACACATTGAACTGAAAACCCCCGACACCACACCAACACTGTACTATACAGTAGAATTCAAAAGAGCTACTGCCCTGGGATAGAAGCTGTTTTTCAGCCTATTTGTCCTTGTTTTTATTATTATCCTGTACGGTTTGCTAGATGGTAATAGTTCAAAAAAAGGGTGCTAGATGGTAATAGTTCAAAAAAAGGGTGCCCAGGATAAGATGGATCTTTGAGAATGTTTTGAACTTTCTTAAGGCAGTGGAAGCTATAAAGCTCTTCCAAAGAGAAGAGAGGGCAACCAATGATCTTTTGGGCAATGACATTAACCCTCTGGAGTGCTTTCCTATCTGCCACTGTGCAATTGGCAAACCATACAGAGGTGCAGTAAGTTAAAATACTCTTTATGGTGCATTCTATCATTCCCCTTTCCTACTTTCCACGGTTTTCATGCCAGACTACCTGTTGCACTAATCGCTGCTCTAAATACTGTAATGCCTTTCAGCCCGACCCAGAACAAAACAACCTTTCATTTCCAGGCACGGATTGAAAACACACAACCATCTATGCACAGACGAGGCGTTCTATGCAAAGCACCTTTGTGGAAGGAATCATTTGCCCATCTTTAGTTTAGTTAATCATTAGAAAAAAATGGTTGCGAGCTAAACAAAGGGGTCTCCAACTTTGGCCACTTTAAGCCTGGCACACTTCAACTCCCAGAATTCCCCAGCCAGCTGGGAGTTGAAGTCCGCCAGGCTTAAAGTGGCCAAAGCTGGCGACCCCTGAACTAGAGAATTTCATACATTAGGAAATTGCTAGAAATTGCCTTGCTAACTCCTATCACCGCAATCAAAAGCATTTAGATAGAACGATTCCCTCAGTTTTTATCTACTTAGGTAGGTAAAACCACGACGAGGATAATGAAGATCTTCCAAGTGTATTGGAAGGATAGTTTCAAAGATGACCGATTATGTCCTTCAGAGTTAGGGCCTCTGTGTCTAAGAGAGTAACAAGCACAGGAGATCTTTACAAGGCCGGTAAAGAAACAAACAAAAAAAAAGACTTTTAGTTTCAGAAAATCCAAAGCTCCGCTTCAGAACGTATCGCGAGATTGCGTCACCGGCGCCTAGCGCTTCCTTTGGTCAATCACAAGTCAGGTCGAGAGCTCTGCTTCTGCGCAACCCCTCTCAAAAAAAAAAAAAAAAAAAAAAAACTACATTTCCCACAAGGGCTTTGGGCGTTCAAACGCGGGATGATGCACCAGATGAGTCGCTGCTTGGTGACGAAAAACTGGGCCGATGCGTGCCCCCTGGTTGGTCGGGAGAGAAGGAAGGAGGGGGAAAACCTCGAACAAGCTAGACGGTGACGGGGAGGGGGTGGGGGGGACTGGAAAGGGAGGAGAAAGCGGGGCGGTAGGGACGGATTCGGCGCGCGCGCGCGCCAGCCAAAAAAAAAAAACCTAAAGGGAAGCATCCTGTGAGGGCGCGAGGCCGGCTGCGTGGTGCGAGGCATCGCCATAGAGACAGTGACAGCACAGAACGGGATTGGGGGCGAGAGGAAGAGCAAGGAGGGGGAGGGGGGAGAGTGTGAGAGGGGAGCCCGCGCGGCGGCGGCGGCGGCGGGGGGGGGGGGGGGGGGGGGGGGGCCCGGGCCAGGCCGGGCCTTGCCTGTGTTTGCGCCGCGCGCCAAAGGGAGGGAGGGTGGGTGGGTGGGAGGGAGACTCGGAACAACTACCAATATGGATCCGGGGGAAAGCGGAGTCGGCGGGGGCGGCGGAAAGATCCGGACGCGGCGCTATCATCTGGCAGCGGCCTCCTCGAAGCCTTATCCAAGGAACAAGCAGGTGAGGAAGGCCGCCGCGGGAGAATGGAATCCGTGGGGACGGCAAGGGAGGGGGGGAAGAGGAAGCCGCCGTCGGCTCCCGGAACTGCCGGGGAAGCTCCCTCACGCCTTTTCCCCCGCCCCGGGTGGTGGGGTGGGAGGAGTGGTTGGAAGGCCGCCTGAGCGGGGAGCCCCAGGCCACGTTTCTGGCTGGACGGGCTGCGAGCGCCGGGAGTCGAATGAGCCGGAGAGGGCCCCTCTTCCCCCCCGCCCCCGTTCCTCTCCTCAGGGAGCGGGGGAAAAAAAGGCTCCGGAGCGAGCGAGCGAGCGTGGCTGAGAGAGAGAGAAAGATCGTGAAGGAAACAATTAGAATGGTTAATAATTCCACGTCCTGCTGTGGAACGTTAAAAGCCGGGGAACGGAGAAGCCTTGCGGGGAAAGGGATTCCCCTCAGGGGTGATGGGATAGGTCGAAGGAGGGTGGGGGCAAATAAGGCCTCCTCGCGATCTCCTTTTTTTTCCCGCTTTTCTGCGGATTTAACTCGCTTTTCGAAGGCGGTCGAAACTGGACATCCTTTTTTTCCCCCTTGGCACTTTTTTCTTCTTTTTGTTTGTGCGAAAAGCCTTTCCTGCACGTGGTGTAGGGCCCAAATATATATATATATAAAATACCACACCACCGTGTGCGTTAGGAACACACTAATCGCCGGAATTTGGTTTTTGAGTTCGTGGGTAGGTGAGGTGGTTTGATTTTAATTTATTTCTTTTTTTAAAGAAATCCGATTTAAGATAGTTCTATCAAAAGTAGACGCAGCCTAGTCATTGTAAATCTGCAAGTAGGTTTTGGTTTTCGATTGAATGAAAGCCGACCGATTGTATGCACTTTTTGAAAGATTGGAGAGCATCAGTCGGGCTTTGCCTACCCGAAAACAAATTGAATTCAAATAAATATCTTGTAAAGTTTATAGAATTCTTGAGATGGATTTTGTTTTGTTAAAATATAAGCACAACATGACGTTTTATATTCATTGTCTTGACAAATGAATAATACTGGTTTGTAAACTAGAGCTATTTATTGTCTGGAGGTGGCCTGATTGAAACATTTAACCTGATTTAACAAAATAATAAATCCATTTATCAATTTAGGCGGCTGGGCTATCCTATTTCAACTTTGTTTTTTTTAAAATGTGACTTGAGTTATGAGTAAATTAAATTATGTAAAGATTAAAAACTACATACTATGGTATGAGTCTTTTTTCCAGGATTCTAATTACATAATTACTAGGAGGACAATATCTCTTCCATTGCAATTATTTGCTTTATTGCCATTATTTAGTGTATTTAATCATCAGGATCTGACTATTGCATTACTTTTTAATATCTATTTGGGTCAATGCACACATGCTGTTTATTATAATTGTGTAGATTATGTAATGAACAGCATATTAGCGTATTGGGAGTACCAGAGCTCAACAGTGCGACTCATCCTTGTATACAAAGTCCTAGGTTCAGTTTTCTAGTGTTTCTAAGTAGGCCCGGAAAAAAATTTCAACTAAAGCCCTGGAAAGCTAATAACGACTTGTCAGAAGTGCTGGACTAAATTGCCCAGTTGTTGGCTTGATTTGATATGAGACAGCTTTCAGTGTTCTGTCATCATTACAATCCCTGAAATCTTTATTCTGCATACAACGATTAACAGTGTGTGCCTGTTTCATTATATCATGCAGGGTTTTTTTTAATTGATGTGTTTTAGCCTAATGTTTGGTTTGAAGCGTGTAGGATTTTTTTCCTATGAATTATAACTTTATGAACTGTAATTTCAAATGTTACCTTTATTATTGTTATTTTTACTGGCATGTTACCTTTATGGGGAAGTAAACAAATTCATGAGTACAGGTAGTCCTCAACTTACAGCAGTTCAATTTAGTGACTGTTCAATGTTACAATGACCCTGAAAAAAGTGACTTATGACAGTTTTTCACACTTACAACCATTTGCAGCATCCTCGTGATTAAGTCAAACACTTGACAACTGACTCATATTTATGAGGGTTGCAATGTCCTGGGGTCATGTAATCACCTTTTGCGACCTTCTGACAAACAAAATCAATGTGGAAGCCAGATTCACTTAACACCTTGTTATTAACTTATCAGCTACAGTGATTCACTTAACTGACAAGAAAGATCATAAAATGGGGCAAAACTCCCTTAGCAAATGTCTCACTTAGCAACAGAAAATTTGGGCTCAGTTGTGGTCATAAGTTGAAGACTACCTGTACATTTTTGCATTTTTCCAGAGGAAAAAAGTCCCAATAAAAACTGTCAGATTATTTCTTATTAATTCATAGAATTATAAACTGATTTTCAGTATAAATGCATAGCAAAGTTTTGAAATACATAGGTGATGCCCATGTTGTAAGAAATATTTCTTACATGTTAATTATTAATATAGATATCAGGAAAAAATACCATATAGAGTGTGCCACGAAGGATACAAATATTGGGTTTTTTCCTATTAGGTTTAATTTGGGTCTCTTGAAGATAGTAGAGCGTATTAGTCAGTTCCAATGGACCCAAAGTCAAATTAAATATGCACACACAATTTTGTAGAGTTTGATAGATTTGCATCTACTTCATGGGAAGTTTAGATTGCCTTTGATATCAATCCAATGTATTTCTTTAAAGCCAGTTGGTCTTAATTTACCGAGAGTGATACTTATTTCCTACATTTCCTATAAGTATATGTAACATATTTACATATTTACTAAAAATATAGTGAAAATGATTGACATTCAACATAAAAAGCCTAGATGAAGAGTATGATCCTTACACATCGAAAAATGTTTTTTGGATTTCACTTCAGGATACAAAAACCATCTCAGGGAAACCTGCCATCACATAACTACAAGATAGTAGTGTGCCAATCTTGTTATAAGCAGTAGACTCTTGCTTATAATCCATGAGTGACTGACCAAGTCTCTAATAGGAAGGGATATGTGTCAGGTACCCTGATCTGTTGTGGTTGACATACCGGTATTATCTGAAATTAGTAAAATACCTTCTTGGTCATAAGGATCCCTCAGGTATTCAGTGATACTCATCATTGATTACCAGAACATCTGTAAACTACATATTTATCCTTTTGGTAGGAATTTCAATCACATTTTAAAACAAACTCCCCAAACCCTTATCTGGAAATAACCTGCACATCGGATCTCAGGTTCAATCTCAGTTTATTGTGATTTCATCCAGAGACTTAGTTTAGGAGGTGCATCACTTTTGCTATTACTTTGGACAAGGATAGCTGAGTGTCATCAGTAGATTAATTTCACCTAGCCCTACAATTCCGGATAACTCCCTCCAGTTAATTTTTATAGATGTTAGATAGCATTGGTATAAAATAGTGCCTTGTGGTAGCCACAGTAAGCCTCTATTATGCAAAAGTTTAGACATCATTGAAAGACCTTTCTTGGAAGTAGAAGTCAAGTATATTGTAGCAGGATGCCACCAACTAACAAATTATCCAGCATTATTATTAAAATTTGTACAGAGTAAAAACACCGAAATATTAATATTAATAAAGATAAAGGAGCATAAATGTAAATGGAACTAGGCAATAATAATTTTTAAAATTCATACGCTACATAGAAGGATTTGAATCACTCTAGCCAAAAACCTGGGCAAAGAGGTAGATCTTTAAGACCTTTAAGACCAACCAGCAGGATGGAGGCCTACTTAAAATCCAAATCTCGGAGGGAACCTCATTACAGAGGGCAAGTGCACTGACAGAGAAGGTGTACTTTCAAGATTCTGATAGATGGCATTGTTCGGAGAGGAATACAGAGCACATCAACTTTGTTATAGCAAATGGCCAGATGGGAGATAAATGGTTCCTCAAGTTATCAGGCCCTATGTCACATAGACTTATAAAAAAATAACCTGGAAGCAAGCATGCAGCTTAGGTAGTAGGAATATTGCACAGGCAATCCAAGGCATGCCCATCACTGCTTGTATTGCTGCATTCTGGGCTTTCAAGAGTGTTCCTACGTAGAATATGTTGCAATACAGGTAATCCTTGACTTAAAACCATTTGTTTAGCAACTGTTCAAAGTTACAATAGCACTGAAAAAAGTGACCTAAAATTAGTTTTCACACTTGCAACTATTGCATCACATCCCCATAATCATATGATCAAAATTTGGGTGCTTAGTAACTGGCATGTATTTACTTTCGGACAGTTGCGCTTCCTAAGATCATGTGATCACCATTGGTAACCTAGCTCTGCCACAATTCATCTACTAGCACAACCAAAATTGTCTGTTCTAAATCCTGCCCTAGAAGATAAACTGCTTTCCTCCAGATAATCTGCAAAGAATGATAGTAGTAGATATACCTCATGAATCAACAGGGTCACATTCTTTCTGTCTCTCTCCCACAAAAGATAATCTGTGAGGGCTCCATGGCTGATTCTAACCAAGCCTAAATCCAGATTATGAAAGATTGAGATAGTGGATGGGTAAAAACTACAACTGTACAAACACCATCATCTCAAGCATCTTACCCCCAAAATGGTGATTTGTTTCTAGGTAGTAATTGATGTAATCTTCTGGATTAAGGGACAGTTTCTTGAGAGTGAATTGGCCATTGTCTTCCATAAGAACCTTATTCAGGTTATATTTGCACTGATCAATAAAATACTTATTTCAAAAGGTTTTTCAATTTAATAATTTTATTATTAGAGATGCTTTTGGGCAGCATATGCATTTGACTGCTTTGCTTCCAAAATTAATGCATGTAAAGCCATAAACAGGAATAAAATACCTTGAGGAGTATCTTCTGCATATGCTTAAATTGAAGTACGCTCCGTTTCATTCTGTCAATATCTGAGATGCCATTAATGGGGACATAGAAGAGAACCTGTAACTCCCTGCTTGTAGAAGCCCATTTTATCTCTTAATATTTAATATCTTGTGAAGGTCACTTTGGTTTTAATTTTTATTAGCTGCTAAATATATATTAACTGTTAACTTTAATATGTTCCTCAATATTAATAGCTCATACTAAAATTAATAACTAAAAATGGGAATTATGGTCAGATGAACTAAAGAAATTCATAAATTCAGTAGTCTTGACTAAGAAATGCAGCATTCATTTTTCACAATCTGACTATAATGGCCAGCAAAATATTTCAACACGTTTCCGTTCTAAATCACATTTATTCTTGATCATGTATTGTGTCTCTTTAAAATATAGGCAGATTGCCATGGTTCCAAGATATTGAGGAAGGTGGTAGGAAATAAATTTTGAAATTGTGCTGACTAAATGGAATCACCTAAAGGAATCTCAACTCCTGTCACAAACTTGAACCCCAAAGAGTTCCAAGGTGGTTTTTTTTTTAGCATATTAAAAGCAAAAGCAAAAATCCATCCACCTCATACATTTTACCACTGCTAAAGAGTAGGAAGACATAACAACATGTATCTAACAGTGTAGTGGATTAGGCATTGGACTAGGAATAGGGAGACTTACGTTTAGTGAACCATGGAAGTTACCTGGTGCATTTATACCAGTCATGCTACCTCATAGAATTGGGGGGTAAAATAAGAAAAAGGAATGCTACATATGGTAACTTAAGTTCCCGAAGGAAGGCTCAAACGTAAATATAATAAATAATTATGATGATAAATTGTTCTGTACATTAAGAGTATTTCTGCGTTCACTGTTGAGAAATCTTTATAGGCATAACAGAATTTAAAACATTATTTGGATAAAAAATGTTAACAGACTTCTAAAGATTTTTAGGAAATAATCTTGAGTTTGCTGCCTCAGATTCCTTAGTAGTACTAGAAATAACTGTTAACTAAAGGAACTTTTGTAGTTTAATCATCTGAACTATGTAACCAATTTACAACTACATTTTCTTGATTTTCAATAGGGAATTATAAATATTGTGAAGGAATCTATAAAAAACATTGTTCCAACTTGGCTTCAAAGATATTTTACGCAAAATGAAGAGACATCTCCAAATGAGCAAAGAAATCTGGAAGCGGGGGATATAAACTACCATCCTGCCTTTGCAGATGATATCACTGAAACTGCTTTTGACATAGATGGTCGAATCAATCCTGAGCCAACCAGAATTACTTTAGGAGGTGGGTTTGTTTATTTTATTAATCCATTAATAAGGCTAATCAATAATAACATTGCAAATTTTCTCCAAAGATTATGAATTATGATAAAGATTTCGCTAAATTTTCAGACATATTATGGAATACTTTTTAATATATTTTCTAGCATCTTTATACTCTTTAACTGGTGCTTTCCAAGATGATCAGATTAAATTCAATGGCAAATCAAATTTAATTTAATAATATTACCATAAATTACTTTTTATGGCCAGCATTTTATTAAGCAAATCTTTAAAAAATAGTTTACTGGAGAAGTTAAGGTGATAGGTGACAGAAGAAATTAGCTCATCCTCCTTTTACACAAAAAGTTATCTATATTCCAAACTAAATTTTACTCATCCAGTTAAACAAATTATTTGAATATAAATTTTAAAAGCAACAATAATTGTTGAGTTTATCCTTGCCTACTTCAACTATTTTTCAACTATTTTTCCCACAGCCAAAGAGGTTAGGTCTATTCCTCTCAATGTTTTGAAAATCCCTCAAGACCCAGACATTATCTGGCCTTAGGGGACTTGGGAGATTTTTCTGTGGTTAATATCTTCCTGTTTTGTGTGCTTTTTTATCGTTATTTTTTAACTATAACTGATTGTATGGATGTGTTTGTCTTGTCTGTGTATTTATTATAATTATATACTGTACGATACCCTGAGTCACTTTCAGGTGAGATGGGTGGCTGTATATATGTATAATAAATACTTCTTTTAAATGTTATATAATTTGTACTGCAATGCTTGTAAGCTGCCTTAAATGCTTATATAAGAAAAAAAAAGGCAGGTATAGAATTACTCATAAATAATATAAAGTAAATCTAATCACTCAATAACTTAATTAAATGTAACAACCTACTGGGCATTAGAATGGCTTATATTGTGTATTAGTCTTTTAAAATGATTTAACTTCTCTGCTGCAGGGTAGTGTTGAAAAAGATTTTTTTAAATTCTTTATATACAACAATAGTTTTGTTATAGTAGTATAGTTCTAGACACAAATATAGTAGATATTCTAAATAAATTTCCTTTCCTCAATTTTTGGGGCCAGAGAGGAATGGAAAAATTGAAGTATAGTATGAAGTAGGCAATGTTTATTATTTAGTATCCTTTATAAATAATTTAAAAAATTATTTGGTTTTCCTTTTCCCCCCTCTATATCACCTTTACAGAAGATATCATATTTTATGATATGAACTTGTCCTTAATCTCTTTCCACACATACTTGCTATTTCAGATAATTGTGTGATTTTCTTTCTTTCTCTTTAGAGCCATCAACAAGTAGATCTAGTTTAAATTTCACAGATATTTTAACACGTCCCTCTCTTCATCGAAGTCACACTAACTGCAACATTTTGGATTCTTCACCACCACTCTGTCAACCATCCACATCAACTGCATTTCCAGTTAGTAATTCTAGACTTTCACTTGGAAAAGAAATGAAAGATTCTACCTCGCAGCATGAAGATGATAACATCTCAACTACAAGTGGCTTCTCTTCAAGAGCATCTGATAAAGGTAACCAATTTCACTGTAATTTTTAAACTAACACTGAAAAAGTATCTGGAACTTGTGCGTGTGTGTGTATAAATGTGTGCTTTTTCTTTTGCTCTTCATTTTACTTAATTAAAATTGGTGGAAACAGCATATACATCCTAGGAAAACCCTTTTTTCATGTTTAGCAATCATCCTAGCTCACCTTTTTCTACCTTCAAAATAAAGGGCTAAGCTTCAGTCAAGCACTGCTTTTATTTTTGTAATAATATCTCTGGTTCCAGAAGCATTTTTGAAAATGAAAATAGTGCTAGAAGCTTTATTTTTACAATTTGCCAGACCCTCGTGTTTTTTAATGTAATAAGTATAATCTAAAAATAAAAAAATGAATCAGTGTTTTCTGTATACTATATTTGTTTTAAAATGCATTTTATAATATAAAGAAGATATTGATGTGGGTATATGTATATTTTTAGACATAACAGTTTCAAAAAATGCTTCAGTGCCACCTTTATGGTCTGCTGAGAGTGAAAGACCTGTTTCCCTTCCTCAACATTCAGCAAATAGTTCTAAAAAACCTGGATTTAATTTGTCTGCTTTTGGAGCACTCTCTCCTGTAAGTACTGCATAAGAGCTACTTTAACCCTATTACTTGTGTTTTCAGCTTCCTAATTAAATATCTTTCTGTATTTCCAGTCACTTGGTAATGCATCGTTTCTTAAGGCAAGTCAGCTTGGGAATTCTCCATTTTACCCTGGTAAAACTACATATGGTGGTGCAGCTGCAGCAACAAGGCAGTCTAAATTACGAATTACTCCATATCAGGTAAATAAATGCTGGTGATTTTAGGAAGTCATAAGGGTTAGGAAATAACTTCCATGTTTTGTGTACCAATTCTGCATTTTCTTGTCTTAGCATGTATTTAAGTAATATAATTTTTCCAATGACAATTCGACATTGGAAGTATGAGACATATTCTAAGCATGAGATATATTGATTTTTGGATTATTTTGGTCAGGATTTGGTATTGCATAAACTTGAAGCTCATGTATTCCCATCATTTCCCTCTCTTCTGGGCAAGATTTAAAGCTTTTTTTAATGTCACTAAAAGTTTTCCAACTTCACTGTTTTTCTATCAATGTTTCAGTTTAAACCTAGTAAAAACAAAAGTGAAAGCTACAAATTGTGGCTTGTTACAATAGCATCTCATACTGACACTTATTCTTCTATACTTCTCAACAGTCCTACTGAAAGTGTTATTCTAGGATTCTCAATGAGGTTATGGAATATGATCCTATGTCTCCTCCCTTCCTCAGTGAGTCAGCTAAAAGGAAAGAGCTACAGTAGTTGTTGCCTTTTTCTTCCTAAAATACCTTTGATTGCCAATATCTTGTTACTATATGGCGGCAGATGAAGAATTGTGTGAAGTAGAAGGTTACTACTGTAACTGCCTATTTTGATGCTTCTCTTTTCAGTGTCAGATTCTTCCTTCCTTCCTTCCTCCTTCCCTCCCTCCCTCCCTCCCCTCCCCTCCCCTCCCATCATTTAATCACTCCATAGGTCTTGATATTATTTCACTATGCCAAGATGACAGAAGTTTCTCTTGACTTACGTTACACCATGCTGAACATAATGATTGTTTTTCCCAAACTTGCAGAAATTCAGGAGACAGCCTGACCATTTCTGTGTCTGCTATAATAGGAAAATTAAAAATAAGGATTATAATGTTGATTATGTTAATTTTTCAGACACCAATAAGACGACAAATGAAAGCCAAGCAAGTGAACGCACAATCGTATGGAGTGACAAGTTCCACTGCAAGGCGCATCTTGCAGTCTCTGGAGAAGTTATCAAGTCCATTAGCAGTAAATTACTCTCTTTTAAAAGTTATTTTCAGTACCTAACACAATATTATCTATGTATTATCACTGCATTTGATAATTGTACCTATACCTGTAATTTAACAGTGTCATTCTTATTCAACAGGATGCTAAAAGAATTCCCTCTTCAGTTTCTACTTCATTGTCATCTGTAAGTTAATTTTCAAACTTTTGAAATTTCCTGACGAGTTTAGTTTCAAAACCCAAGACTTAATTTTTGTGTTTTATATTTCAGCCTCTGGAAAACAGTATGCTGAATGTTACCAATTTCCATTCATCAAGGAAAAGAGTGAGTTGATCTACAAAATCTTACCATTATTTTTAAGCAGTGCAGAATTTATTTAATTCTTTGATTGATATGGAATTGTTATGTGGAATCTGACAGAGGGCTTATAGGGTTCCAGTAAAAATTAGGAAAGAGAAGAATGTTCTGATCTGGCATGGAAACTCCAGGAAATACTGATATTTTCCATGTGTATATCTTTGGACTATACTGATCCAGCCATTCAAATAATACTCGAGCAGTTTTCTGAAAATATAAAGCTCTTTTGATACCAGACCACACTCCAACAGCATGAATCAGTCACTGTTCTGGAAAATTGGAACAGTTGGATTAGTGTGGTCCAGAGAGGGAAAAGCCCCCCCAGAAAACTCTAGCATTCCCACAAATGCTCTATCTCTCAAACAACATTAGACTGACTTCTGTTCATGTTTGAAATTTAGGTTTTAGATTAACACACTTGATATAATAAATTTCATCTTCTATTTTGTAGTTTTCCAATTTGTTTGCTGCATTGGTCTTGTATAAACAAATTCAATTTTATTTTCAGTTCTGGGTTGTAGACTTTTGTATTGAAACATTAATTCCTTGCTAACTGACAACTGAAAGAGATGTCAACTGATGCTGTTTTCTTTTTGGCACATGTCAGATAGATGCAGCCACCTGTCATTAAGTGGAAAAAGAAGGAATTGTCTATTCATAGTATAATAAATTGCTGGCAGTAGTAATTGTTGGCCAGAACCAGGAGAAGTATGTTAATGGTTTGTTGCCAAAGCAAATGTGTTGTCTACTGTCCATAATTTCTTGTGTAAAAATAAATTGATATAATTTATTAATAAAATTGGCTGAAATGGCTAGCTCAGATGACTAAATAACTTTCTGTATCATCATATTCAAATTTAATCAATATTTTTATATTAATCTAGCACATATTGTTTTATGGTAAATCTTATTAAGTTTAATTGGGTTTTCTAAGAATTAAATTGTTTAGGTTTGGCATACTAGTCTATTTTCTTGAGTACATTTCTAATGTCTGAAATAAATATGCAAATTAATTAAAGATATAATTTTAGACTTTGAAACTAGATATTTTATCATTTTATATACTACTTATTTCTGAGTCTTGAGGTAGTTGTTAATAGAAATAAGGATTTTTTTTTAATTTCAATTTTTTTTTAAATATATACAAGCTGCAGCAAAAGCTTTCACCTGTGTAGTGATGAATTAGCTTTCTTCTGGTTGCTTTTGGTTCAGTGAATATTTCTTATTTTAAAGGTTGAAACTCATTATCCACCAGTTCAGAAGCTTGTGACACCCAAGCCTGTTTCACGGTCAATGACTCATTCACAATTTTTTAAACCTTCTCTCGTGTCTACTGCTGAATCAAGCAGGATACGAAAGAGACTAGAGATCAACCATAAAGTAAGTATATGTCAAAGCATCTAACCATATACTTAACTGTTAAACACACTCCATTCCTCTCCAGTATTTGTGTCCTGACTTAATTTAAATTAGCATTCCTGGAAAAATCCATTAAATATTGTTTTACCAGTACTTTGCCACTTATAGTTAGAACTTTTGGAGACTGACAAAATAGAAATTGCAACCTTGCTTATTTAAGTCTGCTTTTGAGGTATGATTTGTGATCAAAATGGATAAAAAAAACATTTTTTTGTTAGTATAAATAGTGGGACTCAGGTTTCCTTGTTGAAAAGTATGTTGGCTAGTGTACTAACAGAATTAATTATGAGGTGTGTTTTTGGTTTGTTTTGGTGCCTTAAAGTTGATGTTGTAATTTTTTTCTTAGCAAGGTTTTTTGGAAGTGGATTACTGTTACTTCCTAATGGAGAATTATTTGAATTATTCTGGACAGCAGGGGGCAGCAAGGAAGTATTGAAGAAACACATGTAAACCAAAAAAGGGAGTTTGAGAAATGTTTTGTGTTTTTCATTTATTAATGCAGTTTTCCTTTTTATAGAACAATAGATTAGAAAATAAATGAACTAGGAATTTAATCATAATACTTGTTTACAGGCAGGGCAGGAGAAAAGGCTCACAACGGAATTGCAAAGTGAACAATCAACAAGGTATGTAAAGTTCACTGTGGTTCTGAAGGACCTATTATGAATAAATTTGATTTTTCTTATGTTTTTCATTTTTCAAAGCAAGAAATTGAATATATTATCATCCTAAAAGATAATAAAGATAATCTTCAACGTACAACCAGTCTCTTAGCAACTGTTCAAAGTTACTACAGATCTTTCCAGGGCTACTTACAATCCAGATTCAAAGTTTCAGTGAACAGCCCCACCGTCACATGATCACACTTTGTCACTCAGCAATCAGCTTAGTCACAAGATGACCCATTTAACAAACAGCACAAGCTACGACCATAATGCTGGGTTCAATTACAGTTATAAGTCTAGGGCTATCTGTGATTATGAAACATTGTTTACCTTTAGTAATGTTAGTTTCTTTACTCTCCTTCAAGGCCCATGTGTCTTCTGAAAAACTTCTCCAATGAATCAGAAGACCTAGTACACATTGTGAGAGTAAGGACTAAATCTGTCACAATGTTTCTAATTTTAATTGATTTTCTCTGCCACAACTGACCAATAGGAAACATCTGTAATGTTCAGGAGGTTCCCTCATTGAATTTTTCTGGGCAAAGATGTGTAGAAGACAATGGATAAGAGCAAGAGAAAATGGATTATGTAAAATTGGTTTTTGCACACATTGTTGGATATTGAAAAAGAAAAAGCTATTAATTACAGACCCTGAATTGGAAATGCATAAGATAGGCCTGTAAAACACTTGAAGGTAACAGAACTATCTTGAAATTGGAAGGAAATGTCCCAATCTCTTTACAAAGCTCATCTGAATCTATAGGTAGAAGAGAGGAAATAGTGAGGCTATATGTTTCAATAGGATGTAGGACTCACTATTGCCTGCTTGCTTGTTTTCTGTTAAGAAACTAATGTTTTGTGCTCTGTAGTCAAAAACATTACAGGGAATTTTATAGATAACTTTTTAACATTTTCTAAAAATTAGAAGTTCTGTAAGGTTTGCCCTCCAAGACAGGATGTCCCTGTCTTTTGGTGGTAGTCCTTGAGAGAGAGAAATGGCAGTGGAAAATAAAACCATGAGGATTTTACACTTTTTATTAACTTCTGACTGGAATAGAAACATAGTTATATTTGTTATTTATAGGGCATATCAACTGTTGCAGTATGCATGAAATTTTTTTTAACATCTCTTGATTCTGTCTCAACAGCGTCACAAGCCCTACATTCACGGCTTCTACAGCCAATGGACTACCACCTGCAGTAGGAAGTGCTGGAGGCAAAATGAGAAAGGGAAGAGGTATACACTATGTACCAAAATCCACAGAAAATGAGGTAAAATATACATTATTTTTCAATATACTTTTTTAGTGGAGAAGCTATATGAAATATTAAACTGTCCATAGATCACGAGCCCACTTAAGATCTTTTATTCTTAATTTGTTTGAATAACATAATAGACAAAACTGTTTAGTATGTTTTAAACCACAAGTATCAAAGCCTATGTGCTGCGTTTTTAGCCAGTTGGATTCCTATTTCCTCTGTACTGCAACAGAAAAGGCAATTAGAACCTGGGAAAGAATATGCATAAGGCAGTGATGCTCTGTGGGATGGGGCATTGGTCTTTTAACGACTATGAACAAGCCTGTTAATTGGGTTTTCAGAGGCAGGTATATATCGTATGGGATATTGTAGCAAGCACTGCAGGAGAAATCTCAACTTACCCCATGACGGAGAAGAGAGATGTTTGAAGTATAAAAATGTCACATCTTGCAAGTTTTATATTTTTTGTCATCACTTACATATTCTTATTAGATATTTTTTTAAATACTTGAATAATTTCATCATTTAAATTAACATTTTTCATTTATTGGCTAAATTGCTTTAATTTTTCTTTAGAAATAAGCAAATGTGAACTTAAAATATAGATTTCTATTGAATTTGAAAAATAACAACTTGAGTTTTCAATTTTAGGAGATGGAGATACCAGCACTACCAGAAATTTCTCTGCCCATTAGTACATCATCACTGCCAAAATTCAGCTTTGGCCCTCCGGCTAGTTCTTCTGGTTCATCCTTAACTTCCAGTGCTGCCCAACCAGTGACTAACAAGGTAAATAGTGTATAAAGTAGTTATTTTCTGCCTATTCTTTCTTCCTTAATCTGATTTTGTACCTTCGTCAAGCTTTGGAGTTTTGTCATTTCACATTTTCTTTGACTAGCTGATTTATATTCCTACAATAAACAGTATAGACTAATACAAGTAACTGGTGCACTGCAAAAATGTCAGCAATCCATAATTTATAAACATTGCCCTTAGTTGCTGAAGGCTTTTATATTCCCAAACAAAAGGAAAGCAGCAGAATTCCTAGTTCTAGAGTAAATAGATTATGTGTGTGTGATCTACAGATAGTCCTCGATTTACAACAATTCGATTAGTGGCTGTTCACAGTTACGTCACTGAAAAAAAGGACTTAGGACCATTTTTCACATTTATAACCATTGCAGATCCCCATGGTCACGTGGTTTACATTCATATGCATGACAACTGACTCACATTTATGACAGTTGCAGTGCCTTGGGGTCATGTGATCCCTTTTGTGACCTGGCAAGCAAAGTCAATGGGGAAACCAGATTCACTTAACAACTATGTTACTAATTTAACAACTGCAGTGATTCACTTAACAAACGTGGCAAGAAAAGTCGTAAAATGGGAAAAAACTCACTTAACAAATTTCTCACTTAGCAACATAAATTTTGGGATCAATTGTGATAATAACTTGAGGACTACCTGTATTTTGATTTTAAATTCATGACAGTAATAAAGTTATAATGTCAATATTTCAATAAAAAAATAGATTACTTCATAATAGTTGTATATATTGGCCACAGTGATAAGTTTGTTGGCATGTGGCCTCTGTACATCAACACATTGAATTTGAAATGAAACATTCAAGATGTGAGTGGAGGATTTTCAGTTTTAATTCAAGGAGTTTAACAAGAGCGGCTATATATATTATACAGGTATGAGGAAAGTATCCTTCATGAAATGTGTTATTCTGTGTAACTGATGCATTGTATATTTTCAGCATTGTGTATCTATTAAAGCTGTGTAAAAATTGCTTTAATTATGAAGGGGTACCTACAAAGAATTGCTCTTCAGATTGCTAAAAGCAGCGGCATCTTTTTCCAGACTTACATAGCTGCTTCAGAAACTACTCCTGGCTGACAGCATGGTGCAAGCCTTGAAAAAACATGGCTGTTATAACTACAGTATTTGAAAATAAATGCTTCATACAAACCTCTTTTGAAAGATATGAAACCTTGGTGTGAATGCATATAGATTGCAGTCCTGCACTGTTGACCTGGAAATAAATCCCTTATACGGGATTATGTTGCATTCTGTAAGATTGACTGGAAGATTCATACTGATTTCTGTGAAATTTAACAAAACTGGATTTGTTATGTGAGGATTATATTGCATGAAAGGATGATAAATTCATAGATATATTTCTTTTTTATTATAAAACCTGCCAGTTCATGTTTTGTTTGACAGTTGCAAAAGCTGTCTGGTAAGCCAGAAATAGAATAGATGCTGGTAGCATTACCTGTTGTCATTCCCTTAAATAGTAACATCTACAGTTTCAGCCTGTTTTTGAAAAGGATTTGACATTAAACATAGTTTGTTACATATTGCAAACTACTTTTGAAACTCCACTTTGATGCAGCAGAAAAGGATACATTTTGTTTGGTAATGCAGAGCATCATTTGTTTCACAGCAAAACCACCTATTTGTATGTGTTCATTTCTAATATAATTAAATAATTACTTATTATATTCTTTAGAGCAGGGGTCCCCAACCCTTGGGCCTCGATCCACTAGCAGACCGTGGCCTATTTGGAATTGGGCAACATGAGTGGCTGGCTAGAGCGTGCGCATATGTACACACAGCTCAATTTGCACAAGTGGTGGGCTGGTGAGTACTATTGCGCATGCACGCTGGCCCGCCACTCATATAAGTTGAGCTGTATGCATGCACACACTGGCCCGCCACTCGCACAAGGGCTGCATCACGCTTGCGCAGCCCAGATCTCCTCTCCCCTCCCCCTGCCCCCACTGGGCCACTAAGCCACAAAAGTTGGGGACCGCTGCTTTAGGGTAGCTGTTTAATATTTGGATTTTTTTTTAAAATTAGGTACAGCCAGCTAGCAGTCCTGTATTCAAATTTTCATCTCCAATTGTAAAATCTACTGAAGCAGAAATGCTGCCTCCAGTATCTGTAAGTAATAATGCATGTGTGATTTTATGGTAATAATAGAAAACAAAATGGTTTAAAGTTCAGAAATAGAGGTCTCCTTGCTATTCCTATTAATAGAATAGGTCTAATCAACTTCTCTTTTGACATTTAATATTTATTTCTGTCAGATTGGTGGATTTAAATTTAGTGCTCCTGTTGCAAAATCATCTGATCTTTCAGGATCCAGGAATACTTCATTATCACCCCAAATTAATTCAGGTAATTTTATGCATTTAATATAGAATTTTTTTCTTGACTTAGAAATTAGGGTTATATTGCTAGTTCAAAAGAAATGGAGAAAATAATGGTTAAAGTATATTAACTATTCTTTCAAAAGTGAAAATCTCTTCCAATTTTAAATAATTTCTTAAGCATACATTCAGTTTGGGTAAAACGTTATTCCAGGCCTTCATGGTCTTCTAAGAAAGATTATTTAACTTCTATGACAGTATGAAACTGTTAATTGTAAAAGCTTCTTTATGAAATCTCTTGTAATAATTAGTCCATTATCTGATGTATATTCGCTTAAGGCCACAATGCTATCCAAACTTTTTCCATCAACAGCTGTCAACAACATAAGCAATGAGAAAGAAAATGAGTATGATGGTCCTTTTAAGCCTGCAAAAATCCTAAAAGAAGGGAGTGTTCTGGATATTTTAAAAAGTCCTGGTGAGTCAATAGATGAGGTTTTAATTATATGGAAACAATAACTTGTTTTCTTCTAAGCATTCTTAAGAAAAAAAGAATTTGACATATGAAGAAGTGTAAATGTGTACAGATTTGGGTGCATATTAATATTAAATCAAACACATTCTATATAATTCAGGATGTATTTTATACGTTTATTCATTAAAAATATGTTTTATTTCTTTTCCCAGGTAAGTTTTTAAAAAGAAGCTCATGCCACATATTTTTAAGGACATTATTTTAATCTTATTTTCAGTACAGTGGTTAGCAAAGGAAATCTTAGGGAATTTAATGAGTACATATTGTTACTAAAATGTTGATTGTTTCAAAGTAGTATGTTTCAAAAGAATTTTTGCTGGAAACTCAAGGTTCTTTTCCGTACTTTTTCCTTAGATTTTGCTTCCCCAACTAGTCTATCAACATCCTCATCATCAATCACACCATATGTTGAAACAAGCACAGTGGTTTACACAAGGCCTGCAATAAGTAATTTTTCTGGAGCTGTTTCAGGATTTGGAGATCCTATGAAGCAAATGCCAACGCATTGGCCACAATATACATGTCTTCCACAAAACAAGTTGGCAGAAAATAAATGTACATCCTGTCAAATTACAAAAGTGCCAACTTCCAGTGGTACTAAACAGACTGAGACTTTGACTCAGAACACCACCATCAAATCAGTAGTTTCTTCAACAGAAGCACAGGGGTTTGGAGATAAATTTAAGGCAGGAGCTGGCACTTGGGACTGTGATACCTGTTTGGTCCAGAACAAATCAGAAACTGCAAAATGTGTGGCCTGTGAAACACCAAAACCTGGAACGGGAGTTAAACAAGCTCTGGTGTTGCCTCTTGTCACAGACAGTGCAACCACAACAGTGTCTTCCTCTTCTAGTTCTACTACTGTTACAAATACTTTAGGATTTGGAGACAAATTCAGAAAGCCGAAAGGTGCTTGGGAATGTTCTGTGTGCTTAGTGTCAAATCTGGAAGAGAACAACCAGTGTGTGGCCTGTCAATCAGACAAAGCAGGTGAGTGCAGCATTTGAAAATTGTAACAGAAAAAAAGAATATATCTCAAGCTAGAATCCTAGACACAGTTACTGGAAAGTAAAACAACACTGAGTTACCTGGAATTTTCTTTTGAAAACATGTACAAGATTACGCTATTAAGTAATTTATTTTAAAAATAAAGCCTAGGAAAATATACTGAAATATATACTGAAAATATACTGAAATATTTTGTTAAAATATGTGTAGCCTGCTTTTAGTATTATTATTTTATTTTTTGCCCTTACAGTGACCATGTTTATGCATGCCTATGTTTAATTATAATACAAGATTTTATTACACTGCCAAATACCAAAAAAATAGACAGTGGTGTACAAATGCAGATAATTTGTATGCCTGTTTTCAGTTTTGGGATAAAGGTAATAATCATGTGATAATGCCAGGTGGCATAGATGACAAAACTGAAAAGAACCTCTGTTATTAAGTGATTCAATATTTCTTTTATAGATTTTTATCCTGAATTCATTTTTAGATATCACTGAACATTTGGACATAAGACTTGTTCCTCCTTTAAGAATTCCTTAATTAATATGTTAGCCAGTTTCTTAAGAATTCTAGATTCACTCTGGATTTTTATTTTTACAGTAAAGCAAAACATCTATTATTTATTTGATAGCATGGCACCACCTATTGTGCAGCAGTTTAAGTTCGAATAAGTAAACTTTCTGACTTTCCCCCCTCTGCTCTCATGTATTTTATTGTAACAAATCTGGAAAACTAGTTTGCATTTAAAATTATAAATATTGATTCTATGTTCAATAGCCCTATGAAGCAGCTATTAAACTTGTTTATTTTAAATTAGCAGTTTTCTGGAACGTGCTTTTGCTAATAGGTGCTTTATATCATTTTGTTTTTATTATTTAGGGAGTTCAGTACCTTTGGTCAGTGGCAGTACTTCAACTTTACCTACACTTTCTGGAGGATTTTTGAATTTAGACAAATTCAAGAAACCAGTAGGAAGCTGGGACTGTGAAACCTGCTTAGTACAAAACAAACCAGATGCAACCAAATGTATAGCTTGTGAGAGTTCAAAACCAGGCCACAAAACTGAATTCAAAGGTATGTAAATAAAGTAAACTTTTTTATTTATGTTATTCATTGCATTAGAAATAATAAGCTTAAGTCAGATAAGTTCAAATACTGGGTGCCCTTACTGTATTATTTCCAATAGAATGCAGTGTTGGATTTCAACCTGCATTTTCTTATAGAAAAGCAGTCTTCAAACCAACATTTCAGTATGATTTCCATTGTAAGCAAATATCTGTGTGTTTTGCTCCTCAACCCTTTAAATGAATGAGGAACTCTTTGTTCAAAACCGAAGGACTGCCTTCTCTGAAAATCTTTGAACTGCAAGAGGAGACAGAGTAACATGGGATTGGAGAGTCAAGGATGCAGTTTAAAATAAATATTTGTGGGAGTAAGTCATGGTAATGTAACATCCCTTAAAAAATTGTGGTGGTTCACTTCACTGCAAGTGGAACCTAACTATAACCATGTCACTTAGTGATGGAGTTGCCAGTTCCAACTGTGGTAAGTGAGGTATATTGAACCTCAGACCCTTGGCAACTACATAGACAAGTCCTTGCAATCTTTGTTGAAAGGCAGCTGTGAAGATCACAGATGGTGATTACGTGACTATTGGATGCTCCAACCATTGTAAATGTGTGCTGGTTGCCAAGTGACTGAATTGTGATCATGTGACTGGGGACACTGTAAAGCAGAGGTCCCCGACCCCTGAGCCACGGCTCACTACCGGGCCATGGCCTATTCAGAACAAGGCAGACACTCGTGCGTCCCACCCACCCACCAAGCCAGGTCTCCAAGCTGCAAAGGTTGGGGACCACTGCTGTAAAGCCTAGAAATTTGTGGACTGGTCATAAAACACTTTTTTTTCAGCGCCGTCATAACTTCAAATGATCATTGAATGAGTGGTTGGAAAGCAAGGATTGCCTGTGCCCCCTTAAAATATGCCAGATTGTTCAAGACTATATTAAAATTTGAAATGTATTAAATTAACATTCCATTTAATTGCAGGTTTTAGTACAGCTACTTCCGAGCCATCTGCTCTTTCATTTAAATTTGGTATTCAGTCATCGTCGCCGTCATCAGAATTATCCCAGACTGCAGGAAAAAACTTCAAATTTGGAGAACAAGCAGGATTCAAATTTAGTAGTACATCAGATTTGGGTTCTTCAGGAGGCTTTAAATTTTCTAAAAATGAAGGCTCCAATCCAGGAAGCGTTTCTTCAGAGTCTAAATCTGAGGAAAATGTGAAAGAAGGAAAGAACAACAACACTTTCAGTTTTGGACTTCCTGCTGGAGGTAGCAGTTCATCTACTACCCCATTTCAGTTTGGAATAGCTAACCTTGGACAACAAGAGAAGAAAGATGGACTTAACAAGTCAGTTGTAGGAGGTTTCACTTTTGGCACAAGTTCTATAGGAGCCGCAACTGCATCTGAGAAAAAAACTGGAATAAGTACTTTCAAATTTGGAAATGTAGAGGAGAAGGAAATTGCAGAAAGTCCCTTTTCCTCTAAGAAATCAGAGAAGAAGGAAGCACCTTCAGCAAAAGGTGGCTTTACTTTTGGTAAAATAGACCCTGTGAATGCCCCACTGCTTACTATGGGAAGGACAGATGAAAAGCAGGAGGTGGCTGCCTCTTCTACTCCATTAGTGTTTGGAAAGAAAGCAGAGCGCGAAGAGTCAAAGGCGCAACCCATGTTTTCATTTGGGAAAACAGAACAAACCAAAGATGATGGCACAGTAAAACCTGCATTTAATTTCGGCTTGGCAAAACCTGCTGAGAAACCAGCTGAACAACAAATGAAACCAACATTTGCATTTGGGGCACAAGCAAACTCTCCAGGTTGGTGCAAAAATCCATTGACTTCTCAAGTTTTTATTTCATGCTTTTTATTTCTTTGATTAATGGTAATATTAAATTGGCTGATTATTTAGAAGATTTACCTCTGAAAGACCTTGAAAATATTGATTCCCATTTGCAAATTCATCATTAAAAGAGTGATGAACTTCAGCAGAACAGAGTTGAACCAATGTACAGTGCTTATTATAAAAAGCCTAATTGAATCAGAAAACAGATTTATCCAATAAATGAATAAAAATAAATGAGAAGAACTAAAATTAAATAGATTTACCCACTGTTTCTCATTCAAGCTGCAATATTAAACTAAACATTGAAAGTGATCCATGTGCAGGCATGGATATCCATACTTGGCAAGACTGTTCCCATATAATGGAACATGTTTTTCGCTACAAACATTGTACTATTTTCAGTATTCTTAATAATGTAGGCTAGGGAATCTAAAGCCAAATTTTAAAAAATAAATCAATGGGGTAGTTTTGAAATACTATGGCATAAATTTAAGGAGAAGGCATATCTTTATTACTTATTATTTGGGGGTTGAATATATCATAGTACCCCAAAATTTCCAGAAAGCATATTGGACGCTTTCTCAGCATTTAGAGGTTGGATTTTGTTTTGAATTAAAACAAGTACATTAATGCTTGATAGTATCTGAATACTGTAACAATATACAAAACTCACATGAGGTTGGAATATTCTGGAGAACTTTTGTCTGAAACACCATATCTGAACTCTTAGTTTCAAAAGTTTTACTTTCAAACTGCCCAGAACCATATGGTTTGGAGCAGTAATAATCCAATTCTTAAATTGGTAAGTTTTTCAAATTTTTATAGTACATCTGAACTTGATGACTTTCTATAAATTCAGCGTGAGCTAGATATCCAATAGGCAGAACAAGAAGCTGCAATCTAGGGGTCAAAGGTACTGTTAAAATGTTAGCATCTACATTGATAAAGGAAATAATTACATAATTAAAACACATAGTTTTTCCTTCTCTGGCTTGAAAAAACGTAATATCTCATTAAAGTTAAAGATAGGACTTATTTGAAAAAGCATAATCATAAACCTTTAGTAAAATAGAGATCGAAACCCAAGAAGAAAATGTTGTTTTGGAAAGCACCAGTACCTCATAAGTATGCCAAGGTAGGTTGCACACTAGTAACACAATTACAAAAATGAAGCCTTCCTTCACTTGTGTATTATAGGAATCTGATGCTTTGATTTTTTAACTGAAGTCTTAAACATGATTTGAGACGACAGACCTCAAGTTCTAACCTAATAGCCATAGTCATCTGGAATTCTGCAGAAGAGGGAGGGATTTTTCTTTTTGTTCATCCAATATAAAAATTCAAAAAGTGAATTGAAACTTCTCCCAGTCTCCTACTGTTTTTTTAAAGTGTGAACATTTTATTTTAGACTTGTATATCCTTGTTTTTCCTACAGACTAATAATTATAATATCATTCCTATCAATTGTGTAAGAATGAATGATTAAAAAGTGGTAAAATTGTCACCATTGCAAGTTAGAATGAACACGTTAACTTTTGTTTTCTTTAAAAAGAAAATTATAGAAATTGAATACCAATCAGCATTCACATCATAATATAAGTCTGTTTGAGACCAACAATCAGAAAAGTTGGAACCCCAGAATCAAGAAAGGCAGCATGACACAATAGTAGGGGAGGGGCAGTTGATAAACACAAATTGAAATACAAGGAATGTTGGGATGTTGGCAATTAAAAAGCAGAGGAAGTAAAGATTATGATATGCACTGGAGGGTAAAAACAGCAGCAGCAAGGATAGGAAGAAGTGAAAAGAGAAATATATAAACGAAGGAGTGCTGTGCTTTACAATGTATGTAGTGGAAAGGGAAACCCAAATAAGAGGATGGGGAATATTTTAATGTTAAGAATAAAAAGCAACTTGGTAAAAGGAATTTAATAGCTGAATGTCAAAAGAGATAAAATAACAATTTTAAGCTATTGTTGATTGTTCTATTTAAACATTCATGCAGCCGTAACTGCATTTAGTTTCTTACAGTTTCTATGAACATTGAATATTTTCCCAGAGTAATGGATTAATGGTTTGTAATTCTATGGAAAGTCCAGAATTCAAAATAATTAAGTACAATTATGAGCTTTTGAACTTCATTGACCCATCCTTACAGGTGCATAATGAAATCTTACAATTGAGGCTTTAATTTTCATTAGTAAAGTAATTATTTAAGTAACTGATGTTTCATCAGAAAAACAGCCAAATATTTTAATAGTAAAATATTCATTCCTCATCCCAAACCTTTTAAGAATACAGTACTCGGATACTGATAAAATTGGAGCAGGGAGAATAATTGAAAAACATAATGTTTGAATTTCCTTTTTTTAAAGAAGTGGGGAAAGACCTCGCCCCCTCTTTATTAACAAAATGTGTGTGTATCAATGTACAATTAAATCATTAATATTTGAATCACTTTATTTTAACAAAGTGAGTTCTTTTTACCATTGTATAATATAAAAATGGATATTCTTTCAACTTTATAGTGAAAATGTTCCATTTGTCCTTCTGTTATTGTTGGTACAGAGTCAAAAGAAGCAATAAGAGCGTTGAAGTTGAATGAGAATGTGTAGTTATTCATGCTTGGGTAATAATAAATGAATTATCTCTTTTTGAGCTGAATTTATTTAAGGAATTATAGTGGAAATGACTCGCTAAACTGAGGTCTTGCAATTATAGCATCATTATTATTATTATTTATTACAAGGGAAAAGAGATAGCAAGGAGCAAGAGAATGAAGACACAAAATTCAGTCCCAACTTAAAATAGATAAAAGATGGAAGAGGAACTCAATGTAGAAACAACAAGGGGAAAACATGATCAAGTATGTGCAGAACATATAGTGTAATTGAGAACAAAGATTTTTAAAGGAGCAGGAAGACATGTGCAACATTGTGCTGATTGCAAATTAGTGAATGAAAAAGTTTCCTATTGTGTCGGTACTAAGAGGTAAAGGTAAAATTTTACTCCTCTAGTTGTTGCCGATTACAGAAGGCAGTGCCCATCTCTGTTTCAAGGCCATTGAGCCAACACTGTCTGAAGACATTTCTGTGGTCATGTAGCTAGCATGACATCACAGAGCGCTGTTACTTTCCCACTGAAGTACCTATTTATCTACTTGCGTTTACATGATTTCAAACTTCTAGATGGGCAGGAGGGTACAAAGAAGAGATACATAAATATAAGTTGTGTATCTTGAGCATTCGTTTATTTATCCTAATTTAGAGGCTGCCCCAACTTCTCCATGTGGCAAGGCAGCTTCAAATAGAAAAAACACACAGGAGATAAAAAAGAACTGTGCCCAACTGGAAAAACAATGCACCAAGCCTTTTATTAAACATAACAAATGGCTTTCCCAACCTCATTATCCTAAGGCTTGAGAGAATAACCAGAATTTTTTAATGGATTCCTAAATGTCACAAGGAATACAGCAGAAAAGGCATTATTCCTGTGGTGACAAGACAACAGTATTTGATTGATGAGACCTGGATTTGACCCATTTTACTGTAGAGACAGGCAGAAGCAATTAGAGATAATCCTCAAGATATCCAGGCCCTATGCCATGAGGTGTTCTAAAAGTAACAACCAGTGCTGTGGGTTCAAATACAGACATTAACATAAAACATTTTAAAGACTTATTCAACTAAAACTAGAGCTTTACTTGCTGGGAATAATGAACGAACAACTGGAAAAGACTTACAGATTTACGGATAATGGTTTTTGTGCAATAATCTCACAGTGAGATTATTAAAATACCTGAAGTACTAAAATAGAGGAACAATGAAGGTTGATGAAGGTGACAGAATTTGCATAGATGCAAAAATGGACTATTTAGTTAGAGAAAAGACAATAATTACAGTCGTCAGGGAGTCAAAATCCATTCTGGACATTTGCTGAAATTGGAACAAAATGCCCTTGTGATTGATGAGTTTAATGATTAGAAGCTAGATAATGGAAAAAGGGAGTTATGATATAACCTTAGAGAAAGAAGCTAAAATTTGAATGTATTATAAACTGTTCTAAAGGACATTAGAAGATATTTAACAAAAATAATTTTAAAAAATGTGATAACCAATACTTTGATTTGGACTTGGAAGCCAACTAGTATTATAGCTTGAAATACAGTTGGTTCATAAGCACATCTATTTATATATTTTATGGATTTATATACCCACCAATCTGAAGTATGTTATTCTGAGTGGCTTACCCTCCCAACATTGCATTTGCTACTACATTTTGGATTAGCTGTAACTTCTAGATGGTCTTCAAGGACAGCCCCATGTAGAGCACATTGCAGTAATCCAATTGTGAGGTAACTAGGGTGTGAGTGATTTAGCAAAGGCATTCTGATACAGAAAAAGGTGTAACTGGCATTCTAGATGTACCTGTGCAGAGTCCAGGTTGACCATAGCTGCGATCTGTTCTTTGAACAGAAGCTGGGAAGCCAAGAGGACCCACCGATTATGCATCAATCTCAAATTAAAAAATGCAGCTCCATTGAAGATTAATAATCCCTGAAGCTAGGAGACTCCAAAGAAATAGTCCATCTTTTCAGAATTGAGCTCTGAGAGTCTCTTCTACCCCATCTATATCCACACATCCTCCAGCATTGGATTAGGATTTTTATAGAGACACTTGGCCAACCAAGTAATCATCAGCATAATACCTGATCCCAAACTAACAAACAGCTTTCACCCAGGTGGTTTTATGTAGATTTAACCAGAAACAGGGAGGATGTCAAACCCTGCAGGGTTAAGATAGGAATTAAAGGGCTGTAGCCGTGATTTCTCCCACCCGTCAACATCGATTCAAACCAGCCACAAGAAAGGAGGAGAATTACCACCGAACAGTGCCCACTGCTCCAGATGCAGGTTGAAAAAGTTACTGTGGTTGACACTTACAAAGTGCGGAGAGTTCAAGAAGCAGTAGGAATGGATGTACCGCCCTTATCCCAGCTTCATCACAGGTCATCAATAAGCATGATCAACATGACCCTGTACTAAGCCCTGGCCTGAAACCCAACCAAAACAGTTCCAGGTCATCCACTTCTTACAGGGTTTTCTGGAGCTGAAGCCCAAGCACTTTCTCTGCCACCTTCTCTAATCAGATGATCAAGAGCTTTTTTGCTAATAAGGGCATGTTGGACACTAGTTGTCCAGCAGTGGTTTCTTGAGGAGGAGAAGGTACATCACAACATTCTTCAATGAAGAGGGATCACTTCCTCATTCAAGGTTACTTCCTCGGCAGCTCACCATCCAACAGGGGTCTGTATCTAACAGGTAGGGGCCCAATCTAACAGATAAGAGTATCCTCTCCAGTCTCAACATCAAATTCCAGTTAACCCTAAAAGATCTTGCCTTGGACCCCTCAGGTGGTCCTGTCTTGTTGGAATCTAGCTCTGAATGAATCCAAGCACCTGCCAGTTACGAAACAATAGCCCTGTTCATGGTCCTGCTGCTCATCCTGGGTCACCTTACATAAAGCTCTTCTGGGCAGTTAACAACAGACACAATAAGGACAATATTTTGCTGTCTTTTTTTACCATGGTGTAATCCATAATATGAATTCCTGCTTAAATTTAGATACTGGATTTGAAGGTAGGGAAGGAAACTGGGAGAAAAAAACCCTGAGAAAACTGAAAACTGCAAGATGAAAAATGCTATCGCGGATCAAGAATAAAATACGAAAAACTGAAGAGAAGGGAATTATAGCATCTGGCTTTGATTAAATTTGCTGTTAGGGAGTATCTGACCACATAGAAGCATTTAAAAAGCATCTAATAATATGAAGTTGCTAGGGTAAAAGTAATTTGGGAATCTATAAACCTTTGCATCTCGTTGGATATATGTGGGAGTAGAATGCATTAAAATGTGTGAAATATTGCTGTGCCTAGTGGGAGACCAATTTAATGATTCAGACTTTGGAGTTTTGATTATGTCTTGTTGTGTGGATACCACACATCAAAAATAAATGTAATAGGCTTTGCTGAAAAGTGGATAGCAGCTACCTAGGCCATTGTAGTCTCTCACCTCAACATTGCCCTCCTAGATGCTAGCACAATGAACCCCCTGTTGTGTTTGCATGAAAAATGCTTGTGTTCTATAACACCAAATTTCTGGTCCTACCTGACTGAAAAGCCATGGTTCAAACGAAAGAGTACATGTTTTCTTAAACCTGACACTTAAGAGACAAGAGGAGCAAGCATGCAAGTACAGCATGTTTTCAGTAGAGTAATCCATGGTTTAGATAGAGATTTTTTAAAATTAAATCATACCATTAAGTTACACAATTGCAAAGTACTTGTATAAAACATGTTTGGGAACTCTTCACTAAATGAGTTGACAAAAAGGTGTATAATCCCTGGTATCCTTTCATCCCTTAGAACCCTTTATCTCTTCACAGCATCACAGTAGCAGTCTTCATGGTTTGTTTCTAACTCATAATTTGTTTTACTTTTTAGATCCAGCACCAGCAAAGGAGGCATTCACCTTCCTGAGCTCTACTTCTTCTAATACTCCTATGCCAAATGTTTCTCTTGGTGGCAGCAATAGCAGTAGCGGCGGCGGCGGCACAATATTTAGCAGCACCACTTCTTCCTCTGCTCCCCCGCCGGCCTTTTTATTCGGACAGGCCAACAACAGTATGAGCAGTTCAGCTTTTGGCAATCCTTCTGATTCAAATACCACACAGTCTTTTGGGTTCTCTCACGACAGCAAGCCGCCAACAACCACTTCCAGTGCAAGCACTCCTGCTCCATTCCTGTTTGGCTCAGTCGCCCCCACTAACATCACACCTAACACCGGCTTCAGTTTCTCAGCACCTACCACAACCACACCTCCTACAGGTATGCTTGAGAATTAGAAAAGTGACTATAGAAGAAACTAGATTTCCAAATAAGAATTGCCTGAAGAGTTCTGAGACTGTATTAAAATATGCAAAGGCTGAATTTACAGACTGCCTCTGGGATGACAGATGCTTTTTGGTTAACAATTTAAAATAATTATTAGTGAAACTATTATAAGTAATCATTAACTTTAGTGAAATATCAGCTTGCTGTTGATGACATGAGAATCTATGTAAGAGCTACTGCAATAACATGAGCTATTGCAGTAGCTTCTACATTAATCAATTACATCAGGCTTTTGAAATTATTCTATTTACTCAACTAGGGTTTTTTCTGCTTCTTTTTTTTCTATCTTACATTATGCCTGTTTCCAAGTAGCTATATGTTCTTTACCGGCATGTTTATTTTTTCAATTGCTCTGTTGCAGTTACTATTGCTCTGTTGGTCTAATCATAGAAATAAACTACAGTATTACAATAATTAACATATTTATGCATTTTTCAATAATGAATGGAATAATGCTTGGATGAGATATTTGCTCTTTAGCAGATCAGTGAGCTAAATGTTAAATGTTCAGTGAGACTGAAATGTTATATCTTTGTTGACTTATAAAATCTATGATAAAATGAATAAGCTTGAATTATGGTATGTTTTAAATGAATATGGAGCTGAAAATTCGTTGCTAAAGGAAAGACTAATTGTGTATTATGGAAGCAAAGTAGGAAGTAGGAATATTCTTTATTGGCCAAGTGTGATTGGACACATAAGGAATTTAAATAATAAGATACAATCAAAAATTCTAAAATACAAACAGCGAGTGATAAATCATAAGATACCAATAGGAGAAGGCAGTAGGAGAGATGACAAGAGTAGATGAGAAGGATAATAGCCCTATTACGGTACATGGGTAAGTATTTTTAGGCATAAGATCGTGCTGTAAGATTTAGGTATTTAGCAGAGGGATGACATGTGGGGGGGGAGGTGTCTTTGTGTCTGGTTGTTTTGGCATCCAATGCTGTATAGCAGTGTCCTGAGAAAAGAAGTGGAAACAGTTTCATGTCCTCCAGGATGTGAGGGATCTGTAGATATTTTCTTAGCCTTCTTTCTGGCTCGTGCAATTTACAGGCCCTCAATGGAAGGCAAGCTGATTCCAGTTGTTGTTTCTTCTGCCGTCCTAACTGTTCGTTGAAATCTGTACCTGTTCCGTTTGCTCTGCCAAACCAGACCGTTAGAGAAGTACAAATGGCAAACTCAAATCATTCCTCTGTAGAACTGTATCAGCAGATCCTTGGACAATTTGAGCTTGTATTTAGCAACTGATTCAACACTGTATTGTATGTAATATTGTATTCAACATTGAGAATATTTAGCAAATGGTTGAACATTTGAGCAAGGGGTACTGTTTAATGTATGTTTTGGTAAAACATTTGTAAGATGTACAAATGCTGATGGAAAAAAGTAGTCATGAAGAATTAATGTCAAAAATAGAAAAGCTGGCTGGGTGTAAGAGTGCGCTAGTTATATAGAAATGAGAGTCAAAGATGTCAGAAGAAATAGGGTCAAGATTGAATGGATGCTGAATGAATATGGACTGAATTCAAAGGTGTCTTCATGCACGTAATTGAGGTAGTTGAAATTGCAAAATTGAAGGAAGGAAAGTATGAAAGAAAAATGGATGGGTCAAGAAGAAGGGTGAGGAAAAACAAAATCATGGCTGGATTATGTCAGACCATATTGTCAGAGAGATGATTATATTCTGCTTTCAATTTGTTTGTCTTAATGGTTTGCACCTTGTGCTTTGCATAGCTCTAGATTCTGAAAGGGAATGCTTGATCGGTTTAATGTGCAGTTCCCATGTTTATTCTGCTCATTTTTTTTCTAGGTTCCTCTTCTTCCTTTGTGTTTGGCTCTGGATCTTCAGCTTCTACAGCCGGTCCAGCTTTTGGTGCTAGTCAGACACCGACATTTGGTCAAAGCCAAGCCTCCAATCAGACCAGTACTCCAAACTTTGGATCACTTTCCTCATCTTCATTATTTCCTGCTAGCTCTCTGCCTGCTCCTCCAGCTTTTGGGACTGTTTCAGGTAGTGCCCAGCCTTCTGTCTTTGGACAACAAGCTAACCAACAACCTGGTTTTGGTTCAGCTACAGCTCCCAGTAGTAGTAAGTTCAAAGTACAATTTTCATTCTGTAACTAGTTATCTTTTTTGAAAAACCTATGTTTGGCTTTCAGGTTTCATATCCAAAACTCCCAATAGGTGACGATCAGAGTTAGTATATCTGTTTTAACTTCCAGATGCTACCTTTGTAAGATTTGAGTCAAACTTGTTCCATTTGGCATGTTTCCCTTACGTTTGAGTACTTTTGGATACAGAAATCCTTTTTATTCCTCTCATTATTTCCGGCTGCTTTCTTCATCCATGCCTGGCTGATGCCTCATCCCCTTTCCCCTTGTCTTCTGCATGGTTGCTTCATCCATCTATGCCAATTATTATTACATCACTTCAAACTGTAACAATATTCAGATTATGAATACCAAATTTCAGATTATTAGTTTGGAAAATATTTCTATGAGCAAAAGAATACTGGGGCATATAATGTCAGGACTCTGGCAACATTCTTTAAGCTGAACATTAATTCCCTTTGAATGTTCATTTCAAATACATTAAAATCAGAAATGTGATTTACAGCTAAGTTTCTATTGACTTCTAACACAAAGTTTTGCAAGAAAGATTGAAAAGATTTATTTGTGATGGAAGTGATGTTCTGGAAGATACTAAAAACACTTTCTGTCAAAAGAGCTAATTGTTTCAAGGAAAAGTCTTTTTGGATATATTATTAAATTTACTCATGTTTACTTTTTAGGTCAAGTATTCCAGTTTGGAAGTAGTCCTGCTAATTTCAACTTTTCAAGCAACAATCCAGCAATATTTACCTTTGGTGCAGGTTCAACTGCACCAGCACAGCCAACAGGTTCTTCGGGATTTGCATTTACTCAGGCTTCATCATTTAATTTGGGGTAAGAAAAGGGTCAAAATAGATTTGCATACCATTGTTTTATTTATTGTATTTGCTGGCATGGGAATTATTTTCTATGAAATTCTTTTATACCGTTGGAAGATAGCAATGGCTTGAGAAAAGATTTATGCAATTTGTATGAAATGAATGAAATTAACTTCAACATTAGATGTTATTTATTGATATTAAAAATACATGGTTGATGTTATGCTCAGAATATTAGTATTTTAAATGATAGAGCCCAAAAGATACATGCAATTTTTGAAACGGAAGAGTTGAGATTCAGAGTTATTATCTGGAGAGTATATAATCCATTTAATGTTTGGAACAGAATTTCTTTGGTAAAACAAATGCTTTTATCTATTTTATTTTACAATATACTTGTTTATTTTTCTTTATCAATGCTAAAAGCTTTCAGATATATTATTCTAAGTTCCTTACTCTTGATTTTTTCACCCCCCAAAGCAGGAATAACGGGAAAAGTACATTCGCCACGGGATCTTCAGTGACTAGTCGGAAGATAAAGACAGCTGTTAGACGTAGAAAATAAAAATATTAATGATTGTTACAGACAGCAACTCAATTGCCACAGTTGGTTGCCCTGCATTGTTCAGTTCCTGAATTGTACCTCATGTTGGGTTTAGCTGAAGCCAGGTCTGCCTAAACTCTGCTCGCTTTTTTTTCTCTCCATTTAAGTTTTTTTTAAAAACAACAACAATAACAATAATAATAATAATTAGAATTGGTGGTAGGGAGGATCTTGAGCAAAACTACTTTAGAATCCAGCAGTTTTTCTTCCCTGACTTGGCATGGTCTGGCTATAGATATAAATATAGCCTGCACAGCGAATGGCTTCATATAATTCCTCTGTTTGCACCCACTTTGTGCGCTCTTCTGCATTTATGGACAGTTCAAAATTGTAATTATATTAGAGAGGGGAGTCTGTATAGAATAGAGAATGTGGATAATGAATTTTCTTTGCCGAGTTTGTGCTGATGTATGTGTGAAGTGAGCGAGTTGTGTGTATAGTGCACTAATTCTGATAGAGGAAGAATGGTTAAAGAATAGTCCATGCTAAGGACTAGTTAGATCAGTAGTATTTCATTCAATAATTATATGCTCTTTCTATTTTCATTCTTACTTATCTCGCCTTTTCATTATTTTATTATGAAACAAATGTGTAAATACTATTCTGTTTCTCTATGTACTTTGACATAACAAATCTGTGAACTTGAAATTTTAATTTTGTGTGTTACTGCAAATTTTTGTTTAGTATTGTCTCAGATTTTATTATGTAAATCTCATTATTCAAAGTTGCCTAAATCCATTAAAAACATTTAAAATTGGGAATTCTTAAAGTAAATTTATTGGCTTTTCTGATCCATTTTTGTTTGGACCAAAAACCAGTATTGTACAAAGTGTTAAGTATATATTTTTATATTTACAGAAATGGACTCTGGTGACTTTGGATAATAAGGAAAAGTTTAATATTAAAGCCATGTTTATTACAGTATAATTAACATGTTAAAACCATGGGATAAATGCCATCAATAAAAATTAAGAAATACACTGGTCTGAATTTTAATACAGACGTACATTTTGTTTAAGTCAATCAGTAATGGTTTATATGTCCTCAGTAGATAGATTTATGTCTGTGGTGTAAAAATGTTGCTTCTGGCATCCCCCCCTATGGAGCCCATGCTAGCTCGCCTCTTTGCCAATCTCCATTTCCCACTAAGCACTTCCCGCTTCTAGGACCACTTGGCATGATCAACTCGCCTCAAGACAACTTGCCATGGCCAAGTCACCCATGGGACAATTCAACACTGTATTCATCATTTCATTCAGTTACTTTTATTATTGGTGACCATGTTTGGGTAAAAATTATTGTAACTCTTGTATTTCTGGATTGACTTCCTTTATTGTTGGCCACAGCTCTGTTGAAATTAATTTAACTTTGGCATTGGTTGAATTGTCCTTTGGTAAGTTGTCCCACAGTGTGTTGGCTGTGGCAAATTGTCCCACTCCACAGCCATCCAGCCACATGGTTCTGTCTAGTGCTTGACTTCTCCCTATTATTTCCCTCTGTCAGCACTGTACACTAAGATATTTTCCTCTCTGTTCTTGCATTGGCCCCTCACACATTGCCCACAATTTCCCCAGCCTAGCCATCTGTTCAACATGTCAACACATGCAACTTGATTTTTTGGATGGGAGAGGGAGGTTGTTTGCTCATTGTGAAAAGCAAAGCAAAGTTGCACCTTTAAAAAAACGAGTGGTTACCGTGATACTGAAAAAATAAAAAAGTTGTACCTTATTGAGTTGTGGCTGTACCCACTTTCAGGATATATTCTTTGACAGGCAGTTGCAACCAGTGACCATTACAAATTCCTGATAATCAGTTTACCAAATACAAAGCAATGTACGTTTGTTTGTTTTTACTGCTGGTATGCTTGTAAATAAGGCATACCAAATTTTCTGAGCCAGAGAGTTGAATATAATTAATTACTAGTCAATGGCTAAATTTTATTATTTAAAGGCTTACAAATAACAATAGAAATACTAAGTTTTATTTATTGTTTATTAATCAAATTTATATCGCTGACCATTTCACAAAAAGTGATTCTGGGTGGCATACAATAGTAAAATTGTTGATGCCAAGAAGTCAGTAAAATTTTAAAAGATGTGGATGATTGGTTAATAAAAGGATTGTAATTTTTTTTTATTTCTACACAAAAGTTTTCATCTGTACAGTCAGCTATGGAAGATTCTGAAAGTAGTAAGCAGTGGATATTTCCTTCTCAGAGTTATTTATTCATTATTTATTTAACAGATTATTGTACTCATGTAGAATAAAGGCAACTTACAAATATGTATTTACAAAACACAAAAGGAGCAACTCCAAACTAGTTAGCCAATGAAAGGGTGACCTAAGCATTGATGGTTGCCACTTGCCCTCTAGAATATCCAGATCTTTCTGAAGATTAGGAGGTTCACGGTGCCCTATATCTCAGTGGGCAAGTGTTGGAAAGTGTGGGGCAGCCAAGCAGATGCATCCGTTGAACCCTACCCCCTTCACCTCCTTGGGTTGAGAAATCTTGGCTAGGCTATCCTTACTTCTTTCCAAGAATTTGGGCCGACCAAATGTAATCAGGAGAGACAAGCCTGTCAGGAGCCAGAAACTAAGTAATATGGGCCTTGAAAGAATACCCTGGACTTCGAATGGAGCCCAGAAACAAATTGGCCTCCAGTGTAGTGACTGTAGCATTGGTGTTAAATGGCTAAGTGCTATCACGGGTTAACAATTGGTCACTGCCCCAGGGGCCAATTGAAACCGGTTCTCTTCAAAGAGAATAGCTTAGAGGGGAAATGGTGAGAACATGCTACTATTGTCAGAACATCCCAAGTTAAATAGGCCCATGGTTGGCACAGCTGTCCAAATGGGGCCAAGTACATCACCACTCTCCAAGGTGGTCATAACCACCATCTGCTGTTCTAGCAGGAACTGAATTGAGAAGGATACCAAACTGCTATGACCTTACTGAATATATCTGAGGAGGAAGTAGAGCCAGGGGCATCTAGGGATAATAGTCCCAGAGGGGGGTGATTCCAGCAATATTGACTTTGGCTGAGGTAGATCCAGCAACCCCTCCTTCCTGCATCTATTGGCAGCCTCTCAGACATTCAAGTCCAGACACTCGGTCCCAAGCAGAGACATGCTTCAAAGATGCAACAGTAGATAGACTGGCCAAAAGGCAGCCAACAGGAAAGTGGATTCTGATGAGTAATGAGTAAAACTGATGGGCAATTGGATGGTGGCTCAGATTGGCTTATTCATTGGCCTTCCCCTGAGGAAAAAAAAACCACAACAAACCCCAGCTCTATTGTGTATTGTGCTTTGAACACTGGATTCCATCTCACTGCATCACTAGGATTTGTCATGTTTAATGGATTCCTGGTTTTGATGGGTGCCACACCTTTTACTACGTGAGTGGTTGCCATCTGTAGATATTTTCTTCTAAAAGTTCTCCCTGAGCTTGCATGTCATTGGACTGGCAGATTGCTATCTTATTGGCTGGCAGCCAGTAGTGCTGGCACACAAAACAACTCCAAAATAATGAATTCGATCCTTTAGGGGCGATGTGACATTATCCACACCTAAAATCGGAGCTGGAATAGAGCCTGATCTATTGCCAGCACACAGCAATTCTATTTTACGGGGATGTAATCTGAGCTTGTTTAACAAATCTGGGTTGACACAGCCTCCAAGTACTTCATCAGCATTTCTACATCATCTCCTGTCCAGGCTTGAATTATAATGTATCAGTTAATATAATCAGCATGTTGGAAACTCACTCATTCCCTCTCCAAACTATGGATTATTTCTCCCAGCAGTTTTATGTGGAAATTAAATAAGAGGGTTAGACTAGCTCAACTGTTTCCTCTGCCTGCACACCAAGTGGAACCGTCTTCACAGGAACAACCACCACAAAGCTGCCTCTAATCCCCAACCCTTGAAGAGGATCCAAGAGAATACCATGATCAATCAAGATCTGATATGGCCTTTAAGGTCTCAACAAAATAATGCACCAGTTGCAGCTTTTTCTATCAGTAAAAAAAGCCTAAATTAAGCAGTTCTTCGTTCAGTTCCTCAATATTTGAGCACCTCATGCCTTGACTACTTCAATGCACTCTACATTGCCTTTGAAGACCATGCAGAAGCTTCAACTGGTACAGAAAGCAGCAATATGTCCACGTAACCCATCTGCTTTGCAAGCTGCACTGGTTGCCAATTTGTTCCTGAGTGAGATTGAAGATGCTGGTTGTTAAAGCCCAAGATAGCATAGGGCCTGGTTATTTGAGGAACTGCCTGTCCCTCGTATCTTTCCAGCTGAGTTGATCTAATGGGGTTGGTTAAATGAAACTAAGTTATCTATCTATATCCCTTCCTTTCCTTTGCCTTCTCTCTGGAATGAGATTCCCTCCAAAGATCTATATCGCTGAAGACCTAGTTTTTTTGCTGAGGCCTTTGGTGAAGGTGAATACTCCCTTTGGATTGGGTGGATTCTTTCATTCCTGTATTCCAATCTTTTGTTCTTAATTTTTGTATATTTTTTCATTTTTAATGTTTATTTGTGAACTGCTCAGAGTCAGACAGCATAGAAATATTAATCAACAAAAATTGTCCATGCCCTGGATTAAAACTCAATTTAAAAAGTCCCATTTCCTCTATAACTAAATCCCTGCCACCTTTTTCAAAACCTAAGAGGTTGGCAATTGGGCAACATTTATCTAAGATGGACAATGCATGTGGGAAAGAGGTTCACCATTGCCTATTACAAGCCGGTTGGTATCACTCCCATCCTTCAGAGGTGTTTCCTCAAGCATAGAAATAGGGCTGATAAAGCATGAATCCAGCTCACAGGTGACAAAATATGCCAGAGTCGGCTCTGTATAATCTGTTGCCCAACTCATCTCACTAAGCCCCGCCCCATGTGGTATCCAACTCTGAACAAGTTGACCATTTTTTCTGTGAAGAATTTTACCAAGATGTCACAGTGGCCTGCAGGATAATCTCCGTAATTTTTTCCTTTGCTAAGGGGAACAGGTAATCTTTAACACAACCACTGGATAAGCATGCAGATGCATTAAACACAGAAATGTGAGCATACTTTGCTGCTATAGGTTGTCCTCATTTATCAATCATAATTGGAAAAGCCAACTCCATCATTAAGTTCTGTGGTTGCTAGGTGGAAAAGCACAGGATCACGACAAGCTTACATAACTTCCCACCCTGTTATTAAGAAAATCACCAGTGGAAACCCGCACCTAATTACAAGTCCTCTTCTCTGGAATGACCAACTAACCACCTCTCATGGCATCTCCCAAGGTTCATTGACATGGAAATATAACCTCACTACACATTTGATGCAGAGGTGGTATTCAGCAGGTTCTGACCAGTTCTGGAGTATCGGTGGCGGAAATTTTGAGTAGTTCAGAGAACCAGCAAATACCACCTCTGACTGGCCCCGCACTACCTTTTCTCTGCCTCCTGAGTCCCAGCTGATCGGCTGGGTCTTCTTTGGTTGCCCTGCACAGGAGAACAGAGCTGGAAAGCAGGTTAGTGGGGTGGGGAGGGAATGGAGAGTTTGCGGTAACCTTCCCCTGCCCGCTCACCAAGCCATACTCACCAAGCCACACTACTCCCACCAAGCCACGCCCACAGAACCGGTAGTAAAAAAATTTGAATCCCACCACTGATTTGATCTCAAGGCTCCCTGACTCACCTTTTAGATTCCACTTAGAGCAATTAGCTCTCTCAATAAATTCCAACCCTATGGAGGAAGAGTCTGGAAGCTACCACTCCTGCTCACATCCATTCCAATCACTCCACTCATTTCTCTCATTCCAACAATCCCCACCTCAACCACTTTCTCCGTTAATGTCCTAGGGCAGTGCGAAATCAATAACCTTCCATGTTGTACTTTTTTTTTCCTTTTTTGCTGTTGAAACATTTCATCTCTCATCTCTTCAAGGCTCCAGAGGATTGTGACCATAATGGGCAATTCATATCTGACATTTTAGTTTGATTCCATTTTGTCCATTTGCTCTTTATAGAGCTGTTGTTTTGTGGGCGTTGCTATAGTGATTTGAATAAGTATACTACTTGGGACGTATTGCTTTCTGAGATGCCTGATAAATTGGTACTGCTGCCAGATGGGCATTCTGAAAAGCAGACTTTCTGCTTGTCTTTTTATGGTACTTTTGTGCCAGTCTTGTTTCCTGGCAACTGCCTGGATCAGTCCCTGCTGTTTTCTTGGCAAGGTTGTTCAGAAATGGCTAACCATTGTCTGCTTCCTAAGGCTGCGAGAAAGAATGACTGGCCTAAGGCCACTCCTGCCCTCGTATTTAAGGCAGGATTAGAATTCATGGTCTCCCAGGTTCTAGCCTGATGCCTTAATTACTACCCCTAACTAGTTCTACAACACAAATTTAAGTGTTATTTTTCGAGAGACGCATATAAGAAATATAACAAGACACTTCAATCCAAAAGTGAACCTTTATTCAAGCCAACTTAATACAAGAGAGAAATCCTTTAGAAGAGAGATTTTATAGCAAAGTCTTCCAAAATCTTCCAAATTTCTATAATTAAAAGCCAACTTCAAAAATTCAAAAAATGGAAAATAGAAATAACCAGTAGATGTATTAAATGAGCAAATTTACAAGGTGTTTGAATATAGATGCTTTTCTTTAAAAAGAACACTTGCAGTTGTATACTTACGAAGGAAATATATTTTTCACAAAGCTGTAATTGTAGAACAATCTTTAATGGGTTTAGTTTAATACATTCAAATGAAATTGTCTTGGCTTTCCCAACTATTTGATTCAGATTTATGAATGTATTCATACTAGGCTAGGGGTATCAAACTCACATCGTCACAGTGGCGTCGCATGACGTATCGGGACTTTGTCCCCTTCACTAAACCGGACATGGGAGTGGCCAGCGCGTAATATGGGCTGGGAGTTTGACAACCAGTATGCCAAAGATGAGGGCAATAAGTAATACTGTAATGTTGCAAGGCCCCAAGAACTACATTGTGGATTTACTTCTGAATAGTTTTGTTTATTGTTTTTTTTAACCTATAAACAGAATCTTGCCGGGCTAAAGCAAATATTTGCATAACCATAGATAACTGTGGGAACTGCTAAAAGAGTCATTTTAACCCTTTTCCTGCCAGCAAATTTTCCAACCTCCACTGCCTCTTTGCCCCCTGGAAAGAAGCCCCTCCTTCCTGGAAATGCAGTCCACCATAAATGTCAAACTTGTACTTTAATTGCTGTCTTAGTTGACCTTCGTGCTAGTGACAAAATCACTAGTGTTAATCATTATCAAAAAGCTGAGTAATCAAAGAACTTGTTTATCTACAGTGATGATGCTTGGAATGACATAGTAAGTAATCCATAAAACACCTACTAAAAGGGTCTAAATTTGTAGAAATGTGGCACTGGGTAGCAAGGCACAAATTACGCCTTTTAAATAACAACAGATGGCAGAGACAGTGGAAGCAAAAAAGGCAAGCTAAATCCTAACCTGATGCTTCCTTTCATCCACTAGGACAGGGATTTAATATTTTCTTTCACCTGTTGATTTCTCTGGGATATAGTCTGAGTAACATATTAAGATATGATGCAACTGCATGATAGTCTAACCCTCTTGGTGTAATCGGGAGCTAGACCATTCCATGCCTTAAATTATGATTCATAGGGAGTAACGTAGTTCCTTAGATACAGTTGCCTCCAATTTGTTTTAAGCTGATTTACTCTAACCATGGTGCCATCTCAACTGTTCTAGCTGCTAGATCGGTAGTGTCCAACCCATGATCTGCATGGGTTGCATGTAGCCTTGAACAACTAGTAATGCAGCCCCACAAGATACTAAAATTTTAACATTATGTCACTTATATACATTAATTATATTATACATTTTATGTGTGTCCCAAGACAATTCTTTTTCACTCAATACAGCCCAGGCAAGCTAAAAGGCTGGATACCCCTGCTTTAGATGAAGCTACACAGGGCCATTTTAAATCACATTTCCACTAATCCCAGGAACTGAAATAGGGACACCAAAGGGATAGGAGTGAAAGCTCAGTCACATAAACTTCCCTGTGAAATGGATCCGGCTTCCCCATTGATTCTGCTTATCAGAATGTCGTAAAAGGGACTCACATGACCCCAGGACACTGCAACCATCATAAATGGTTCTAAGTCAAGAACTACTTAGTAGTCTTTTCTCCCCTATAACTTTACTCAATCCTAAATGAACAGAAAACTAACAAAGAATATCCCTATTAAATCAATGTGTCAGATGTAAAAAAACTGAGAACATGGCTATTTCACATAAATATATAAAAATAAATCATGCAAAATAAATAGGTTTTATTTAGTAAGTATAATTTAAGTGATCCAGGCACACAGGCAGATAAAATAAGAGTACTAATTTACATTTTTACACTCTTTGTATTGCTTTAGCAATAGTGTGATTTATTTTAAAATAAGAAACCACATTTTCTTATAAAATGGTGCAAAAGGTTATACATATATTTTCTCTGGTTTTATTCAAAAATTAGTTTGACTGTTGTTAAATATATGTGAAATAAGTGTTTTACACAATAAAATACAGATTTAAATTTTCTATGCTTTTATAGAAAATTCAAAAGTAGGTTTATGGAAAAGATGGGAAAACAATTTATAAACCACCCAAAGCAGGGGTTAAATTAAATCTGTCTTGGCTGTCTACAGCAGGACTGCCAAAGCTCCTAGTATTTTACCTATTAATTAATACTAGTTTTATCTTCATAATATCTGATATGTTGAATTTGTATTTTGTTCAAATACTCACATCATGCAAGACATTTAACACGTGTACAGAAACATCTTCAGTATTTAAAATACAATGGTTGTGTGAGCAATTAATGATAAGGCTTCTATATGAGTAGCAAACACTTACAAATCCCACCAAAACAACAGCAGCATACAATTCTCGGTAGTAAATTTCTCTCAAAAACACTGTAATTGCTTTGGTTCCTCCAATAATGACAATGGTTTTGTTTTCATAAAAAATAAATTATCTTTTGATACAGAATTAGTATTCCTCTCATAAGAGAAATACTATTCCTTTGAAACTGCCAATGACTTTTGAAGATTTTGAGTGTTCTGGCTCTGTTCAAATATCTGCTCTTGAGTTGCCATTCAAATTCATTCAGCACGGGTCCCCAAGACTTATTGCACTCACGTTGTAACTCAATGTTGTAATTGGCACTGTTCTTGAGTGAGATTCAGAAATCCAGCAAAGTGGCTCCAGTATATTTGGACAGTGGAATAAAGGTATCCTTGAGTATCATCTGAGACCATGTCTTTTTACTACGATAGTCCCTGCTACAATATCATAAGCTGTTCTGTTATGTTGAAAGAATAACAGAGTAATGAATGCTGGAAAGAAGGAAGCAATAGAAAAATTCTTGATCAAAGCTCGTATTGTAGACCTGTAAGGAAAAAGCAGACATATCTCTAGAATTTGTTGTCTGAACTGGACTATAGATGAGTGCTACATGTTAAAAATAAAAATGCTCAAAATATTGTCAGCATCGATAAACATGTTTTTTTCTATTCCTACTCTTTTAATGAGTCCTTTCTATTTTGAATAAGCCAACATTTCTGCAATCATATTTTTACTTTTTTCACGCACATTAATTTCTAGCATTTATGTAATGAATACCATTCTCCTGCCATTATGAAAAAAGATTATCACTTCTTAAAATGATGTATCTGTAGATTTAATTAATTTTCTGGAAGGAAACATTACCTCACAAATCCCAAAGAAAGGATGTCAAGCAATGTTTTTGCACTGATTGTTAGTGATATAGCTTAAGTTGTGATATAGCATTCCAGATGAGTTAAAGTCCTACATAATTATGTTAATAGCAATAGCAATAGCACTTAGATTTATATACCACTTCCCAGTGCTTTACAGCCCTCTCAAAGTGATTTACAGAGTCAGCCTATTGCCTCCAACAATTTGGACCCTCGTTTTACTACCCACCTCAGAAGGATGGAAGGCTGAGATTTGAACTGCCAAATTGTGGGCTGCAGAAGTAGCTTACAGTACTGCACTCTATCCACTATGCCACAGAGGCTCTTTAACAAATGCTGTTATTATTATTGTTAATGCTGTTGAATTACTTAATCACACACAGTCTTATTGTCTAGGCAAACCTCAGAGTAGAATTGAATTACTGAAAATATTAATCTTACGATTAAGAATCAATTTAGCACAGCTGAAGCTAAAACACGATATAATGAAATAATATAAAAATGTTTTGAGGGAGATAACCGTGACTTATTCTTCATTATACAATGTCTCCCAACAGTGGGCAAATAATTCAGATTTACAAGTATGAAGAGCTATAAATAAGTTCCCCAATTTATTCAACTTTTTTTATCATTCAAAAATGGCTGAAGACAGATTTATTACATACATTTTATTTCCAGCAATGTACTTGTTAGTTTGGTTCACTTAAAAAAAAAAACACTCCCAAATCTGCATTGAGTTTAGTCAGGCTGTAAAATATCCTTAAATATGAAGCTGAAGTAGGGAATAAAAATTATATAAATCTAATAATATTTACATTATGTAGATCAGAGGTGTCAAACTCAAGGCCCGGGGGGGGGGGGGCGAACCTGGCCCGCGGGGTGCCTAGATCTGGCGCACGGCACCCTGGAAACAGCAAAAGACTGGCTCATGGTGCCTCTGCCAGCAAAAACGGAGCTTGGGAGAGTTGCATGCCTCCTGAGCTCCGTTTTCGCTGGCTTAGGGTTGTAGGAGGCCATCGCAGCTGAAAACGGAGCTTAGCAGCCCATTTTCGCTGGCAGAGCACTCGGGCCACCTCAGCCGCCCCCAACATGACGTCAAGCTGGCCACCACCACCCCACGAGGTCAAACACAACCCTGATGCTGCCCTCAATGAAACCAAGTTTGACACCCCTAATGTAGATTATACATCACTGAAAACACCTTAATGATTCATATAGGTATAATATTGCAGTGACAAAAATAAAACTTACGTTGTTATGCTCACATTAGATGATGGTATCACCAACACACGACTTGGTGCAATAAGTACTGATGTATCACATGTCACAACTCGAAGGCCTAGCAGAAATTTCCCAGGAGTTGCACCACCAGCTCCCCAAATACAAATGATCTGAAAGAAAAAAATTCTCATAACTAAAATTACATGTTTTACCATGCATAATATATCAGTAATGAAACTGTCTTGAGACAAGATAAACCTAATGTAATACACATTTGAAATAATGAGACTACAGGCTCCCTTCAAATTACGACTGGGACTGAGATTACCACATGACTGTAAAGTACGTAATCACCTCAACTCGCTTTATAACAGCAAGTCAGGCAGTCCCTGTTGTCACTGTAATTCGAGATGTGTGAGTCATCAAATGGGAAGCAAAGGGAGACTACAGGTAAAGAGCAGAGTTGCTGCAGGAGGGTATGTGAGGGCACTGAGAGGCCTAGCCAGGACAAGCAGAAATCTGGGGAGGTGGTGCTTGATGCAACATGAACTCAGAAAAACCACCAGGAATGAGGTGCAGGGCAAAAGCAACCGCAGGAAGGCTGGGGTGCATGCACGTGAGCAAGCACAGGGCAGCCAAGGAAAGAGGGTGCAGAATACATGTGTTCACAAGGAAGTCAAAGAAATGGATTAAGGTACATGCAAGCAAAGAGGGTGTGGGGTGTTTGTAAGAGCAGAAAGGCCACGGAAAGAGGCCATGGAGTGCATGGATTTGTGCAACCACACATAGGCTATGGAAAGAGGGCATGCGATTGCCAGGACAACAGGGAAACAGGGAATGGAGTGTGTGCACCTATGTTAGTGCAGGGAGGCAGAAAAAGAGGATATGGGTGTTTGTGAATGAAAGGGGAAGGTGTGCATGGTCATGCATGCATAGAAAGGTGGGAGACTTGTGACCTTCCTTGCATACTTCCTCACTGACTTTGCTTGTAGGAAGATGGCAGGAAAGGTTGCAAGTGGTGGTCATATGACTGTGGGATGCAAGTACAAGGCATCTGAATTGTGTTCATGTGATTGTGGGGGCACTGCAATGGACCGAACTTTGAGTACCACTTGTAAGTCCCTTCATTCAATGCCATCATAGCTTTGAAAGGCTGCTGAACAAATGATGGTTAAGGACTACCTGTATAATGGGAGGGATAACTTATTTTCTGTCATCGTGAATAAAACTTGCTCTTATCTACATGGCTTTGTGCGGTTTCTGATTCTTGGTCAAATGGAAATTTTAGTGGCTATTTACCGTTGGCAGTATTGGATGTCAATGGCTTTTATAAATATTCTGAATATTTATTAGGTTAATATAATCTCATTAATCTAACTAAAAATTCAATTAAGTTCATAAAACATATGGGTCAACAATGAAAATAGATTGAATAGTCTCCAAAACAGATATTCTATTGTTTGTACAAGTAAAAGTTGTATACCTCATAGATGCAGACCAGCAATCTATAGATAAGGGCCACTATCATCATCTTTTGCAAGTCTTCCATGGAAGTTTCATCATCTATTTCTTCTATAATGTAGTGCATAGCAAACTTTGAGATATCCCTGCATCAAAAGTATAATACAGTAAGTAACACTATGAATAAGCAATACTATTCTATGTATAGCTTAGAGGTAACATAAACTGTAAATGGAAACGTTTTTATTTAGTGGACTTTTTGTTTCAGAAGAATATTCAGGGTACAAAAGTTATGTACTTTAAATTTGAATGTACTACTAATAAAACATATTGTCAAAGAAAATGGCATCTGAGGGCTCTTTTATACATCTTGTTTGCTCTAGCATGATAATGACTCACAAATTGTTTCTTGAGGATAGAAACACATGACACCATCCTCAACCCATCCTCAGCACGTATGGGTAACTTTTGCCCATATTTCTTGATCTGCATTAAAGATAGTGTGATTTTAGATGGCATAGCATGGCTGCTTTGTTTCACTTGGCTGCTGGCAAATGTTTTTGCTCCAATGTCTAAGGTCTGTGCTGTGGCAGAAACGTCTTCTCCTTTGGTCACCGGTTCCTGTTCTTCAGGGCCTGCTGGGCTGCCTGCTCCCTTCTGAAGGGACCATTCCACAGTGGAAAAATGAATCGATGGGCTCTCCCACTCTCTGAGGTGAACTGGTGAAATGCTGGCTGAACCTTTTTTCTTTTAGTAGGTTTACTGATGGCATGAAGAAAGACTTTACTCTCTTTTCAAGGTGCACTAGTACACTGCTAGGTCTTTCTGTTTCTTTTTCAGATTGGATGAAATTAACAAGACTTCTGCTAATTTCCCTCTGCAGGTTAAATAGGAGAAAGTCTACCTTTACTTTAGTATTTTCTTTTGAGAAAGTACAGAAGCGGGGAAATTTATCATGGCAATTGTCACCCCAACAAAACATCTAGACAGCATCACTGCCAAAACAGAAGAACAGACAGAAACATGGATACAATGATTTTTTAAAAAACTTTAAACTTTTATTCCATCCTGTTTGAACACAGGAGACAAATAGCTAAAGCTGCCAGGAAAACATCCTTTACTTTTAAAATTCTTTTTAAGAAGAAAATATATACTCATTTTGCATGATCCATGCCTGCAGTTTGAAATGGAATAGTTTACTGTATTTAGAAATAAATATATAATGTAGCAAGCAACAGATATAACGAAAGTGATTAACTAGATTATGTACTGTGCAACTTACTTTATTCCACTTAAGTGCATAATACTCAAAACTATTGATGCCTTGATAAAGAAAAGAATAAAGAAATCCACCATCTCTGCTATAAATCGATGAGCCAAAGACGGGATTATGTATTCACGACCTGAACAAAAACAAATAATTTATTTTGCATTAAATATCATAGAACAAACTCTGTAATATAAGGTCAAATAATTAATTAAAAACTTCATTTTACACACTAATTTACATTTCAAGTGACAATATAATAAACTCATACTTAAGAAGATAGGGACACAACTGAAAATGTATTAGGTTATATGTTTTACTACAGATCATTATGAGATCTTTTGATAGAATTCTGCCCTTCCAAAGACAGCTGCAATGTACGGACTTCACAAAGGATTAAACACTAGCCATATTCTGCTGTACCATGCTGTGGTTAGACAATTGAGACTTAATGCCTGAACTGAGATACCAAGCACTTTCTCGTAAGACACCATAAACCTTTCTCTACCAACTATAGGGCCAATCTTGCTCCTTTATTTAATTTGTGCCCTGCCTTTATTATTTTAATAAATAACTCAAAGCAGTGAACTTATCTAACAGGTTCCTCCTCCTATTTTCCCCATAACAACAACCCTGTGTAGTGAGTTGGGTTTATGCCAGGATTTGATTACTGTAAATAGAGGATTAGAAGACTCTTGATATTAACGGACGATCTGATCCATAGCCATGCTCTTTAAAAAGAGTAGCAGGGCACCTTACACTAAGAGGCCATTGTACCGGGGACTGATAAGAGAAGCCGATATTGAATCTGATATCATTCCAGAGATACAGAAATGAAAAATTCAAGGCTCAATAGTATGGTTACCTAATATCGTTAAGCAATACGAATACTGTTACCAGGCATGTAGAGCCATAATCAAAGCCACTCTAATATTCCTATTAAAGTATTTCAATAAGTACCAGTTCCTGGCTACCATTTTCAGCAGCAAACCAGGAATTATTCTCCACTGTCCAATTGCTAAGGCCAATGAGTTAGCGATATCATATCTAATTCTTCATTACAGTAATAGATCAAGGTAGAGAAAGCTATAGGAAAAAGCCCTCTGCTTATTTCTCTGCTGTTATTTTTTAAAAATTCAAAATTGAGGAATGAATCCAGTGTTGTATAACTGGACTGATGGAAGGAGACTTCTTCACTACGTATTCCCACTGCAACCTTTCAAGATAACGGAAAATAATATTAGGTGGGAAAAACAACTCATGAGCAATCCTATTTTTTTTAAACCTTCCTTTCCATTACATCCAGAGAAAACTAACAAAAAGAGCCATTTCATTTCAGCAAGAGGCTGAGATAGGATGACTGCTTCCTGTTTAACCTGGTCTTACCTTGAGGGTTAATGCATAAATCTGTTACATGGTAACAGTAATAGTGCTGCATTATGATAATGGGGTTTGTAGCATTTGTAGCCCTCATACAGTAATTAATTACAGGTAGCCCTCAACTTATGACAATTCATGTTAAGTGAGAAACCTAAGTGAATTTGTCCCATTTTACGACCTTTCTTGCCACATTTGTTAATCACCACAGTTGTTAAATTAGTAACAAGGTTGTTAAGTGAATCTGGGGTCTCCATTGGCTGCTTGCCAGAAGGTCACAAAATGACTCGAGACCACTGCAATCGTCATCAATATGAGACAGTTGCCAAGCAGTTCCCTGACCGTAGGGATGCTGCAATGGTTATAAATGTGAAAAATGGTCATAAATCACTATTTTCAGTGCCATTGTAACTTTGAATGGTCACTAAATGAATTGTTGTTTAAGTTGAGGACGACCTGTAGTCTTTCCACCCAAGCTCACTGGGTTCACCTTGTCTCCGTGCCCATCTGGGTTTATGCACTCCAAAATGAGGACATACTGTACACAGTATCTGGTAAGGTGGATCCTAATCTGCAAAAGCTTTTGTTATACCAAAAGTAAATGAGTCTATTAAGAAAGCACAAACATTTTTCACGAAAGTCATCCCATTATGCAAGTCAAGCCACCTCTTCCTTCTGCAGACTTCTTTCTACTTCAACCCCGACCAGACCAGCGGCGTTTCCCGCTGGGTTAAGACTTCGCAGGCACACTAAGCAATACAAGCCGTCCCTCCAGTTATGACCACACACAAAGCCCAAAATTGATGTTGCTAAGAGAAACATCCCTTAAGTGAGTTTGCCCTCCCTTTCACAACTTTTCTTGGTTGGTCAGTTGTCAAGTTAATCAGCTGGTTGTTAAGTAAATGCGGCTTCCCTGTTGACTTTGCTTGTCAGAAGGTCCTAAAAAGGGGGTCGCACGACACCTCCCCCCCCCCCAAACACAGCAACCATACCAGTCGGGCGCCAAGCATCTGATCACGTGACCATCGGGGTGTGTGTGCTACGACGGTTGTTAAGCGTGAAAAACAGTCGTCCCTTTTTTTTAGCCTCGTTGTGACGTTGTCACTGAATGAATTGTTGTACCAGCCGGGATTAAAAAGGAAATTAGCTCCAAACCTACCTCAGGCGTCCCACTGCTCACCATCCTCTCTACCTTCGTCAAAACGTTCCTGGTCTTCGGCCGAGTCCCCACCCCACCCTTCCCTCCTCCTTCCATCTGAAAAGAACGACTCACCTGCTGGCCGGCCAGGCTCCCGTTGGGAACTGCCAGCGGGGGCAGCGACGGTGGCAGGAGCGGGGCGCTGGGCCGGGGCCCCGTGTCGGACTGCGGGCGGGGGCCAAGCCGGGGCCGCGCGGGCCGGAGCCGAACCGCCCTCGGGGGCAACGGAGGTGGCTAGGAGGTAGTAGCAGCTGCCGCCCCCGCCGCCGCCGCCGCTGGGGTAATAGGCGCCGGGGGGCGGGGCCGAAGCCGCCGCGTTCGCGGCTCCGGCCATGAGCGCGGCCAGGCCGCTCTGCCAGCTGAGGTAGCCGCAGTAGGAGTCCCAGAGCCATTGGTGCACGCGCCTGGAGTATTCCCCCGCGCTGATGGCCTCTTCTCCTTCTTGGGCCGTGGGGACGCTCCCACCGCCGCCGTGGCCATCCTCCCTCGGGGTTTCCCTGGCTTCTGCCATGGCCCGGCCCGAAAAGCCTCCTCCCGCCGTGCTTGTGGCGGCCTTGCCTTTTGCACCGCGCAGGCGCAAGCCCGTCAGCAAATTGTCTTTGCCCTCGCTCGAAGGCGGAGGTGAGGCCGCCGCCCGGAACGGCCTTCTCCCCCACAAGGCGAACGTCACTGGCTGCGGAGGCAGGCGGGAGCCCTGAACCATCTCGGCCGGCGTCTTTCCCGGGCTCCGGCACGAACAGACAATTCCCCCCGCCCCCGCTCTCCTCCCTCAACCGCTCTCTGAAAGAGAAAGGGCGGTGTGTGCGTGAGAGGGTGCGGTTTATTTACTCAAGATTCTCAATTGGGTGTAAAAGAGGCTGTGCAAATTGGTCTAGACTTCGGGCGTGGTTTGTGTTGGGGGGGGGGGGGGGAAGCGTTGTGTTACTCTCTTGGCCGTCGCCGTGACGAAATCTTCGATCAGATGACCGCGCACAATTCTTGGGCAGGCCTTTTACTTAAGGTGCGTTAGGTCGGTTTTTCAACAGTTTCGCGCAGGGGCCTCCATCCTTGGCAACTTTTAAGACCTGTGGACTTCAACTCCCAGCAAAGCTGGCTGAGGAACTTTGGGAGTTGAAGTCCACACGTCTTAAAGTTGCCAAGGATGGAGTTCCTTTGGTACCTTTGCGTAAACTGGACTAGAATTGGCATCTTTGCTAGCAAGCTGTTCTTCTAAAACAGGGGTCTCCAAAACCAAAGCCAGGAAGTTGAAGTCTACAACTCTTAAAATTGACTACAGGTAGTCCTCGACATACAATGGCTCACTTATGACAATTCAACATGGCCAACTCAACATTCTAACATGCCGCAGCTGACTCATTGCAGGACAACTTGCTGCGGGACAAAGGTTACACTAATATCAAAGAAATGGTGGAATAGAATCATTAAAGAAAGGAGGCAGAAGGAAGGACCGAATGAAATGCAAATGGCAAAAATTGAAATAATTTTTATTTATTTTAAATAATTAAACGGAATTGTTAACATTCAAAGTTCAGCAACATTCAAAGTTACAACAGTCTGAAAAATGGGACTTATGACCATTTTTCAGTTAGGACCTTTGCAACATCCAGTGATCATGTGATTCACAATCAGATGCTTGGCAACCAGTTATAACCATGGCTGTGTCCCCAAAACACATGATTCTCTTTTGTGACCTTCTGACAAGCAAATTCAATGGAGAAGCCAGATTTACTTAATCACTGGGTTACTAATTTATCAACTGGTGATTCACTTAACTGGAGGGACTTAATAACAGAAAATTTGAGCTCAATTGTGGACTTCCAAGTCGAGGACTACCTGTAACTCAGAGACCCCTGTTGTAAAATAAGCATGTCAGCTGCAAAGGCCGGCAGAGAGGTGGGAACTGAGAGCCAAACAGGATGCTAGGCACACACATAGCCTCTGCCAGGAATTCCTGAAGGAGCTGTGGGGCAGCTATTGTGCCAGCCTTGGGAATTGTGTCCAATTGAAACAGTGCTGGATTACCTAATTAGTTGATGAGGTTTCAAACTGCCATAGGTTTTATATCTCAGAGAACACTAGAAAAATTGGTTGTGGGACAGCGAAAAAACCCATTCTTTAAAATCCTTTTTAAAATGCATGCGCACGTGTGCATATGCACAGAGAGTTCTCTCTTGCTCATTCTGCTCCAATTTGACCAGGTGTGGGTTGGTTTATTTATAAAATAAATTTATATAGCTGTTCATCTCACATAGGTGACTTTGAGAGGTGTACATAGCAATTAAGGAATTAGCTTGTTTCTTGTTAGCTATATTTGAAATTTGAAGTTCAAATGAATTTTCAGGGGATAAACATGTCATGATCTAGTAAGTAACCTTTTAATAATTTAGCATATTTTTAAATACAGGACTAGTACAGTTTTCTGGATAATATTCCTGTCTTAAGTGTTTTTTTCCGGTGAGACCAGTGTCAGGGCAACCTGGTCTACGCAAATATGGGAGGTAGCATACTGCTTCCGCTTTCATCTTTCAGCCCCAATCCAGGAGCCTTCACAGGCAGTTGCTTCGTGATAAACTACTATTGAATTCATAGTTACCAACCTTTATTTCTTTGTCTGTAAATATAAATTTGACACGCCCTGTCTTAACCAGAAATTTAGAAATTATTTTCATTTCAGTATCATTCTGCCATCTGCTGGCTACCTAATGCTAGTGGCTTTGTTCACACTTTATTCCAAATCTAGTTACACAGGCTCATAAATCAGTATTGACTGAAGAATAAAAAGCAGGTGTATTTGCTTTTTTTATATCCTTTTCAAAGATGTGGATGAATTTACACTTTCTGATTTCAAGAGCAATTGGAAAACCCTTACAGAAATTTTGTGCAAAAATTTAAATTGTCCTGGATGTGTATTATCCAAGAACTGTTTGCTGTTTCAACATCTTCTCCATTCTGTTGTTCAGTTCATTTCTGTATATTTCATCTGATGATATTCATATATATGGATGGGTGGGTAAATGAGTGTGGTACAGAAGTGCAGGTTGGGAGCACAAGAGACAGGCAAGATGGATCAACAATGGTGTGATATGGGTCAGAGATTCAATAATGGTGTGGTGCGATCCACACCATGGGTGTGCAGAGTATGTGACTTGCCAGCATGGCATGAGCACAGAGTGGTTGGGAAGCTGTTCATGTGAGGGGAGAGAGACTTAGCCAGCAACTTACGAGCTTCCCTTCCAGCTTCCTATCTTGATTTACCATACTTTCTCTCACTCAGTATGAAATGCTTTTGCCATTGTCATTAAAGTCATCATCCACCTCTAGAATCTTCTTTTGTTACTGCTGCCCAATACAGGTATTTGCTTGCTTTAGCAGGGCAGCTCGGATGACCATTGTGTTCTTGCTAGGATTATATATAGTTGGCATACAGTGCTTGTGTTCTTCACTCATACCCTCCAGAAATACCATGATGAGGCAATATAGTAGGACCTCAAAAGGGAAAGCTGGACATAAATAAAATAGTGGACTAAAAATCTTCTAATTGTTTTTAGACTAGCATATCAAACTATTTGCCACTTTTGATAGCTTTCCATGACCCGTGTTGTTCAGTGCACCATGATTTTTTTCATATAATATTCTGATATCCATATTATAGAAATATTTTTTACAAAACATGAAAGCCTAACAGAACTAAATATGGGGGTGGGGAGAAATTAAATATGTACATTCTCAACTGAATGCTGTATGCTGCTGTCTTTCTTACAAATTAATGTAGGTATGACAGTGTTTGCCTATATGCGGCTTAACATAGTGTAATAATAAAGCTTATGTTTTGCTCTGTAAAGAAACTGCAATTTTATCTTTATTCCTCATGCCAGATGATTGTAACTGAAAGTGGCATGTACTAAACTCACAACATTATACATATTAGACAAATACCAAAATTTTATTTACTGTAACACTAGATATTGCAATTAAAAAGTGTTAGTTGCAATTGTTACAATATAGGTCCTGCTGTAGTTTTGTAAGCCTATTACTGTTTTGCTATATTTGCAAAAATTTGCTATTCAGTAACCAGTGATACATAGCATAGTTGAGTAGTGTGCACAGAAACCATACAGGTACTACATGTCACATCAGTGTTAAAAATTTAACAATGTGGATTTAAAAATCAAGCTTATATCCCTAAAAATACAATTTGAGTTCAGAGGTAATGGAGAAAAAGACCTTTTAAATATTTGCATGCAAATTTTACAAATAGAAATAAAAACAGAACTACAACTCCATCTACTTTGAACAAAATTAAATCTCTAATACTTTTTTTAAAACTAGAAGCTGCTGAATTTGAATTTATATTTATTTATTGCAGAATCCCTCACTTTCACAGTTAGGTTGTAGTATAAATTTGCTACTATTCATTGAAAAGCCTAATGGCAGGAGACAGTCACACAAAATACAACAAAGATTAGCATTACATTTTGGAATAACAATCTTAAAATTGTTAACAGTGTCTGGAAAAGGGACTCCATATAAGCGATCAAAGTTAAACATTCAGCAAACAGGCCAACAGCTTTTTAAGAAGTGGTTACAAATAATAAGTAAAACTTCTGTCAAAAGAAACCAAAAATAGTACCAGTAGTAATAGGTGCCTTGGGTGCAATCCCAAAACATCTGGATCACCACTTGAACACCATCAGCATTGACAGAAATCATCATCAGTTGATTGCAAAAAGGCAGCATTACTTGGAACAATTTATCTCCTATGATGATACCTCTAAGATTGTACAACATCTGCTTATCCTGGGTATTTGGGAAGGACTTTGAAGTGTATAAAAATGTTAAACCTAATCTAAACAACTGATTGTGTGACCAGCCATCATAATAAACAGCCAAGAACAGAGAACTGGGAACATTCGGTGTCACTAGAGTGGGCATTTTTTTAAAAGTACTGATCAGTGTGAACTACTCCATAGTACTGCAGGTGATAGAGCCCTTACAGATGCTCTATTTGTTAGCCTCCTGAGTGCTAAAAATAGAAGGTGGAAGCATATAACTGAAATATAATTAAAACATCTGGCTTTCTTTTCCATTAGCAAATATACAGATTTATTGAGGTCCAGCTATATATAGTACATGGTATCAATTCCATGAAGTAAAATGACGTATTATTTATTGGTATTGGTATTTTTGACCACCAATCATTAAAAAAAGGAATACACTGAAATATTACAAATTATATCAGGCTTATTGTATGAAGTAGCCACTGGCTTAACTCTTTAATGTCTTTATGTGTTCATATGATACCATGAGTACATTATCTGCGAATAAAGGCAAATTGTAGATATTTTAGAAAATGTCAGGTTACTTACAAAAAGTGTACAGAGATTGAACAGAATGATTTCCATGCATATGTAATCATGGCAGAATGCCATGTTTTCTTGAAATATGCATTTCATTATACTGTATGTATATATATATCTATATGCTTTCCTCCAATGATTATCTCAGCGCGGAAAAAATACTGTATGTAAAGCAATTGATTTTATAGCTTCCTTAAAATCTACTAACTGCAATATAAACTAAACTGCAGTAATGTCAAGAAATCACACGCATAGTGACATCATGCAAATGCTTCAATAATATACTTGCACCCTACCTTCCGACACAAGCAGATAATTTGTAGTATTTGCATGATATCATCATGCATGAATCATCATATGTCCCAGATGCCCCCCTGTGGAGACACCCGTGGTGCAATTTAGTGCTGCTTTTTTTGTTCTTCGTGCTGCTACTTTCTTCTGGCAGAATTTCTTTGGAGATCATGGTCAGCAGTTTCTGTATGGTCTGGAAACTAACCCATAATTTCGGTAGGGTCAGTAACCAATTTTGATCCATCCCATGACGTCTTAAACTGTTCAGGGACAGGAAATTCTTTCTGTAAGGAGGCAAGATAGACAATATCAATTGGCTAAAGTGTTGGTTATGAAAACAATACCACTTGATTAGCTTTTAGAGCTCAGAAATTTCTGTATTATCAAGCAACCATTTCATTATAGATATTGTATCAATACCATAGACAGAATACAGGTAGTCCTAGACTTACGACCACAGTTGAGCCCAAAATCTCCGTTGCTAAGCAATATAGTTGTTAAGGGAGTTTTGCCCCATTTTACAACCTTCCTTGCTAAAGTTGTTAAATGAATCACTGCAGTTGTTAGTAACCTGGTTGTTAAGTGAATTTGGCTTCCCTATTGACTTTGCTTGTCAGGAGATCACAAACGGCGATCATATGATCCCAGGATATTGCAACCATCATAAATACATGGCATTTGCCAAGCATCCAAATTCTGATCACATAACCATGAGAATGCTACAATGATCACAATTGTGAAAAATGGTTGTAAGTGCTGTTGCAACTTCGAACAGTCCACTAAACAAGTGGTTATAAGCTGAGGACTACCTACAGGGGTGGCATTTCTGTAGTTTTTATTGATTGAATATAATAATTACATAATTATAATAATTTTGTGGCACTCTTTTAAATTTAAAATTGAAATTGAAAATATCATTTGATAACAGCATGCATTCAAAAACAAGGTAGTGCCACATGGAACAATTCTTGTTTTATGTGCCTTTAAAGTTATCATAATTTTGTACTGCAGTACGACCATACAAGCACATTCAATTTTTTTATAAAAATAATATATGTTCCCCAAGACAGGTTATTGCCTGACAAAAAAATGGTACCACTTCCTCTAGTTGTATGCATTGTTTGATTAGGCTTACTATATATCAGTATTGAGGATGGAATACTTCCTTTACCATATCTGTGGCTGCAAACTAGGTTAAGTGGCCTAGATAAGATTGTATGACATACACAGCTCTTCAACATAGAAAGTTATTATACTGCTAGTTCTATGCTACTAGCAAATGAAGGCATCTTACAAGTCCCATAATATAAGATTGCTGTCCCAACATTATGTTAACAATGGCAACAATATAAATTAAACCTCAACATTTTAATGTCCACCCTAAAATAGCTCTTCAGAACAACCTGTTGTTGTTTTTACTAATTTCTAGCATATGAAGTGGTGGAGAGCTGTCTCATATCCAGAAATAAGCTATTCCACAAGATGGGATTTCCAACAGAGAGCTGCCCCTGCAAGCATTTAAAATGGAGGTGATTACTTCACTATGCTATGTTCGATTATAAGGTATACCATACAGAATATATTGTTAAATATATTCTCTAGAGACACTGACTCAAAAAATGTGTAAGTTCTTCATATTTTTTATGTTTCTAATTGTTATCTCTTGATTTTGTAAAAATTTCATTTCCTTATGCTACTGCATATGAACGAGGTTGACCACCATGGCCCAGAACTGCTCAGTTTATCATTTCCTTGTCTTTTGTCATCTGCATTATGCAATGTTTTAACATTTCTGCAGATGTTTTTATCCCCTAAAGTTATCTGCATTCATGAGATGTGAAGGCTAATTTGGGAAATGCATGTATACGTTGCTGTGGATATACATTTCTGCACAGTGCAACCATAAATATCATCAGTTGTTTGAATGTGCAAATTCATAAAACAGGGAATATTGATTTTTTTTTAAAAAAAAAAGGTTGCTAGGCTAAGTTCCATGCATATTGCTCAACACAGCAGTTGGGGAAAAAAAGAATTTGGTCACTCATATACCCAGCATGTGCAGGTAAAGCTTTTATCTCGTTTTTCTCGCCCTGTACATGTATATATCCGAACTAGACTCTGTTGTTTCTCTGTATCATATAATATATGTGGGTATATGCATAATTTTGTAGTTATTTATTTTGACATGTTTATGTAGTGTGCATTGGAGGTGGTGCCCCTTTGAGAGTTGTATGCCACAAAATTTCATTTTAATGTATGCCGATTAGTGTACATTCAAAGTGACAATAAAGTTATTCTAAGTTTAAGTCATCTAATTTCACATGAAGACCGTAAGGGGGGAAAAAACTATACCATACAGCACCAAACCTGATGGATTCAAGACATTCACTAGAGGGCAACAACCTTCCTCTAACATTGCTTCCTAGCAACTAATGCAAATTGATTTTGGAAAAGGTAAATAACCATCAAGATATAATTGTACATCTCCTATTCAGTTCAGTTGTGTTAACTTCTGGATTTCCAGAAGTTGCAAAACAATCAGGGAAGCTAAGCAGTTTTGCTTCTTCCTCCTTTTAGAAGAGTGAAAAAATAACAAAAAATAATAATTCTACCATAGCATAATGCCCACACAACTCGATTTATGTCTCTTTCCCACCCCTCCCTTGTGAATATAAGGATGAAAACCAAAATAACTACAGTAAAGAGGTATTGGACTTCTGGACCTTAGTTTCTGTCACACAAGGCTGAAGAATGAATTAGCCATCACCATCCAATAGTTGTTTAGGAAGCAGCGCAGTTATTTTGTCCCACAACAAATCCAAGATCATGTGGAGCTAAATAATTTTTCTACTCTCAACCTAACCACTTAGCCAAGTTTGTATATGTTAATTGCTTTCTCATATGTATATGTTAACTGTTAAGCATATTGTATAAATCACTTTTATCACTCTATCATGCAAACTTAACAGGATTAGAAGAATTAAATCCCATCTTAAAGACTTTTAAGGAAATGCTTCATTTTATTGATTTACCAAATATACATGTTGCCAATTTCATTTTGACTCATGACTGCTTGCAGTACTGAAAATATCCATGGTATATATAGCGGTGTAAAAATAATAACATATCCATCATAAATATAAACATTAAAACATACACAGTAAACTAGCAAGCAAATTTTGTCTAGTAAAAAGTAAGGTCACCAGCTTAGAAACCAGAAGACTCAGTTCTGCCTTAGGCATGAAAGCTGGATGACTTTAGGCCAGTCATACTCTCTCAGCCCAACTCATCACACAAGGTTGTTGTGGGGAAATAAGAGGAGGAGTAAATATTAGGTATATGTTTGCCACTTTGAGTTGTTTATAAAAATAATAAAACTGGATAAAAAGGATCTAAATAATAACACAAGAACTTTTTGAAGGTAAAACTGGCCAGATTCCTATGTGACACAAGCTGCTCTATTTGCTACAAACAACACTACTGTGATCACACAAACCAAATTTTTGAGGACAACACTTGCTGCCCCCAAAAGCATTTTTCAAGACAAAATATCAGTGATACACTAAAGGATGCTTCTGTGTTTTGTATCAGACCAAAATGTAGTACTTACATAGTCGCCATTCAGTGGTATCAGAATGTTCATTTCAGATGACTTAGCACTCACAATCTCACAATCTAATGATTCCTCACTGAGGTATATATGGCAGCCTTCAGTTTTGTTCACTGAAATGGTTGGCACTTTCCCAAGCACCTAAGACAATAAAATCAGAAATCAAAATTATATAAATCTTTATCTCCCCAAGAGGCTATCCCCTAACTCTGAGGCTCACACTGGCCTATGTGTAATTATCTTAACCTGCCTCAGAAGAGAAAAACAGGACATTCTTTAGCATGAAAAAAATTATTTGAGCTAAGGGATATAAATAATTAATAAAAGCAATGTTTTTAATAAAGGCAATGATTAATTGTGTCAGTCCAAGCTCAGCTAATGTGGGGGACTCTCCCTCTGGCCAGTTTTCTTAATTTAGTTCTACTACTCAAAATACCAATTTCATAAAGATGGGGAGATGGATCATCTTACAAGTGAATAGTACTTTTTTCTATTTTGAATTTGTTTTTCCATAGCAGTGTTATATGAAGATGGGTTTACCTGTATCTGAATGTCCTTGGAATTTATTACTTCAACAATACCAACAACATTGTGAAATACAAGGCCAAACTTTTTACAGTTGTCTGGGGAAAAAAAGGAAAAGGATTGTATAGAGAATGTATAGTTATATTGTTTTTCATATGAGAAGGCATTTATTTGCCACTTCTTGAAAATACCTATGAATAACTTTAGTTATGTAGATATCCCTGCAGATGTCAACAAAACTGTCTTAAAACCTTATATTCAGCTATTAACCCCTTACAGAATTGAGCAGTGTTATACTATGCCTGTTTATTTGGAAGAATAAACGAATGCTTGCTCAGAAGACTTGTAATAGACAGTGCATTCCTAAACATGTTTGTTTGAAATTAAAGTCTGCTGTGCACCATAAGACTTGCTCAAGAGATATATGCATTTCAGCTTTAGTGTTGTCCTAGAAGTGATCTTACCAACAATAATGGAATTAACTTTTCCTTTTATCTGTAATGTAGATTTATTGCACTTGAAGATGTAAGCTACTTGCTTGAGTTCAGTGTCTGAAATTAATAGGTCATTCTTGTCCTCCTGGTACTCCTGCATTGTTTGAAAAAAAAAAGAGGTTTAATTGATCTTATAGTAGCTGTTACCACAGATGAGAAAGTAGCATTTGCACTTTCCTCTCAATCTCTAACTGTTTAAAGAGAGACTGAAGGCAAGGGAAAACATAAGTTGCAATTACATTCTACAATTGTTTTATATCTGTTTCCAATTTAGCAGTTTATGTTTGAGACACTTTGATATAGTTGTTAAGGTGTTGGTCCAGAAACCAGGAGACTGTGAGTTCTAGTTCTGCCATAGGCATGAAAGTCGGCTGGGTGACTTTGAGCCAGGTGTTGTGGAGAAAAGGGAGGCAGGAATATTAGGAATGTTTACTGCCTTTGGTTACTGTACATATAAAAGAGGGGGATGGAAAAAACTATGACAACAGCAATACATAACATGTATTAAAGAAGAAATATGGTTCAAAATGGAAATCAATACAGTACGTTAAATATTTGTATGTAAAATAAAGCACAGAAGAATGAACCTATTACTTATTTGCTGCATATGCCCCCTGCAACATACAGCACATATTACATATCCCAGAATACTCCCAATTTTGGCAACAAAATCTCAGTAACATGTTTCTATCCTATGGTTGCTATCACTTTCAATCCTAACCCTTAGTAGTCCTTGACAGCAAAATAACTAAATTATACTGTCTAGCCATAAAACAGTTTGTCTTTTTTTTAGAGACAGCATTCTATCTTGAACATTTGGCCTTAGGTAAAGAAACAACTTATATTGGAAATGAAATTTAGTCAACAATAAATTAATGCTATCGTTTCCCCTTATGATATGAACAAATATTGAATTTGGGGCTGAATTTTGTAAATCCAGCACCAGTCTTTTCTTCCCCTTTCTATCAATTTCTTAGGATAAGAAATAGGCTCCTGCTCATCAAAAGAATGTGGAAATTACAGTAGTTGAGAAATACGGCATCATACCAGTGTTTTAGTAACCAATAAAAACCAAGAAGACTGAGTACCAGTATTTACAGGGCTGTTTCTCCCACAGATGAGATAGATTCTGTAGGCTTATCCTGAGGGAAGCTGATGAAGGTCTCAGCCTTCATCAGGGAAAAGACTAGGATCTCTAGGTGTGACTATAATGTTATAATTATTATAAGATTGATAAGGAAGAATAGAATGAGTTGTAACTATTCATTGTTTTTCCTTTATTAGCAAATGCACAAGGAATTATTTTCATTCTTCATTCAGCCAGAATGCAATTCTGTAAATATGGAAATATCTTATTTCTTACCTCGTAACAATTTAATCAAAGTCTCACGATACATGTAAAGTGTAGTTACGATATGATATAGAGTTACTATATGGTTTCCAATCTAAATTACAACCCTGCTACTTCTTGGTGATTGCTCATCCAATATTAACCAGTCCCAGCCCGGCTTAGTTTCTCAGCCCAGAAAGGCTAGCTCGGATGTCAGCAACCCACAGCTCTGGAGCTCATGTGGCCCTTTGGGCCCTCTGCTGTGGCTCCCTGTTGGGTGATCCCACCACTGGCTGGCCATGCCCCTTGCCCTCCCCTGTTAGTCACACTACACCTGGCCTGAGAAGATAAAACAAAAAAAACAGAAATGAGAGGGAGAGAGAGAGACCCATTTCCCACAGAAAACACCGGGAGCCACAAAACCTGGGTAGGCGTGGTGGTGTTGGGTGTCATGTGACTGGGAGAGAGTGATGTTGACATGGCCATGCCCACCCTGGTTTTGAGTTTCCCAGAGTTTTCTTTTCTGTGGGAAACAGGTCCAAATGGTTCTTTGAGTGTTTAATGTTGCAGAGCCCTGGGCTAGCTAGATGTTTCTACCTGCTGGGTCCAATATATGTTTCAGTTGCTAATTTAAAATTCTTAGGAAGTAAAACTATTAATCCTATTACAAAAAATCAAGCACACAATTCTTAGGGAACAATTCAATGGAAAACTCACTTACAATCAATTTTAAAGGTTACCTACAAGTGAGTTGAACTTACCACTCTCCATTTCTTGCCTTCAAGTTCTAACACAGGACAGTAACTCTTTTGAGGAGGTATTTTGGGAGACTCAGAAGTATAGGTTTTGGTAGGAGATTGCATTGGTACTCCTTGAGCACGCAGACTGGGATTTTTATGGGTCTTCTGGTCATCAGAGACATGTCGAAGTCCTATAAAAATCATAAGCAGTAGCATGAATTTTAAAAGTTTTTTTGTACTTATAAGCTTTGCTTTGTTAATATATGGTACTCATATTAGTATTATTCATGTACTGTATTTGGTAAATTGACATATATTTGAATACATCTATTTATAGAATATTCATTTGATTTAATTGTCAAATTTAAAAATATGGTATAGCTTAAGGTTTCTCAGAAAGAAAGGAGTCACCTTAAGCCTACTAGATAAATGTTATCTAAACCAGAATCATGAGACAAGCTCTCCAGATGTTGGCATTTCCCATCACCTTTCAAGTTATTGCCAAAAGCTATTGGAAGTTGCTAACACTAACAATGGGAGGATCATAGCTTCTTTGTCCTAACCTATTTATTTTTGGTGCTCTTTTTGACCCATGTCCTCCAGATCATTGCCATAATCATTTGTTTATTTGTTTGTTTGTTTAAATTATATAGCTGCCCATATTTTAATCAACTCTGGGCAACACACAGTTAATGCCCTTATTGATCTGACTATTCTGCAACACAAATGTGGATATTTATATTTCTGTAAATCCCTAGTATAGGTAGGTGATGTATAGCTGGGTTCATTATTCATACAACCAGAAATGCGGTTGTAGTAATTAAAATAGGACAACAGATTCAAAAATGGGCCTGTACTATGCCCCAGAAATAAAACATGAATGCGGACTAAGGAAAAAATGGTTAACCGAAGAAGACTCAACTAAAAGTGGAGAATAAAGATCCAGCAAAATAAAGAACCAGTGAGTAGATCGGCTAATCGTAATTCTTCTCTGGACAAGGAAAGGACTTGAGATTGCCCACAAGTGCTCCAAACACTGCTCCTCACGAGAAGATTGCAAGACAGCAGTCAACAGCAGTCAACAGCAAGCTTAAACTCCGGGAGACAAGGGAGTGGCGGTGCCTTTAAGGGTATTAGGTTCACATTCTTTTCTAATCACTTTCAGAAATTGCTTGTTAACTGCTTTTCAACAAATTTGAAAACACCAAGTGAATTCCTTCCAACCCTTAGTGAAAAAAGTTTACAAATTTGGATTTTGTTTTATTTTTCTTTGGAAATAAACAGAAAAAGGGTGAATTAGAATGTTTGATTTTGGCACTCCATTCTCCATTAACAATCTCTGCTCCACAAAACAACTGACACATTTGCTTAATGACCATTATATGGAGAGCAGGAATTGTGGTTATTAAATGAGGCAATCACATGTTGTGCTTAATGAGCACAGCAATGTACAACCATCATTCCAGGCTTAATTGTGGCCATAAGTTGACGACTACCTATAATGGCAGATACCATTAAAATTAACTTCTGGGTCCATTGTTCAGGAATGTGTCAAATGCTAAAAAAAAATATTCCATTCTGTATTAATAAGTCAAATTTAATTGTTCTTCTCTTTTATCTATAATCTTTAGTTCCTTCTATTCCTACTGGTGTCCAACCTTTAAATCCCACCCTATCATTTTTTTGTAAAAAGAATTCAAAACAAAATTATTTTCCCATGGAAAGGATTCTTAGAATTAATTTCAAAGTCCATTTCAAATCCATCTGGACCCTTAGTCTGTTTGTAACTTTCCAAAATCAATACTCTAAACACCCTTTTGCTGTTTATTCCAGAAAATGTGTTTCTTAAATTCATACTTCAAACTTCTTTTAATAACTCACTCCATGGTTGCAATAAAAACTTGCTGTTCCAAATGTTCTTAATATCTGGTAAGCAGAAAAACAACAACAACCCAAAAAGTGACTAAGAAATGAGATTTGGTTGTGCTTTGTGTCCACACAGGGCACATTACATTGTGAGCTTAGATGGAATCCCTTGACTCCCAGCCACTCGCATAAGCCAACTGCTAAAACTTGGGTTCCTGTGGTTTACTCACAAGAAGGAGCTGTCTGGAGTACATATGGGCAATCTCATAATCTCAACTTTGTCCAGAAGGTTTCGCCAGCCACGATCCAGTATCTGGCTGCTGTCCCCACTGCTTCAGGGATGTTCAGCTCACCATTTCTTCACCAGAAGTGTCTGCAGTGTCAGATTTCCAAGTTAAGTATTTTTAGCATAAAGATGTTTGTGTTCATGAAAGCAAGTGCTTTTAAGTTTTGTGAGAAAATGTAGAGAGTAATGGTTTGAAAAAGTGCTAAGTTATGGCAGGCTTCCTACCTTTAGTAATTGCTTCTCCCTGGTTCAATTGCTCAAATAAGGCTGCACGAGATGCAGTTGCGTCATCTTTTGCATTTTCTCTATCGATGGCAGGAGGAGGTCCTGGTGGCGGAGGTGGTGGTGGAGGTGGCGGTGGAGGGAGGCCTTGTTTGTTCACTACAGCAGGGAAACTCGATGCTGCTGACGCTACTGGACCCTAATTGTATTTTTTAAAAGTAAACAGATGGGAGTTTCTGTAAAGTGCAATTTTACTCCAATGTTGTAAAACAACCAAATGAACAATTCAGCTAATAGACAAAAAAGAGGAGATATTTCTCTATAAATGACATACAGGTAGTCCCTGATATACACAGTTCATTTAGTGACTGTTCAAAGTTACATCACTGAACATGACCATATGACCATTTTTCACACTTCCAACCATTGCAGCATCCCCATGATCCTAGGATCAAATGCTCGGCAGTTGACTCATATTTATAACGGCTGCATTGTCGCAGAGTCATGGGATCCTCATTTGTGACCGTCTGATAAGCAAAGTCAATGCGGAAGCCAGATTCACTTTACAGCCGGGTCACTAACTTAACAAGTACAGCGATTCACTTAACAATTGTGGCAAGAAAGGTCATAAAATGGGGCAAATTTCACTTGACAAATGTCTCACTTAAAACAGAAATGTTGGGCTCACTTGTGGTTGTAAGTTGAGACTGCCTTTGCCCATCAGCTATTTCACCTGGTAACAACTTTCATTGCGGCAAGGATGCTTGAAAACAGGTGGTGTAAAATTTGTGCTTTATAAAGACAACCCGAGTATACATTTACAGAAGAAACACCTTAACAAAAGATCTATGTCTCTGAGCCACAGTCCACCTGTTCTGATAGGTTGTTATATAATCTTCTGAGCTTCAGTCTCTTTTTTATGTCTGGGTATACATATCAACAGAACAGGACTATGTACTTACATGAAGCATACAAAACTTTGTATGTTTTGTTCTGTCTGTTTTTACTGACAGAATGCAATTTTATTCTTTCAGGATTTTAGTAACTAGCAGTTGATGTTGAGTGTTGAATGTTCAGTTAAACATTTTTCAGATGTTGAGAAGGTATATATTCCTTGGTATTTTATAATCCTTTATAACTAAATAAAAATGTTTGATACAAAGAGAAGATATATATTCCTGAACAAGTCCATTAAAGACAAACTTAGAAAACTTGGAATAAACACCTACAAATTAATCTGATTTAAGGCAGGCACAATTAATATCCTTAAGAAATACATACAAATATCTGTCCAAAAAAGAGTTAGGGTTTGTAAAAATACTGAGAGCTAGGCAAGATACACAAGTCTCAAACCTTTGATGGATTTTTTTTAAAATTTTGGACTCTGATGTGCCTATTTTATCTGTCATTTTCATGTTTCCTATCTCAAAAGGGGTGGGGCATGATGGTTCAGTGACTAAGACACTGAGCTTGTCGATCAGAAAGGTTGGCAGTTTGGCGGTTCGAATCCCTAGCACCGTGTAATAGAGTGAGCTCCCGTTACTTGCCCCAGCTTCTGCCGACTTAGCAGTTCGAAAGCATGTAAAAAAAATGCAAGTAGAAAAATACGAACTACATTGATGGGAAGGTAACAGCGTTCTGTGCACTTTCAGCATTTAGTCATGCCAGCCACATGACCACAGAATCGTCATTAGATAGTGCTGGCTCTTTGGCTTAGAAAAGGAGATGAACACCGCCCCCTAGAGTCAGAAACGACTAGCACGTATGTGCAAGGGGAACCTTTACCTTTTACCTCAAAAGGGAGGAAAGTGCTGTCAATTTCCATCTCTACAGGAGAAGCTCTAACAGAACTAAAAGTGCTGTTCTTCACATTCACTTCGCGCTTCTGGGTTGAAAGGATTATCTGGTGACATCACTGTTGCCTTAGGGACACCTGGTTGGGGGGCTCCTTTCATGTCCCTATTAACGTGCCCATTGAAGTGGTACCTATTTATCTACTCACATTTGCATCCTTTCGTACTGCAAGGTGGGAAGGAGCTGGAGCAAATGACAGGAGCGGCACATCCCATCACACAGTAGCACTTGGATGTCAAACACGGGCCTGCTGTTTGTCAACCCAGCATTCTAACCACATGTGCCACCACGCTCCTTAAGGGCTGTGCTAAGCAATAACACTGATAGGTTTTGACTAAAAACAAAACATGAACTCAGCCATGAGATTTATTAAGCATAGTTTATGGCTTTGTGTTATATGTATATCAAACCACTCTGTCTTGTTCAAAAACCACAATCAAAGGAAGTCATGTCTTAGTGCAAAAGGCATAACAAATTACCTAGTGACTTTTATGATTGTTTGTTTGTTTGACCTGTGTGCTTTCCATCTTGTCTAGAATATATTTTAAGCATTATAGCACCTTTGCCAGTTCAGTATTAATGATTCAATAAAATTGGCTATCATACTATGGGCTATGTATGAAAATTGACAAATACCTCGTTGCTCACAACTTCTGCTTGAAAAAATTGTTACCTTTACATATAAACAACCATCTGTGAAACATGCTAAAGCTGGAAGCTGTAATTAAAAATGCAATGGCTCAGCCAAACCAAACATGCCTCATTATGGCTTAATAGCATAGCCACTCAATCACTGTGTGAGGGCTATTAATCAATATCTTTGCAACTTGTACTTCTACCCTTAGTTTTTAAAGGTGAACTTTAGCGGGAGAAACAAAATTAAGGAGGCCAACACTCTCATCCATTAAAAACCTGATATTCATCCGTTTGATATAACTGTTTCCCTGAAAATTAATGTGAAAGTGATATGTAGCAACCTCCAATAAATAATTTGGCACAAAGTATTATCATATATTAGTTAGCACAATGTATAGTCATATATTGCCTAACCATTTGAAATAATGGACAATAACAAAGGAGAACAGCTGTCCCCAAAGAGGCAGCTGACATAAACCTAGGAGACAGACATTGTAAACATTTGTGCTAAATAGTTTTTATAAGCTGTTTATAAAGATTTATTGTTAAAACATCTGCTCAGATTTAATCAAATGAATTGCTAATAATAGCGAACACCTGCTGCATGAAGGCAAGGTCAACTCTTGAAAACCTGTAACATGCCTAGGGAATTATTTTACAGAAGCCATAAGCTGAACTCTGTGCATTAAAATACACAGAAAAGATTATTTAAGTAATTGTAAAAACCAAGTTTGGTAAAACTGCAAAAGAATGCATGAACAAAATGAAAAAAAGTGTCAGTCAATGTTATTGGCTTGACTGGGACATGTTGTTCTTTGTGATGATTAAATGTTTAAAATGTAGATCCAGATAGTCCTTGAGTTACAACCATTTGTTCAGTAACGGGGTTCAAAGTTACAACAATGCTCAACAAGGGGACTTACCATGGTTCCTTAGAGTTCTGGTCATTGCAGCAACCCCACAATCACATGACTGAGATCAGGGTGCTTGACACCCAGCTCACGATTATGACATCACAGTGACTCACGGTCACATGACTGCAGTTTCTAATGATCCCTGCTGTAGAGCAAAGTCAATAGGGAAGCCAGCAGGAAGTCAGGAGATGTGATCAGAATACTGAATAACAGAGCTGGAAGGGACCTTGCAGGTCATCTAGTCCAACCCGCTGCTCAAGCAGGAAACCCTATAACATTTCTGAAGTGACTGTCCAGTCTCTTCCTGAAAGCCTTCAATGATGAAGTATCCACAACTTGTGAAGGAAAGCTGTCTCATTAGTTGATGAGTTGATTGTTCCCACTGTCCTTATTTCTAGACTGAATCTCTCTCTCCATCCATTGTTCCTTGTCTGGCCTTTGGGTGCTTTGAAAAATAAGTTGATCCCCCCTTCTCTGTGACAGCCCCTCAATATTGGAACACAGCTATCAGGTCACTCCTGGTCCTTCTCTTCACTAAACTAGCTATGCTAGTTCTTGCAACCATTCTTCATACGTTTTAGCCTCCATGCTCCTAATAATCTTTGCTGCTCTTCTCTGTACTCTTTCTGCATGTTTTTTTTAATAGTGTGGTGACCAAAACTGGATGCAATATTCTAAGTGTGGCCTTACTAAGGCTTTATAGAGTGGTACTAGTACCCCATGTGATCTTGATTCAATCCCTCAATGCAATTTAGGATTGCATTGGCTTTTTTGGCTGCTGCCGCATGCTGCTGGCTCATATTTAATTGATTGTCCACTAGGAGTCCAAGGTCCCTGAGATCCTCTCTTAACAACATGCATGATCTTTGTTTAACTGATGTAATTGCCTTCACTAAGTGATGTGGTCACATGAAGTTCCATTTTACAACTGTGACTTAGCATCAGAGTTTCTAAGGTCCCACTGCCATCACAACCTGAAGACTACCTGTATATAATTTTCCTAATTTTCTTGGAAAAAGTCAATTATGGAATCAAAGACGCTAAGAGATACAACATTTAAAACTTTCTCCTAACTTATTTATTTCATAAAGTTCTTTGTCCTAGAAATATACTGTTGCTGGGAGCAAAAATGATTTTTTTTCTCTTAGTTCAAGAATAAATGTATCCCCTTCCGACACTAAGTTGGCATCACTACTGCACAATAATGTATTAATTCTCTTTTTAAACAGTAAGGTAAGAAATAGAGCACTTACAGTTTTACTCCAGATGAGCCCAGTAGTGTGATATTCTTTTATGTATGCTTGAAGCTCTGTCCAAATATTAAGGAATGATTTCACCCAATCAATGTGACGCAAATCACTGTAACATAATAAAAGCTGTTTGTACATGTTCTTTACTATCCCTTCTGACCTTCAAGCTAAGGAAAGAATTGCCACTGATGGTAATTTGTAATCACTTGAATCATATTTAAAAAGCTACCTAGTGAAATTCAATACAAGTAGTCCTTGACTTATGGCAGCAATTAGGTCAGAAAATTATGTCACCTATGTGCTGGGTTATAAAGTGAGACTCTACTGGTTAATGATGGCAATCTCTGCATCCCAGCTGTCATTAATTGAATCCAAAGTCGTTAGATGAGACATTTCTTGCTGGTTTCCCACAATCAAAGTCAGTAGAGCAGGGGTTGTCAAGCTGGCTGGATGCATCACATGCAGGCCACGCCCACCCCAGCTCCTCGAAGGGAAAAAACATCTCGTGACAGCAATGTGACGTGGCGAGTTTGACACCCATGCTGTAGAGAATCCAGCAGGAAGTTTGAACTCTCAGGCCTGCAAGCAGGTAAGTGGCTGTTACCTGGAGCGAATGAGGGGATAAACACGTGTGAGGGTACATGACATATACAGCATGGGGTGTCTGAGGCTGCAACGCAAGGTTGGGGAGAGTGCATGAGTCGGTGAATGAGGTGCTGTGTTGGTTACTGTGGGTGTGTAATGCTATGTATGTTAACTTTTAGGACTTGTAGACTTCAATTCCCAGAATTTTGACACACCAGCCAAGCAAAGTAGTTAAATTGGTTGATGCAGGTGGTGGTGGGGAGTATTAACTTACCTATGCTTGTAGTCATTTAACACCCTATTAGTATAAAATGTAGCAGCATCGTTCATCTCCTTTACGTAAGGCCCTGGCTTAGCAGACTAAAAAGAGAACACAGGAGCATTGTGTAAAACCACAAGAATTGATTTTTAAGAGAGAAACAAAAGGTAAATGTACTCTTGGGGGGGGAGGGGACGCTCCTTCCTATTATAACTAACAGCTATTTCAAAGAAACATAGATATATCAGGGCTTGCAAGAAGCCTGTTTTGCTGACCTTGTTCTCCAAGAAAAGTAAGGTCACTTCATGATACCAGGTGACTATTTAGGACTATGCTTGCAATTTCCTTGGCAGAATTATGGAAACAGTATGGAATATTTGCCACCGCCTTATTCAGGAATGCTTCCATGACTTCAGTTTAGACTACAGGCCTGGTAGAGATCTCCTAGCTATGTACTAAACAGATCCAACAGCTCTTCCATTGGTCAGTCAACTAAATGTTTCCGCCCACCAATCCCACTATTGCTAGATGAAGCCCCATTCAGAGAAGTGGGTTATTTAAAGAGGAAATCTTTAAAAGTGAGGTGGTGATATGGTAGTACCATCTGCAAGCAATGAGGCCTGAACCAGAGTCAAACCAATCCAAGGTTGCATGATAGATAAGGGTGAAAAAACTGGTTTTGTTTGGAAAATGTCCACTTCTAAAATTCAGAACTTACAATTGTTATCCATCCAAGAGCTGGAATACTTTCGCTGACAGCAGACAGATGATTAAACATATTGCTTCCACGATTTCTCTCTCTGAACGTCTGGATTTCCTGAATCTTTTCCGATATTGGTTTTAAAAGAATGGCAACTTCATTCTGCTGTATAAACAAAATGAAGAAATCACTAGCAGAACAGAAATGGGTTTTTTTGTATGTGTATGTACAAGAATGTGTGTAGACATACGCATATACAAACCAATTTTCTTTTCATTATTGAAACTGAGATCTTCTCAAAATTGGTTCAGTGTGTTAAAGGTACCCATCTCTAAGAACACTTCCACTATCAGAAAAGTCATTTGTCTAATGTGATGATGACATGATGGTGTGTTTTGAAATATTTGGGGGTAATACCGAATGATGAAAAGTAGATAGACTCTGAACAAAACAATCAACTTCCTGGGCTTTTTAAGGTTCTTACGTAATGAATTATCTCGTGAGGTAAATTGTGTTTCAGTCATTATATATCTGGGAGCCTTCCTGTTCTGCAGGGTGGTGCAGTGGTTAAAATGAAGTATTGCAGGCTACTTCTGCTGACTGCCAGCAGTTCTTCTTACTGGATCAAGGCTGATTCAGCTTTCCATCCTTCCTAGGTCAGTAAAATGAGGACCCAGATTGTTGGGGGCAACATGCTTAACTCTGTAAACTGCTTAGAGAGAGCTGTACAGCAGTGTGAAGTAGTATATAAGTCTAAGTGCTATTGTTGCTATGGAACTAAACATGCACCACTAGAATAACAGCACAACCCAATGATAAATGCATAAGGGAGGAAAGAAAGGGCTTTGGCTAGGAAAACACAAGCAGTTTTGGCGGGAAGAAGTCTGAATATGTTTCTAGAGACCACTGGTGCAAATGAACTTTTTTATCTTGTGCCTTTGAGTCAGTTTTGACTGCCTGGATTTTAGTCCCTGCAGTTGTTTTCTTGGCAAGATTTCAGAAATAGTTTGCCGTTGCCTCTTTCCTGAGGTTGAGAGACAGTGACTGGCTCAAGATCACCCAGCTGGCTTTGTGCCTAAGATGGGAGTAAAACTCATTGTCTCCTGGTTTCTAGCCTGATGCCTTAAACCAGAGGTGTCAAACTCAATTTCATTGAAGGCCGCATCAGGGTTGTGTTTGACATTGGGGGCCAGGTGGGTGTGGCCAGCTCGACATGACTAGTGTTGTGGGCTGGACATGACTAGTGTTGTGATTGCCCAAGCTCTCTGCCAATGAAAATGGAGCTCAGGAGGCTACGACAGCCTCCTGCAACCTCTGCCAGCAAAAATAGAGCTTGGGTGGGCCATGGCCCTCAAGCTCCCTTTTCACTGACAGAGTATTGCAGGAGGCCGTTGCAGCCTCCTGAGCTCCATTTTCGCTGGCTGGGGCACTACCAGCCAGTCCTTCGCTGTTTCCAGGGCAGCCCTCTGGGCCAGATCTAAGCACACCACAGGCCAGTTTGACACCCCTGCCTTAAACAGTCCATCACATTGGCTCTTAAGAACAAATGGAATATACTGGCATAAATCACATAATAGTACTATTTTCCCTGCATGAAGTGATTTCTTGAATGGAAATGATCAATTGCATAATAGAAAATCACATAAACAAAAATCACCTAAAGTGAGGGAAATTTGTATTTTAGTGGGAAATCTTTATACATAATTACTTTAATTTTAGTTTATTCCAGTTCCAAACTGTTTTTAAAATAACTTCCCACTTCTTGTTTATTTAAATGATAATTTATGGTTATTTTTAACATATTACTTAAGTTAAAGCATTTGCAATAAATTCCAAATAAATAGGAGAGTTTAAATTGCAGCTTTCTGAAGAGTAATTTTGCAGGCAGTAGCTACTAGCCAGCTAGTATATGTAAACTGTAGTATCAGATGATGGTTTTCTCATGTGACCATTTCCCCTTCACATACAAATATAGAACATGACCATAAAAAGGAACAAAGCATTCACTCTGCTAAGTAATTTATTGTAGTTGCTACAGGATTGACATGCCAGCTGGAATTATCTTCTTGGCTCTTGCTATTTTTGCATGTGCAGGGAAATGACCGGCTTCAAGATGTAGTAAAATGTAAGCACTGCTAACAGAAAAATATCTCAGAAAAATCACAATGAACAAACATTTCTTTGTGACTTGCTGGGCATGGATGCTACATTTGAACTAAAGAATCCTAGATGCTTCAGAATGCTAACGGTTTTGTTTTCTGTTATTACTTTAGAATACATTACGCAAATCCCACCCCTCCCTGTAACATTGCTTCTGAATATTTGCAAAGCTGTGAAGACATGATCACCAACAGCTTATTCATCCACCGCTTCACAAACTGTCTGGAAAGCTCAATGACACAACTGCTTGTTTTTCCAAGAGTTGCTGTCATCTTAATATGCTTTTCTCTGCCCTGGGAATTCTGATGATTGAGAATTCTACCTGTCTGGGTCAAAATTTGCTAAGTTTGTGACTTTAGCTTAAAATACCAACAGAAACAGATGATGTCACATTAACGAAGTATTTTCTGTTCCATTCATATCAAATTTTCTTTATGCTGAAATGCATTATTTGGAAACCTACAACACATATTTCATGCTTTCGACAAAATGAAACTATTATATCACTTGCAGTAAAAAATGCTACTGAAACAGATGAATGCTTGTTAGAGAATATTTATTTTGCATGACAACTGTGTTTTACATACACGCATACAGCTGTTTTAATTTTACACTATGATATATTTCAGCTTATCATGACAGCAAAAAAATTGTTTTTCTTTTGCTTAGGAGGACTCACCATATCCTAGTTATGAATCAATGTTGTTAGAGGTTTTAAATTAGTAATAGCTACCATGGGGCCCCACAAGGAATTGTGGAAGGTCCAAAATTCTTGAGGATACCAAATAGTTTGATAATGTGCCATCAAGCTGGTGTAAACTCTTACTAGATAGATAATTTGAATCTATTTTCTCCACAACAACCCTATGAGGTAGTTTGTTGTGAGAGTGACTAGCCAAAATCACCCAGATGGGTTTCTTGCCTAAGATAGAACTAGAACTCAGTCTCCTGGTTTCTAGGCTTCTTCCTTAACTGTTATATCAAACTAAAAACCAAACCAAACCAAACCATGATAATTAGGGTTTGCAAATCTCAATAAAGTTTGCACAATATGCAACCCAAAACAAATCACATAGTGGTTCTCTTACCAAGTATGAATCGGGGGGGGGGGGGTTTATATGCAATTAAGTTGTCATTTAATGAAGGTTTCTTACTTCACAACTTTATCAGAACTATTATCTAGAGAATTAAAAGAAATTCTGAGATATTTCCAGATATTTAACCAAGATTGGGAAAGTCTTAACAGTAACTTTATTTATAGGATGCTTACATCCTCCTGCAGAAATTCATCTGCCATTCTCCAGGGTGTGGTCTTTTGTTCTGGGCATACATTCAACTAAACCACTGGGTTCTAGGAGCCAATCCTTTTTATTTTTTAAATAAGTATAGCCACCCAGACTTTTTAAAAATAAATAAAATGAAGCCAAAGTCTGATTTTGTTTTGCTTTACAACACACCAACATTCCCGTTTTTAAAAACCAACAAAACTTTGAACGTTTCAGGTGACCACAATATTTCTTACCTCCTGGGGTTCTTGATAATGTGAGGTCAACCAAAGAAATGCCCTTTGAGCTTGGAAAGCGGCTTGAACCATTTCTGCCTATGGAAAAGGGGTAAGCAAGGGAATAAGCTATGAATTGAAAGTATTAAAAGCAAACACTTTTAAGAGGACTTTCTCTACCTGATACTGCTATGATCCGTTAAATAAAGCTACCCAAATCTCTTTGATCTGCAAATCCTATTTATCTAAACCCATGTACTCTAACCAAGCTACATTATATTATTATTATAATAATTATATTATATTGTAATATATGTAGAAGTAAAGGTAACGTTTTACCTTTCATCCATTCATGAAGTTCATCCATTTTCTACACATTCCTTACAGAAACCATTTTTTTTCACCTGTTTTTTCATCTGTTTTCTTGTGTTGCAATTTGTGGGTGAGTTTAATACAGGTAGTCCTTGACATATGATCACAATTCAGCCCAACATTTATGTTGTTAAGTGAGACATTTGTTAAGTGAGTTTTGCCCCATTTCTTGTCACGATTGTTAAGTGATTCATTGCAATTGATAAGTTAATAACCCGGTTGTTAAATGAATCTGGCTTCCCCACTGACTTTGCTTGTCAGACCATCGCAAAATGACTTTTGGACACAGCAATGGTCATAAATAAGAACCAGTTGCCAATCATCTGAATTTTAGTCATGTGAACTAGGGGATGCTGCAATGGTAAATATGAAAAACGGGCATAAGTCACATTTTTTTTAGTGCTATTGTAACTTTAAACAGCCACTAAATAAATTGTTGGAAGTCAAAAACTACCTGTATATATGAGCACAATTTTTAATGTTTTATTTGTAATGATGTAAATATATATACATATACATATGTATATGTATACACACACACACACAAACATATATATGACTTACAGAAAAAAGAGACATTAGGTAAACCAACAGATGTTTCTGTTTTCAATCTCATTTAAGAGAGTCAATAAAATTTAAGTTAAAAATCTTGTGAATTTTTAATTTAAGAACAAAGAAGAAGAAAAGGGAAAACTATTATATTTATAATTTCAAAAATTATAAATTGTATATCGAGGATAGAGAAATGTATTTTCTGTCTCACAATATTAGATCTTAGATTCTTCCAATAAATTATATACAGGGCACCAAAGGAAACCCTATGTCCACATCCTATGTAATTTATTTGTAATTTGTTTTCCTCTATTATCTTTTTGTATGCCATCATCACTTCAACCTTCATATCATTCAATATCAATTCAAACTGTTGACAAGCACATTTAAAAGGAGCCATAGAAACTCTTCATTCCAAAATAAGCATGAACAATTGTATCACAATGTCATTGTGAAAAAAAAAGCTCAAAGTGTAAATCATTTCAATAAACCTCTGTATAAATAGCTCTGCGGTGGCTTTAGAAAAACACTGGGCAAATCTATGTTAAAGGAGACTGAACCAGCATATATCCTGATTCCCTGAATGAAGAGTAATCAACTGAAACTAAACCCAGACAAGACAGAATTGTTCTTGATTAGAACGATAGCATACTGAGCGTGCCCATTCATCCAAATCTAGACTAAAAAGCATCAGAGGGATTGGATAAAGCAAAAAAAATAATAATCACCACCCAAGATATGTTGCTGCCTGAGAGAAAAGGCAACCTGATGCCGACACATGTGTACACCTGCTCAGCCTCCTGGTTCTCTGAGCTGAACAGATGGCTGAGTTTTTCATTACTTAACAGTGACAGGACAGCCTTCTCTATTGCAACTTCATGACTTGGGGTTATGAGACATGGCTAGCTTCATATATCATGCTAAATCCTAACCCAGTTTGTTGGTTTGGGCTCTGCCTATTCTATCTAACCCCCACTAAACAACCCATGATAACTGAAGTGTGAGTACTGTGTCAGCAGCAGCCCTGTGTCTCTCTCTCTTTTTCAGAATCTGCTGCCTGGAGTGGCCTCTCATTGTCTCTAGTACTAAGGTCAGATCTGTTAAGTGAACTAACTTGTTAACACAAAGGTGTTTTTTTCAAGAGGCAACTGGACTTTCTGGTTTTTATTTGAAGACGTTTTGCTTCTCATCCAAGAAGCTTCTTCAGACTTGGGAAGTCTGGAGAAGCAAAACATCATCAAAGAAAAAACAGAAGGTCCAGTTGCCTCTTGAAAAAAAAGCACCTTTGGGACGAGCGTGACCTGGATGACTGAGAATCTCCATAGACAACTAACTTGTTAAGTTAGTAACACAGTTGATAAATGAATCTGCCTTCTCCTTTGACTTTGCTTGTCCGAAGTTCGCGAAAGAGGATCACATGACCCCGTGACACTGCAACCGTCATAAATATGAATCAGTCATCAAGCATCCAAATGTAAATCATGTGACCATGGGGATGCTGCAACAGTCATAAGTATGGAAAATGGTTATGAGTCACTTTTTCTAGTGCCGTTGTAACTTTGAACGGTCACTAAATGAATTGTTGTTAAGTCGAGGACTATCTGTACTACAATAGTGAATCTTTTTATTTGTTTTTATACATGAGCATGTCCGACAGAGAAATTGTCACTTGTTCCACTCGCGCTTATTATTGCAAACATTCCCTTGACAACTGTGGCTATCATTCCTCTTTTAGCCAAACTTGATATTGATGCTTAATACACACACATCCATCAGATCACCAGTTCAAGAAGTGGTCCAGAATGAAGCCCTGACCTTTTGGAAGCTATACATTGAGCTGCAGGTTATTCACCTAAGCCAGCTATAATGAGTTATGCTTTAAGCTTTGTAGCGCTTATTATAAATCTAACTCATAAATTGAATTGAGAATAATTTAGAATATTTTTTGCTATCAGCAAATATAATTAAAAATAGCCACCCATTTTTGAGTTTTTTTCTTTTCAAATACTGTATATAAAGTGAGGTACAAGCTTATGCAGACCTTGGCTGCTTTTTGCATGGTCCATAAAACCCTTAAGAAGGCTGAGTAAGCCAGGAAAAGATCAAAATTCAAATTTATTTATTACAGCTTTGAGGTCAGATAGAAACAGGATATTGGATAAAAGAACTATTACATTCTAATGGTTTTTCACAAGGAAGTAAAGAAACAAACTTTTGGTAATCCCAAAAGCTGCAATAGATTTTGCATGCTAAATAATAAAAAAAACTATTATTCAAGGTAGAGGGAACCATTTAGCAATTAAAATAATCTTCCCCCAAACTAATGTGTAGTTTATATGTATGTGAAAAGTGAGCATGTGCTTCAAAATGTGTGTCTTTAAGCATATATTTGTACTGGTTATCAAGAGCCTTGTTTTCTTTTGGCCCCATAAAAGTTCCATGTGAACTAGCATGATTTTTGATCCAAAAAAGTTGGTTTTCCTTTCACTATAGGGTCCAGTAAATTAACGTTATTTCAATTAAAACACTTCATGTCTTGCTCTCCTACGCTTGAAGTTTTTAAGTTAACTCTTAACATTTATTATTTCTAGAAAGAATTTTAAAAACTACAGGTAAACTACCAAAACATATTGTACCTATTAAATATCGATATAAATTAAATTCCTAATTCAACGGAGAACCCAGTATAATTAAATAGATCACATTGGGTAAATTAAATTCACAAGGTTGGGCATAGGGACTTATGTCCATGTTAGTGTGACCTTACGTATATTTAACTTTAAAAGTTCCATTCAATTCACTGGGTTTCTCCCCCAGTAATTATGCATAAGATTATGCTTTAAAATACGTTAAACATATTCTATGACATAATATAATGTTTCCTGTGATCACATCTCAATATCCCAGTTAGTGAGGTATCTGACAGTTTTCTGAATAACAGGTGTTTTCTGAAACCGAACAAAACTTTCTTTTCAACTTCTGATATGAAAGAAGAAGCAGCTGTACATATAATGCACGGGGCATGTGGCCTATAAGATATGTAGAAGAAAAGCATTCCTTCTTTGAATTGCTAAGGTAAAGCACAGATGCTGGATCAAGTTAATTGAGAGCCATATTTTACAATGCAGCTTAAGTCAGTAAACTTTCAGAAAATATGTTGCAGAGCTAAAGAAAAATAGTGATATAAATACACTATGCAGGACGATTCCTAATGTCACTGCACTATTATATGATACCATGCTTAGTTATGTTACAAAATAGGATTTGATACTACCTGGTCTTAGTAATAATTTTGATATGATTGGGGCTGTAGTTTGTTGAAATATTCCCTAAAAGTTTTTCAAGTGATCTAGAACTGAATATTGGGAATAAATATAAGTTTAGTTAAACTGAATTTAAGTTTGAGAATTTATTATATTTTAAATGGTATTTTCATTTACATTCCTTCAAAAATATTTATAATTGAATCACTTTCACTGGCAACCTTTTGTTAGATATTTACACTGAATAAATTGTCTGTTGGGAAAGGTGGATTTAACTTTCTATACATTTCACTCGGTTTTGGCTAAAATATGGAAGTTCTGATTTAAACTCCTTTTTGAATTTGGTTAGACAGCTATTACTTCACCCCTTGAAATTTTAGCAAGTACTGGGCCTTTGGGAATCTAGAGGGAGTCAGTGGAAGACCCTTTTTTAATGAAAATTAAACCTCCATAATTAAAAATTATAATAGAAATAAATACTTACATGAATCTTTATATCACCATCAAGGATCTTGCTATTCTTTATAAACTCAGCTACACTCTCATTCATGAGTCTGTCAAAAGCTTCAACATATGGTGCTAGCTCTGCAGGAAAAATGCTGAACTGAAAGAACTGGCCAAAATTTTACATTCATGGTCTTTATTTCACATTCTAAAATGAAAATCTCATACAACTGTAAAGCAGTTTGTAAACACAATTGCTGCAGAAGCAAACATAGTAAATCTATAGAATATCCAGATTTAAATTATTCTTACATGGACTTTTGGCCATGGCCTGTGGAATCTTTTTCTACACAGGGCAGTAATATTTACTACATAGTATGGAAAATTTTGATTCTGAAATTTTGTAAAATACAAACATTAACTTTACTTGTTGTGAAAAAGATTTAAGATGAGTTGCTTCCAATTTTTAAATTCTAAAACAAGGTTCCTTTTCTGGAACCCATGTATTTAAACCCTATCTACTTTTTAAATAATAAAGGAATTAAAGCAAAATAATAAAACATGTTACGATTAGTTAACCAACATACATCTAGTTCCAAAGATTCCTCCACAAATATCTAGCTATAAATCTGACTGAAAAGGAATAGAAATAGTTTGCATTTAAAACCAACTTTTCTTCTTATGTAAAACAGAAGAGTTCTTTGAGATCTACTCTCTTGTATTATAATGTAACATATTTCTATATATCTCTGTACAGATACATTGGCATTTGATAAAGTAAATGTATAAAATGTTATGGGAGAAGTGTCCATGTTCTAATAATCACCATGTCTAGAAATGGAATCCAAGTAAATGGTTCTAGAAGTCCTTCTCTCTTTGGAATGAGAAACGAGCAAATGATGCAGTTGCAGTTGCAGTGGGTGGAGGAAATTTTCCATACAGTCCTGCTTTTACCTTCCTTAGCCTTATAGCAGAAAAAGATGTGATGAATTGGCCTTGGGTATAGAAGCTATAAGGCCCTAAAGCAGAAGCTTCTATTTTCAGCAAAAATTAAGTCCAAGAAAGTATTCACATTGAAAGTCTAATAAAACATAAGTAACAAAAGCAACACTTGGACACTCAATAATGCCCCAGCATATGATTGACAGTTGGTTTTCATGCCTATATAGAGGACCACTAGATTGGAGGAGAAGGGATGGCAAGTCAACTAGCAACTGTTACCCTGAAACAATGCCACACTGAACTGTGTGTGGGCAACAATAGTAATTCCCCCTGAGGCTAAGGCAAAGCAGAGGTAATCAGCTGATAAGGCACTTTCTCCACTGATGTACTTTTCTCCTAACTCAGAGATGGGAGGAAATTACCTTACTGCTGACACTATGAAAAGCTTCGTTTTAAATTTCTGCGATCCACAAATTGAGGCACCAAAGCATGAATAATTGTTGGGAAGCATTGCAGTAATTTAAAGCTAAAAGAGCTGATTGCATTGCACTATAACCTATCACTTGCAGGATCACTGGATCAGTGGTTTGTTAGCTGTGTTTCCCCCTCTCCCCCCCCCCAAGTTATCATAGAGCTACCTGTATGATGTGCTTCTTGAGATGGGCTATAGAAGTACAATGGGAAAAAACCCAATGGAAAACAGTATACAAAACAACAAAACAAAATAAAAATAACCCTGAAACTATTTTTAGTGACCCAAGCACATTTTTAATCCAATGTCAAAATTTAGTAAACTGAAACAACAATTTTATAGAAAATAGGTATTATTATTTTTGCAACACAGATCTTTTCTGCTATTTTTTGTTTTACAGGACAGTAAATTGTTTGGAGCAATCGAAACAGCAATGTTGAAATATGGAAAGAAATTCAAAACATCAGCAATGTGAATAATAGATGAATTACACATCTTTTCTGCAGAACATAAAATTATAATTAAAATGAAGTATTAATATTCCTCACAGGTCATTTTAAAATATGATGAAAGTGGTTGAATTATCTTTTAGCTTTCTTTTAGAACAAATGTTACCACCACATGACATTTAGTTGTTCTCTTTAGAAACTACCAAATATATTTCTGAAACAATAAAATCATACCTCCATTGACTCCATTGATAGTTTCAGAAGTTCTCTGTGATTCTGATAACAATGATTCAAGCCTAATTACAGCTTTTTCCAATCTTTCTATCAAAGCCACCTCTGCCATTCTGAAAAAAATAAAGAGAGATATTAATACTAGCTGTTGTGTGGGTTTTAGAAAACCACTTAATTATATTTTTACACACATACACAACTTTTATTACTTTTACAGATAACTCAAGGTGGCGAACACATTCAACACATCTTCCTCCTATTCCCCCCCACAAAAAACAATGTTGTGAAGCAAGTTGAGAGAGTGATGGGCCCAAGGTCAGTCTGCCAGCTTTCATGGCTAGGACAGGACTTGAACTCATAGTCTCTTGCTTTGTAGCTTGATACCTAGGGGTGGGGTTCTACCGGTTGGGACTGGTTTGAGTGAACCTCTTGCTCCGAAGATCAGCAGGCAGTAAACCAGTTCGTTGCGATGAGCATGTGGGCCTGCCCACCTGCCCCTGATCTTTCCTGTGCTTTATTTCCTTTTTTTAAGAGCACAGCTGATTCGCAAAACAGAGTTGTTTGCTGTGCCTCAGCTGTGTTATTCACAGGGACTATTGTAGAAGGTATTAGACTTTTTTAAACACAGAGTGTGCGTTTGGCATGCCTGCATGCTAAGTGTGCATGTGCAAAGCGCACAAACACCGAACCGGTTGTTATACCAGTGGAATCCCACTCCTGCTGGTGCCCTAACCACTAGGTCAAACTTAGTTAATATTCTGGATGCAAATACCTCTTCCAAACACAGGTCTATCTGCAGTGCCAATCACTGGCTTCAAAATGCCATGCACGATGAAGTAATCAAGACTTTGTCTCTTTTAAAAGTGCACTGCATGCATTGTACACATGTAAAAAAAGGGAGCGGCTAAATCACCCACCCCTGTCCACCATTTCAAAACCAGTGACCATCATTACAGCCAGCCCTGCACATGGAACTGGAATAAATTTTGCCACACTGCATCTTTTTTCTTTTTAAATTAACATTTCGCTTCAGTTAGCATCTTAGAAGTAGAATATGGAGAAAATATCCAGCCTTAGCTAAACTCCACAACTGAAGTTTCACCTCGATTAAACTGTTTTTAAAATCACATTACAGTGTTAACCACCTCGTGAATGCAACAAGGTTTGTGTGATCTCCCAACAATTTAACTAATAATTATTGTAAATAAGGTAATTATCACTACCCGTAATGTCTGCATTTCCTTTTCTTGTGATTTCACTTTGTACAATTTGTTTAAAATGAAAAGTAGAAGGAAGTGTCCCCAGATCTGCACTGAAAGCTGGAGACACCTCAAAGGTGTTCTTTTTATCTGTAAAAGGTATTAGATATTATTTACATTATAGGTAAATCCTGATTTAACAACAGGAATTGAGATTGGAATTATGGTAATAAATGGTTGCAGTCGTAAGTCGAGGTAAGTAATCATCATTCTTTAATATTTAAGAAAGAAGGAGCGGTTAGCTGCAGCATCCATGTGCGCAGCCATCTTGAAAACCATTAAACTTTACAATGATCATTAAGTGAATGCAGTAATTGTTACGCAAATCCATTTTCCCCAATAACCATTTTTAACCTTTACTTATAATTTCATCAAATGCTAGAAACCCAAGAATATTTTTAAAATAATGCCTAAAGTCCATAAGGCTTTTTCAAGTCCACAAGACATCTGTATATTCAACTCATTGAGAAAGTGTTTTCTTGTAACTGAATCACTCCTCACAACAGTAGCAAGAAACAAATAGGGTAGGCTCATAATATATCTCACAATTTTAATGGGATAGGAGTTTCTTCCTATTAAAAAGCCTTAATCTGGACATTCCTGCTTTAGAATACCAAAGGAAGGAAGGAAGGAAGGAAGGAAGGAAGGAAGGAAGGAAGGAAGGAAGGAAGGAAGGAAGGAAGGATTTTTTCAGATATCTTTTGATGCTGTAACAACCAGAGTATTTTTGAAAAAAATGGCTGATTTAAAGTTACCAAGGAAATTTTTCTAATTATCCATATAACATTTAGTGCTGCTTTTTTAAATTATCATGCACAGATGCTTATTTTTTTAATTTTATTTTCTCCACGCAGCCAATAAAATGTAACATTTAAGTAACCCCTCTTTAAGTATCCCCATCAATACCATGTTTCTCCAACAATATAGCCTCCACCAATAGGAAGGCCCAGCATGATTTCTAGGTGTGAGGTGAAATTAAGCCCCGCCCCCAAAATTTAGGCCTAATTAAATCATGCATTTCCCCTTTTCTCACATCGTTCGTTAGAACTACACATGGTGAAGAGAAATGGGGGGGAAGGGCAGGGGAGATGGGGAGAAAACTTGCCTTTAGGAGTGCCCCGCAGGTAGTCTAGGCTAGAATACCCCGATAGCCGATAGAAGCTCCCTGAAGGCAGAGTCCCCAGCTGCTTCAGAGCATGGCATGGCTGCCCGTGTCCCCTCGCCATTAGGCTGTCTCTTTCGGGCGATGGAAGCTCCCCAAGTGCAGTCACCAGCCACTTTGATCGGCCAGTAGAAGCGGCCTCGGGGCAAGCGTGCACACACACACTCCCCTCGCCGCGAGGCCGCTTCTATCAGCTGACGAAAGCTCCCCGAAGGCAGAGTCCCCAGCTGCTTCGGGGTGAGGCGTGGCTGCCCATGTCCCCTTGCTTTGATCAGCCAGTAGACGCGGCCTAGAGGCGAGCGCACACACACACACTCCCCTTGCCACAAGGCTGCTTCTACTGGCCGATCGAAGTGGCTGGTGACTGCACTTGGGTAGCTTCCATCGCCCCAAAGAGACTGCCTAAAGGTGAGGGGACACGGGCAGCCATGTCACACCCCGAAGCAGCTGGGGACTCTGCCTTCAAGGGAGCTTTCGTTGGCCAATAGAAGCGGCCTCGCGGTGAGGGGAGTGTGTGTGCGCTCGCCCCGAAGCCGCTTCTACTGGCCGATCAAAGTGGCTGGTGACTGCACTTGGGGAGCTTCCATCACCCGAAAGAGACTGCCTAATGGTGAGGGGACACGGGCAGCCACGCCTCGCCCTGAAGCGGCTGGGGACTCTGCCTTCGGGGAGCTTTTGTCAGCCGATACAAGCAGCCTCACGGCAAGGGGAGTGCATATGGGCCGCTCTAGGTGGGGGAGGAAATTAAACACGGTAGTTATGTATAAAGTACAGAGGACATCTTTTGCCAGGCACTAAGTTAATAAGCCTAATCAAATATTCTGAAGTGCTTGCAATCCAATTAATTAATGCCACAAATCCAATTACTGGAAGGAAACAAAAGTTGTTAATATCCAATAACAGCATGTATTCCAGTATATCATTCATTCATTCATGAAACTTGTATGCCACCTGATTCTTGACAACACTAGGAAATCTATATAACAGTTAATAGAATTTAATGAATCAAAGTAGAATGAATAGCAAGTCCATAATGTCTTCTATTCCATTCAGAATTCAAATAAATGTAAAAATGTATGTGCAAGACTATGTTGAAAGTTAATAGAAAAACTTTTTACCAATACTTATTCCAAGTCATAATTAAATCATAATTATTTCAAATCATGAACAGAAAAAAATAGGATAAACATTGTTTAAAATATGCATTGTTCATATTTCCATGTTTCAACCAAATTTTCTGATGAAAAATAAGATATATTTCAAGCATCTTAAGATGATTAGCTTCAAAGGAACAGCAAATAATTCTGCAATTCATTGTATAGCCTTTTCATCCTACATACAAGCAGACTAAAACATTTTCCTTAAATGCTCCCTACTTCACACTTTCTTAATGTTTGCAGGGAAGGAAAATCAAAGGAGAAGGAAGAATGATTCAGTCTTCTGTGCCCTGAATACACACACACACACACACACACACACACACACACATACACACAGTTATGTAAACTACTTGTCAATGGCCAGAATTTTAAATAAAAAAAGCTTTCTATGTTTCACAATATAGCAGAGGTGTTTGGTTAACCATAGCAATTGAGACTTATGACCCACAGTTGAGCCCAACATTTCTGCTGTTAAGTGAGACATTTGTTAAGTTTTGCCCCATTTTACGATCTTTCTTGCCACAGTTGTTAAGTGAATCACTGCAGTTGATAAATGAGCAACCCTGGTATTAAATCCCATCTTGATTATTGCAACGCGCTCTACGTGGGGCTGCCCTTGAAGAGCATCTGGAAGCTCCAGTTAGTGCAAAATGCAGCAGCCCTCATGGTTTTGTGCAGACCCCGGTGTGCACATGTGTCACCTCTCCTGCAGGAGCTGCATTGGTTGCCGATTTGCTTCCAAGTGCAATTCAAGGTGCTGGTTGTCACCTTTAAAGCCCTTTGTGGCTTGGGTCCGGGTTATCTAAGGAAACACCTCTTGCCAGTCATATCTACCTGACCCATTAGAGCGAGGAGGCAGGGAATGTTGCGGGTCCCGCCCGTGGGAGATACATCTGATGGGACTCAGAAGAAGGGCCTTCTCTGTGGTGGCTCCCTCTCTCTCTGGAATATCATTCCCCCAGAGATTAGAATGGCCTCCACTCTAGCACTCTTCTGAAAAGCACTGAAGACCTGGTTTTGCCAGTGAGCCTGGGGAACCCAGAGAGGGATGGAGCCCATCAAATGGCTAGTGTGAGCTGTTGTCGTTGGGGCGGGGCGGGGGGAGTTGGGTTTTGTTTTTTTATTTTGTTCTGTGTTTTCTCAAATTTTGTTCTACTAATTTATTTGATTCTTTTTGTTAGTTTTTATTTTTTGTTTTAAATATGGTTTTACATTGTGTAAGCCGCCTCGAGTCACCATGGGCGAATAGGTGGCAATATAAATTAAATTAAATTAAATTAAATAAACCTGACTTGCCCATTGACTTTGCTTGTCAGGTCACAAAAGGGATCACATGACCTTGGTACACAGCAACAATCATAAATATGAACCAGCTGCCAAGCATCTGAATTTTGATCACATGATTATGGGGATGCTGCAAAGGCCATAAGTGTGAAAAACTGTCATAAGTCACATTTTTCAATGCCGTTCTAACTTTGAACTGTCACTAAATGAACTATTCTAAGTCGAGGATTACCTGTGCAGAGAAGAATTAGGTTTTAATAAAACTATGCTGCTGCTGCTGATGATATTTGCAAGCAAACAGCCAAGATCAGAGAACCCTAAGGAACCTACACAGATAATTTCATTGAAAAAAAATTAATGATTTTGTTCTGCATACTAGTAAGAAAGATAAAGCAGTTTTGAGGCAAGTGAAATTCCTGGTGGCTTCACAGATACACCTATGCACTTTTCTTAATAATGGCACAATACCACTTTTTATCTTTGGAAATTGAAATAATTCTGGATAGTCTATTAAAATTACTGAAGCACAGAATGGTACTGTTTTATTATATTAGATCTCAAATACAGCACACAGTCCAGATGCAAACTAGTTTTATCCTTATTTGGAAATAATTGTCATTGCAAATTGCTAACCTACTTTTACATCTCAATATACTGTATACTCATAGGACTGGGCTGCTTTTTCATTCTGGAATGAGCTACTTTCTAAACATTTGACACTTACCCACATTTGGCTAAATTCCATGGAAGCATCCCCTCAATTTTATGACTCTGAATCCAAGGGCTTTTTTTTTATATGCACCCTTTTGGAATGATTCATAGCATACCAAAAATCTTAGGCTGTTGTTCTTAAAATGAGAGAGATCACAGAAGCAGGAATAGGCAGGTGGCAGTCATACAAAATGTATGTATGGAGACACACATGCAGCTCAGGCTGCCTCATCTGGAAACATGCATTAAAAAAAGAATTGTTCATGAAAGCACTAATCATAACAAAGCGATTAGGCCTCCTTTCTTTTTCCTGATGACCCAGAGGAGGGGGTGATCGGTTTGCACCCAGGGTATAGAAGCAGGGGGCTTCTGGCGATGCCGCCCCCGCAAAGGAGATGACACCCCACCAGGTGAAAAGTACCTTCCCTGCAAGTATTGGCTGCCAGTTCAGCATGTCACCCAGCGGGCGCTATGCCGCATTGGTGCCATGGCGCAGCCCGCACCAATTTTTCACCCCCCACTCCCCCATATCCCATTCTGGAAAGGGGACCTCCGCCCACACACACACACACTCTCTCTCTCTCTCACACACACACACACACACATTCTCTCTCTATATATATATCTCTCACTCTCACTCACACACACACACATTCTCTCTCTCACACAAACACACTCACATTCTCTCTCTCACACAAACACACTCACATTCTCTCTCACACACACACAGCTCGCCTCGCCAGGAAAGGCCCCCTCTGCACAGTTGTGGCCCGTTGCCAAGCCTCCCTCTGACATCTATCGCCTGGCCAAAACGCATCCTTCCCCACCGGCCTTGCCCTGCCCAAAAGACTCGATCAGCTTCCCCCGTCGTCCCGCCACCTCTCTCCAGCCGCCGCCTGCTCTTTGCCTTACCTGTTTTGATGAGCCGCGGCGCGTCTTTCTCCTCTCTCCACGCCGCGAAAATCTGTAGGCGCTTCCCCACCACCACCACCACCACCTCCCCCTCCTCAGTAGGAAGCGGTGTCACTTGCAAAAAAAAAAAAAAAAGCCCAAAACGGGGGGTGGGGGGGGCGTGGGGGTGGGGGGTTGTTGCAGCACAGGGACTTCCCGGCAGCTCCAAATAAAGCCAAGTCCAGCTGGAGAGCGCGAAGAGAGGGTGGCGGCGGCGGCGGCCGAGGCAGTGGGAGGGGAAAAAAAGCACGGGGAGGTGGGGTGTGTGGAAATGTACCGAGCGGGAGGCGTGTGCGTGACTGGTTTCCCAGCGGCGGCGGCGGCTTTGCTAGGACACTGAATGGAACCGGAGGGGAGAGGAAGCCTCTTAGGCCAAGGCCTTGGGCAAAGGCCGAAGGGTCTGAATTGGTAAGCCCCTTAAAGCCAAGGCCTCGTCAGGGAGAGCAGGTGCTGGGGAAATTGCCGTGGCTTCTTGAAAGGAGGGGAAGAAGTTTGCCGCCCTTCCTTCCAGTCTCTGTCTTCTTGCTCTGTGAGGTCCCTGTAGGACCTGCTGGCCGCCTTCCCATTCCTAGGCAATGTCAGATTAAAAGTGCCACAAAGGAGAAGGAGAAATCTGCTGCTTTTGTGCAATTGAAGCTGTTGTTATACTCAGTCGTTGTTTGGGAGACGGCCTTGGAGCAGGCTTTCCAAGGGAAGTTATAAATAAGATTGTGATGGGTGCAACTCCCATGGAAACGATGCTGGTTAGAAGTTTGGAGGGTGGGGGTGGCACTGCACTTCACGTCTGGAGGGTGTCAGCATTTGGAAGGCTGCTGTGATGCTACCCGTGGCCACAAGAGATGCGCATCACAGGTTAATTGAAACTTGCACAGTATTTTCTGCTAATCAGTTCCTTTTTTTCTGAATCCAGCACTCTTAACGAATGACAGGGCAATATTAACATTTAAAGGAAAGGGTTATAAGCACATGTTGGATTAGATGCACATGTTAACTGGAATGTAGGCACCTTGATAGAAAATAATGTGCCTAAATATTGTACTTTCTATTTTTAATGAAAGCAAATTTTAAAATAATTCCAGATTAGAGGCATAAAACCTAGGGCTGGCCTGCTAGAAGAAACATAACGTATATTTATAAATCTGTGCAATTGCCCTAAGAGAGACTTCAAAATAGAAAACTTTGAATGTTAATTGTTAATCTACTTTACTCTTACTTATTTATTTAGGATAATTATATCCTTCACTTCCTTTCTCAGAAGAGATACAACAGCAGTTAGTGTTTTTCAATAAATAAAAAAGCATTCCCTTGCTTCAAACACTGTTTATAGCTCAGGTGGAATTTCTGTTCCCTTAGAAAAGAGCCTTTGACAGCTAGGCTGCATCTATAAAAGTAGTTCCCACTGTGGGAGGAAGGGTTATGGGATGTATCTAAATCTGGAATACCAGAGCACAAAATGTCTCAGTTCCAGAAATCTGCCAACAACTCTGAAATGGCATTAAATGCAGGATTGCTACAGATGGTGACCATATTGCCACCACTGTACTGGTGCTAATTCATCTAAAGAGGAATGATAGTCTACTAATAGTAATGTAGACAGAACAATTAAACAGTGGAACCACACTGGAGATTTTTAAGAAGAGATTGTACAATTATTAGTCTGAACTGATATAGGGTTTCCTGCGGTTAGATTAGATCTCAAAGTTCCCTTCCAACTCTGTTATTCAGTTAAATCCATAGTTTCCCCTCAAATGAAGACTGTATAGTTAAAAGCCTAAGGCAGTGGTGGCTCCTGTGCCAAAAATTGCGAGCATGCCAGCACGCCCATACTCACGTGCCAGCACCCAGAATGCAATGCCCCCCACGCCCCCTGCGCATGCCCACACAATCCCCACCCCCTTGCCTGCACTGCACTTCACAGCTGATTTTTGGGCTGGTTTGAGGCCTTTTCGGTCTCCCAGAGGCTTGGAAAAACCTCTGCAAGGCTTCTCAGGCCGAATTATAGGCCCGTTTCATCACTTCTGGTATTACAGGAAGTGACAAAATGGGCCTATAATTCGGCCTGAGAAGCCCTGCAGAGGCTTTTTCCAAGCCTCTGGGAGGCTGAAAAAGGCCTCAAACCAATGGGAAAAAAAATCAGCTGTGAGGCGTGGGCTTGTGCAGAAAGGTAAGTTTGCCTGCAGCTCGCGTGCCGGCATAAATGGCTCTGCGTGCCACAGGTTTGCTATCATGGGCCGAAGGGATGTCCTTAGTGTGGAGCAAATACATTCTTACACAGACAGGTGTATGATCAACTATTTCTTTACAAGTAGATTGACTTGTTATTTCTGCAGTACCACACTTGCTGAAGTGTGAAAAAAGTATATTCCTGTCTACCCCCACCACAAATACCTCCAAATCTTCATACCATCACTCAACTCAGTTGAAGGCTGAAATTTGAAGCTACCTGAATTGGAAACTGACAATGAATCTGAGTGAAGCATTAACACCTTGCCATTGTATGGATGAGTTAGAGAGCAAAGGGGGGGGGCAGACACTGATAGGGAGGGTTCATGATGTGAATTTTGTGATGTTCATATATCTAAAATGCCAAGCTGTTGTGGTTTGGGGAGCTAGTTTGAACCATAGCCAAAAGTTCATCTCAATTTTTGTGGGTTTTTTTGTTTTAGAATTCAAGATTTTTGTGGGTTCTACTATTAGTGTAGAACAAAAGTTGGCAACCTTTTTTTTGCAAAGGGCCAGATCCTGCCCTTTCTTGCCTCTTTGTGCGCGGCTGTCAGGACTGCAGGCCAGACAGTCTGGCAGGCATTAGATAGCACCATCTCTCCAGCAAGGAGGCTGTAGATAGACTACTGCTGTGGCCTAGGATTCAGCCAGGCCTAATCCTGTCCTGGAAGCTCAGCTGAGGCTCCAACCTGCCAATCTGTCCATCCATTCTTAGCTTGTGGGCTGTATAATAACTGGTGGGCTGGATTTGGTCCACAGGTTGTAGTTTGCTGGCCCTTGGATATAGACAGTCTGAACAATGCCCTTTAAAAACTTACAGAGGGAGAATTGGTAGTCCTAATTTATGTTATATGAGCCCCAGGAAAAAATGAGAAAATCTTGGCTAAACAACTCCAAAGAATCAACTGTGTGGAACTACTCATTCTTTTGCAACGTTAGAACGTTAAGCAGTCTGAGGCTCTACTGGAAAGTGGAGGCCGAAATGTTGGCTTAGGCTGTGGAAGAAACTCCATGGTGCTTATGCTGACCAAGAATATTGGTAAGAGCAGGGATCTGTGTGTTCACACCTGCATAACAAGTAAATAAACTTCATATTATAGAGGCAGAATTTTAATAATTTCCTTCCAAGGAACTAGAAATCCAATAAACACTGTGTCCCCTGAAACTTTCCATTGCTTCAAAATGAAATGCAGTTTCTCACTGTGTTCATTGGTAAGTGTCAAGCACCAGGAAAAGAAAGAGATCCAGACAGTTCACATGGCTATAAAGATTTATTACAAGTTTAAGCTCTCTACAAGAATCTGAACTACTAACAGATCAAGGGAAATTAGCAGGAGATAAGAATAGAAGGAATTCAAGCGATTTAGATCTCTTGTGGCCCAAAGGGACTCATGCCTGATCATGCGTTTGACTTCTCCCTTGGGCTCAGCCTGGTCATTTCCTACATCGAGGATGTGCCCACGTTAATATCTGGAAAGTGCCAAATTGTCGAACTATGCTTTAAAATACGGTATGTTCTCTTTTCTTCCTTTCAGTCAAAAGAATTCTAAAGCAGTGTGCGTGGGGGGTGGTAATTAGAATTTCCTCTAATCCTAATTCATTCCCATCTTTACTTCAGATTAATTAAAACCATAAAAAGTGGCTACAGGAAATACAAGAACAGAACACATTTTTAAATAGACTTAAAAATAAATAATCCTGCATGTTCCCCATGAAAATATATTTTAAAAGATCATCCTGCGGGTGGTGGTTACATCCCGTTTTTGCCACAGTTGTTAAGTGAATCATGCAGTCATTAAGGAAATCTGGGTTCCCCCATTGACTTTGCTTGCCGGAAACCAGCTGGGAAGGTTACAGATGGTAATCCCATGATCCTGGGACATTGCAGCTGTCATAAATACATTCCAGTTGTCCCTGAATGATGATCACATGACCATGGGGTTGCTACAAGAGTTGTAAGTGTGAAAACTGGTCATAAGTAACTTTTTTCTGTACTGTTGTAACTTCAAATGGTCCTTAAGCAATTGCTTATAAGTCGAGGACTACCTGTATTTCTACCTGTGTGTATGAGACGTTTGGCTCCACCCAATTTGCATCCGCACTCCAGCTAGTGTAACAACCGCCACAAAAGTTAAGAGCAGCCTTTTGACCTTCCACAGCTTGCCCTGCAAAATAATTTTGAAGATCTTTTCTACTTCTAAATCACAGCCTCCAGAAACTATGCAAATTGCTTGGCAAGGATGAAGGAATGATTTGTCACTGCTTTTTTCCAATTCAGATAAAAATGATCATATAAAAATGGTCATAGGCCTCTAGGATGTGAAATGCTACTGTTCTCATCCTTAAGGCTTATCCTGGTACGCCTACATCCACCCCAGAAGTTCTGATCTAGAAGTTATGGACCACTGCCTTAGTGATATCATTGCATTGCGATAAGACTTCCATAGCCTCAGTGGGTGGTTTGGGTATGTTTTAAAAACACCTGTTCTCAAGAGAGTAAAATATGTAAGCTTGGGATCAGTGTAGGAAGTTACTCTGTCCTTCATGCCCGACAAATAAGCTTCTGGAATTGGCTGATCACTAAGAAGATCTCTTCTATTGACCTTAGATCCCAAACATGTTCCTATTAACATAGGCAGTCTTTCAGATAATCAGGTGGCTAACTGTTTAAAGAGGAAACTCTTGTCAGACTTCCATACTGCCTCTATGGGCTGCATTGCTTTGGAAGGAGGGTTAGTTATTTTAATGTTAATACTTCAGTGTATTAAAAGTGAAATAACATTTTAATGATGCAACATTAAAAATGACACCCTTGAACACTGAAATCAATGGAAAT